TGCTCTTTGAATCCCCTTCTTTTCAATATTCCAGCCTTTTTCCGCGATGCCTTCATCCTGGAGACCACTCTCCCTTGGAGGAATCATCATGCTTTGTAAGACTGTTCTTACCCATCTGCTTCTCATTTGACTTGCTGGCTGTAGGGAAAAGACAGATAAAGTTTCAGCCTGGCCGGTTGGGCTCACTGGTTGAGCGTCGATCCATGCACCAAGCGGTTGATGGTCCGATTTCTAGTCAGGACACATGCCCAGGTTGTGGGCCAAATCTCCAGTGGGGACATGCAGGAGGCGGCCAATCAATGTTCTCTCTCATCAATGCTTCTTTCTCCCTCACCCTCTCCCTTCCTCTCTCTGAAATCAAGAAAGAAAAAAGTATTAAAAAAAAAAAAGACAGATAAAGTTTCAAATGCTGTGTGGTTCAAGGTGTAAACAGTGGAGCCCTGGATGGTTTGCTCAGTGGTTAGAGCATTGGCCTGCGGTCCAGAGAGACCTGGGTCTGGTTCCCACTAAGGGCATGTACTTCGGTTGCAGTTTGTCCCCGGCCCTGGTTGGTCATGCGGGTGGCACTCGATGTGCCCCTTTCACGTCGATGTTTCTCTCTCTCTCTCTCTCTCTCTCTCTCTCTCCCCCTCCCACTCTATCTGAACAAAAAAATGAAAAAATGTCCTCGGGTGAGGATAAAAAAAAAAGGTGTAAACAATGGATATATCCTGCTTTCTTGTTAATTTATATATTCTCTCATTTGTCTAAAATCGAATAATGGAACCAAAACACAGCCAGATTCCAAGGAGAGATTTCATAGCATCGCATAACAAACACCCTTATCCTTTTCTGTTAATAGAAATCATAGCAAAAAAAATAATGTTTACTGAGCGCTTCTGTTTCACTCTAGAGCAAAATATTTTAATATACTATATCGTTTAATCTTAATAAGTATCCTGTGGGGCATAGGCACTATTTATTCCCATTTACGTTATTGTCAGAATCAAGTTTGTCATAAGGTCCGGCAGCAGATTTCAGTGTCTAAAACACATCCATTCAGCCCTGGCTGGTTTGGCTTAGCGGTTAGAGTGTTGGCCAGTGGTCCAGAGAGACCTGGGTTCGGTTCCCGCTAAGGGCACGTACCTCGGTTGCAGTTTGTCCCTGGCCCTGGTTGGGTCGTGTGGGTGGCAGCCACTGGGTGTGTGCCTTTCACGTCGATGTTTCTTTTTCTCTCTCTCTCTCTCCCACCTGCTCTATCTGAACAAAAAATGAAAAAATGTCCTTAGGTGAGGATAAAAAAAAAATCCATTCATTTATTCATTCAGCAAATATTGGCTGAGCACCTACTATATGCCAAGCAGATCTGTCCACTGCGTCTAGAAAACCAGAGGGGGCATTATGGCTCTGAGTGGCCACATCAAAGGAGAATCTTGGTACAGGACCCAAGTCTTCTGAGAAAGTTTAAACTTTTTTTTTTCTTCCTTATTGATTTTTGGGGAGAGAGAAAGAGAGAGGGCGAGAGAGATAGAAACATCAATGAAAGAGAACATCGATTGGCTGTCTCCTGCACGCCCCGCACTGGGCATTTGGTCCACAACCTGGGCATGTGTCCTGACCGGGAATCAAACCAACTACCTCTTGGTGCATGGGTCGACACTCATCCACTGAGCCCCACTGGCCGGACAACATAATCTTATCTAATCCTGTATGTCAGCTCTGAAATTGGAGCTATGACAGTACCCACATTACAGATGAGGCAAAGGGAAGGTTTGCCCAGTTAATCAGTGGTGGAGCCAGGATTTGAGATACTGGTTTCAGTGCACGCCTATGGAGACCCAAATTCATCCTGGTTTATATTTGTTATGGACTGAATGTTTTTGTCCCTCCAAAATAGAATTAAGACAGAAATCCTGGGCAAAATAGAAATGTGTCCTTTAAATCTCTGTTGGCTGCAGTCACTGAAAACTGTTTAGATAGGAGAGGACTAAGACTAAATTAGCCAGAGTGCGGTCACTACCTAGACTTGCTAACTTCTGTAACATGCAGCTTTGAGGAGGAGATGACAAGAAATGGAAGGGCTACACAGCGAATCAGGAGGCATTTTGAAATACGAAGGTGTGGAGCAGCTTTCAAAATGCTGGCGTCCCCAGAGCCCAGCGTGTTCTGCATCCAGATCGTGGTTGTCTGGTCCTATGGAACCTGTTGCCCCTCAGACTGTCCATCAACCTCTTCTGTTTTCCTCCCACTTACACTTTTGTCCATTCTCTTCTTCCTTCCCTGCTACATACCCATCTGTGACTTGTTCAAATGATCCCTTTCCGCACCTCCCTGAAGCCAACAGAATGGCAGGCCTCTTGTGCTGGACCTGAGCTCCAGTCCTCTAAAGAGCTCCACACCTTGGTAGTCCCAGCAGCACACTCATACCAGAGGTAGTTCATCCTAAGATCCCAACTTTCCTGACAAGTAGCTTGGTGTTGTAAGGAGAAACTGAGGCACATATGGGCCCTCTTTCTTCAAGTCCCAGTACAAGGCTGTGGGGGCCTGGGGCAGTCTGGAAATCTGGCATCTATCCTTAAAGATGCCTTCCACTCAGGGAAGTGGTGGTCTCCAGAAATCAGTCATAGGCACCCCAGTGTCTTGTTCTGCCTGGTGTCCTCACAATAAAAACTGGATATCAGTGTAGAGGGGACAGGGAATGATAAAAACTGGATATTAGTGTAGAGGGGGGCAGGGAATGAAACATGAGAATGGAGAGTAGGAGTGGAAGAAAATAAAGCAGTCAGTGGGAGGGTGGGGTAAGGGATAAGTCGGGGATGCCAGAGCTGAAACTCAGGACTTGCCTGGTGGTTTTGTCAGGGTTACTTACCATGTGCTAGGCACATAACCCTCAGCAAGATACTTTACCTGCTTGCCCTCCAGGTGCCTAGATCCACCCCATCCCTCTGCCCCCGGGCTCCATCCAGACACCAGGGAACATCTACATCACCTTCTGCTCACATGCTTGTTTGGCACAAACTGGATCCCAATAGATATTCGCTGGTTAACAAATGAAAGAAATAAGCAATTGATAACCAAGATGCCCCAAGCAAGTAATTTTCTGGGATTGTCATTTCCCAATCTCTAAAATTAAGGGTGGGTGTGGTCAGTGTTTAGAGTGTTATCCCGTGCATGGAAGGGTGTGGGTTCGATTCCCAGTCAGGGCACCTACCCAGATTTCGGGCTCCATACCTGGTCGGAAGGTAGGCGATAGATGTTTCTCTCTCACAACCATGTTTCTGGCTCCCTCTCCCTTTCTCTCTCTCATCGAAACAAAACAAAAGATATCCTCGGGTGTGGATTTTTTTTTTTTATCCTCATCCGAGGACACCCCTCCACTCTTTGTACAGACAGAGTGGGAGGGAGAGAGAGGAAGAGAGAGAGAGGGAAACATCGATGCGAAAGGGACACATCGAGTGGCTGCCACCCGCACGACCAACCAGGGCCGGGGACAAACTGCAACCGAGGTACATGCCCCCAGCGGGAACCGAACCCGGGTCTCTCCGGACCGCAGGTGGACGCTCTAACCGCTGAGCCAAACCGGCCAGGGCGGGTGTGGATTTTTTTAAAAATTAAATTAAAGGGTTGAACTAGGATAGACGTCTGGCTTCCAACCTCATTGAACCTCTCTGTGCCTATGTTTTCTCATCTATAAAATAGGGATAACAGTACCCACCTCCTAGGGTTGTTTCAAAGACACACCGCGTTGATAATAGGAAAGCCCTTAGAACAGAGCCTGGTACCGACAAAGTACCATGTAAATAAAAAAGTAACTTTCCAAGGTCCCTTCCAGATGCGGAGCCTCTCTCTGAGGGCCACCCAATAAAGGTGCAGGGCAGTGGGCACTAATTACCCACAATGCTTCCCGCGGGACCACCTATGCGGCCTCGGTCCTATACTCTCAGCGGGTCAACCAGGTGTTCCAAGACTATCCAAAATGCATCTCGCGGGCCCGCCTACGTGGCCTTGTACAGTCTCTCAACCACTGGTGCGAGAACTACGTTACCCAAAGACCCGCCTATCCAGACTTATTACGATTCTTGACAGCCGACTCGACCAATGACGCGAAGACAATGTTACGCCCCGCCCAATGCTTCCAGTAGGTCCGCCCATGCTGTCTCGTTTCCAAGCTGGACAGCTCGTTCAGCCAATGGCCTGCGCGGATCCGTCCTGGCCCTGCGTCCTGCGGTTGGGGTCCTCTACCTCCCCATCCGCGACCCAAGTCAGCCAGCTCGTCGAACCCCCAGCGCACGCGTTCCTGCTCCGGTCCTAGCCCGCCGCCCCCGGCGCGCCCCGAACATTGCAGGGCCCGCAGCGCAGCGGGTGAGTTCGGGGGCGCGGGGTCCCTGCTCTAACTGCCATCCCGCGGTGCGCTCTAGAGCCCTGGCTTGTGCTCCGGCCTCGGCCACCGCTCACTTGCCCAGACCTGAGCAGTCCGCCCGGAGTCACACCCCTCCCAGGACCCTGGAGCGGGTGGGACCGCCATGGTGACTGTCCACTCGGGGGTACCCGGCGGGGCCCATGGAGGGACTTGCTCACCAAGCCCGAAATCGCGATTCAGGTTGAAACAGAACATGCGTCCTCCCGGGCAGAGGCGGCTCTGGTTCCCACCATGTTTCCAAACGGACCCCATCCCCAAATGGCCAACCGTAATGAAAACTCGGCGAGTCTTGCGCTCTGACGGTTCTAGGCACTGGGCTAAACTTTCCAAACATCCCATTTAGTTCTCTCAGCAACCTGCGTGTGGATAATACCACCATCTCTTCTTTTCAAATGAGGAAAGTCGGGCCCAGAGAAGTTAAGTAGTTTACCCGAGAACTAGCAGGGAGTTAGAAGCAGAGATAAATTGATTTATTTCAACCCTTTCCTTTTGCCAATGAAGGTGAGTTAGCCCTGGGTCCAAGGCATGGGCTTATGGGTGCAGGCCTTTATCCAGCCCCAGTGCATCCCCAACGATGTTGTCATCTGTCCACAGAGCCCTGGAAAAACACCTACCCAGTGGCTGGCCAGAGGTATAGGGAGAGACAGCTTTGACTCCTGAGACCTGTGAAGGACAAAGGCCCACCGGGAACATGGCAACTGCCCAGGGCCTCCAGCCCCCACCACCCCTGGGGCAGGATGAGATCCTGATTGTGAAGGTGGAGGAGGACTTCCACTGGGAAGAGGATCCCTCTTTGAAGATGGAAGACCCCAGCCCTGAGACCTTCCGCCAGCTCTTCCGGCTCTTCTGCTACCAGGAGGTGGCCGGCCCCCGGGAGGCCTTGAGCCGTCTCTGGGAGCTCTGCTGCCGCTGGCTGCGGCCAGAGCTGCGCACCAAGGAGCAGATCCTGGAGCTGCTGGTGCTGGAGCAGTTCCTGATGGTGCTGCCGGGGGAGATCCAGGCCTGGGTGCGGGAGCGGCAGCCGGAGAGTGGTGAGGAGGCCGTGGTCCTCGTGGAAGGGCTCCAGCGGGAGCCCAGGAAACAGAGGGTGAGGTGGGGGGCATTCTAGCCTTGAGGTGAGGAAACGGGCTCTGTGCCCTCAGGGCCTTGCTGCTGAGGTCTGTAGATTCCTTGGGTTCTGGAGCAAGTGGCCAGCTGTTGTCAATGGGAGAACCAAATGTTCTGAATGGAAGAAGGCAACTGTAAAGTTTCTCAACCTTGGCCAATGGGTATCCACCTATTGATCAACCACAAGTAGCTCCACTAGCCCTTTCTAAGCTAGTATGGATTGGTTTGTTAATACCGTCACAGCATAGACCAGACACACGTTTTGATGGGAGGAAGGTTGGAGACCTTTCAAGGCGTGGCCTTGGGAGTTGAAGAGATCCCAACAGAGGGAGGAACACTGGAAAGAAAGACCAGGGGCTGGTGGGTGCCCTGATTAACACCCCTAGATGTTCCCCAATCTCTCTAGAGCTGTGTTGTCCAACACAGTGGCTAACAGCCTGGTGTAACTTTAGATTAAATAAAATTAAAAATGCAGTTGTTAAGTCACACCAGCCATATTTCAAGAGCCCAGTTGTCACATGTGGCTATTATACTAGACAGTGTGGCTTATAGGATGCTTCCATCATCATGGAAAGTTCTGTAGACAGTGTTGCTCTAGAGCACACTCCACCTCCTAACCAGATTTGGGGAATGGGACGTCTCTTACAAATTTCTCCTGCTTTTAGTCCCTAAACTCCTCAAGATTAAAAAAAAGTAATTTCACTTGTTTTAGTTTTTTTTTCAGTGCCATGCCCAGATTAGGTATTTGGCAAATGCTGACAGGTCACTTTCTTCCTGTGGCAGTGCCATTGCCTACACATTGCTGTTCCCTTGTGTCCAGCAGGACAGATACATCCCCCAAAAACTTGACCACAGTGTGAGTTGAGTGCACTAAGCAAATCCTACTGCCATGGTGACTAATAAGAACTCAGGATGCCCCCCCAGCCCCTCCAACTTGGTTTTGAAGATTCCTGCATGGCTTCCCTCTATCACTGTGTACCCTGGAACCTCGGGAACTGTCTTTTGTCAGAGATGTGGAACGTTGGGCGAAAGGGAGCCTGAGACGGGTTCCCCAGCTGTTGTAGCCATTCCCTAGGGAATGTCTCTTGTCCCAAGTACTGTTGTAGAGCTCAGTAAACTGTGACTCAAGTTCGTCCAATTTACCTTCTCTGGAATTAGAAGTTAATAATCCCAGAGCACCTGTAGATGATTTCAATAAATGTGGCAAATGCAGTAATGCCAACTTCCAAAATGAGATTGGATTCAGGGCCCTTCTGGTCCAGGGTTTGTTGGGAGCTCCAAGGAATAAGGGTAAGAGTGTGACAGTGACACTAATGCAGTGTGACAACGAGAGACTGGAGTCTCACTCAGGAGCAGACCAGGCCTCCATATGTCCAGGCTGGGAGCCTGACCTCTTCCCAGCTCGCTTTCCTTCTCTCTGGGTGTTGCTGGAGGTATGGCTGTGTGTGGCATGTGAAGAGCCAAGGGTGCGGTGACAAGGCCACCTTGGTGGTAAGGATGGCCAGGGATGCTCGACAAGGGGTTGGGGACCCTGTGGGTCTCCCCCTGGCTTGGGAGGTGGTTAGCAGCTCTCTGTCTGTGCAGGGCCGGGAGCTACTCTCTGACAATGCAGTGCCCCACCACATGGGGGAACAATCTATGAAATGCCAGGCAGAGGCCCAACGAAAGGAATTGTCCCTGGAGGAGGGGGCTCATTACTCCAGCCAGCAGTCCCCAGCCCAGCTGAAGCACAGATCGAAGAGAAGCCCCGAGCTCTGGCCAAAGAGGGGTGAGTAGCCACCCCTCAAGGAGAGCAGCCCTGCTGGAGAGGGAGGCAAAGGGAAAGGAGTGTTGCAGGAGGATGAGGCCTATGTGCATGTGTCGTGGACAGGCTCCCGGTGGGGAGTTGAGCATGGCTGATGGACCTGTCCTGGCTTTCACTGCTATCTGCTCACAGGTGGGCTGTGCAGGCTTCACTGGTGACTCTGCTCTTTCCGCAGGCCCATTCACCTCCCAGCACCAGGAGATATCAGCACCAGCCACGTCCTTCCTTTCAGCCTGGTCCCAGGTGAGCAGGCATTTCTGGTCTGCAGCATCCCCATGGAAACACTTCTATCCCACGGCCAGGTCTGTAGGTTTCAGAGACACTCCCCCCTGGAGTGACCTTTGCCTCCTGGGAGGTTTTGTCCTTTCTCAGCTGCCGTCTAAATATTAGGCCTGTCCTGGAGGAGTCTGGGGCCCAAAGGTAAGCTCTGCCAATTGCTCAAACCCAACTGGGTGTTAGAATCTCTTGGGATTCTAGGTAAAAATACAGGTCCCTCCCCCAGCCCTGGCCTGGAATAGTCTTTTTTGCTTGTTTGTTTAAATAACAGCTTTATTTATTTATTTTTTTATTTTTATTTTATTTTTTTATCCTCACCCGAGGATATTTTTCCATTTTTTGTACAGATAGAGTGGGGGGGGGGAGAGAGGAAGGGAGAGAGAGAGAGAAACATCGACGTGAAGGGACACATCGAGTGGCTGCCACCCGCACGACCAACCAGGGCCGGGGACAAACTGCAACCGAAGTACGTGCCCTTAGCGGGAACCGAACCCGGGTCTCTCCGGACCGCAGGCCTACGCTCTAACCGCTGAGCCAAACTGGCCAGGGCAATAACAGCTTTATTGAAATATAAATCATATACATACAATTCACCCATTTAAATTTTTTTAAACTTTACTTATTGAATTTTAGAGAGAGGAAGGGGGGGGGGAGAGAGAGAGAAACATTGATATGTTGTTCCACTTATTTATGCATTCATTGGTTGATTCTTGAATGTGTCTTGACCAGGGATGAAACCCACAACTTTGGTTTATTGAGATGATGCTCTAACCAGCTGACTTATCTGGCTAGGGCTACAATTCTCCCACTTATTTTTTATTTTACTTATTTATTTTTAAATATGTTTTTATTGATTTTTCAGAGAGAGAGGATGGGAGAGGGAGAGAGAAGCATCAATGTGAGAGGAAAACATCGATCAGATGCCTCCTGCACGCCCCCTACTGGGGATTGAGCCTGAAACCTGGGCATGTGCCCTGACCAAGAATCAAACTGGGACCTCTCTGTCCATGGGATGATGCTCAATCCACTGAGCCACACCAGCCAGGCTACAATTCACTCATTTAAAGTGTACAGTGTTTAGTATACTTGCAGAGTTGTGTGATCATTACAATCAATTTTAGAACATTTTTATTATCTCCCCCAAATATGCCACACTCATTAGCAGTTGCTCCCCATTTCCCCTCTCCCAGCCTCCAGCAACCACCCATCCTCTTTCTGTCTCTGAATTTGTCTCTTCTGGACATTGTAAGTGTGGGTTTTATTCAATTAATTTAATTATTTTAGATTTTTTTTTTCCTTTATTGATCTTAGAGAGGAAGTGAGAGGAAGAGAGAGCTTGAAACATCAATGAGAGGGAACATCGAGCGGCCGCCTCCTGTATGCTCCCCACTGGGGATCAGACCCACAACCTGGGCATGTGCCCCGACCGGGAATCGAACCGGTGACCTCCTGGTACATGGGTCGACACTCAACCACTGAGCCACATCGGCTGGACTATTTAATTTATTTTTTAAGTTATTTATTTACGTTTGCTTGGGTTTTCATTTTAATCATGCTCCCAGGTTAGTCTGGTGCTAGATGTGGGAACTACTGGCTTCGAGACATCCTGAAGTCCTCAGGTTACCCCATTTGGGTCCCAGGGCTGGCTTGAGCTCAGGTAGGGCTTGCTGACCCGTGTCCCCAAGGGGCATGGGCCCCGTGGCTCAGCAAGCAGTGGATCCAGCTGCTCCGCCCAGTGAATCTGTCCATACCACCTATGGCCCTACAGCAACAGGACAGAGCATGGTGGCGATAGTGTCCTCCCAAAGAGCAGGATCCGGTCGTGTCTGTGGGCTGAGCGTGGGAGGAGAAGAGGTGTATGACAGCATGTGGAGAGGGAAAGTATGGGAAGAAAAGAAGTGGTGGGAGGTGAGCAGGACCCACCATTGTGACGTGATTGGAAGGAATAGATCAGCCTACCAGGCTGGCCCAGCCTGAAGGAGCACTGGCATGGGACTGAATGGGCTGTGGCCTTGCAGGTGCCGGTGACCTTGGAGGACATGGCCGTGTACCTTTCCCAGGAGGAGTTGGGGTGCCTGGATCCTGCTCAGCAGGACCACAGTTGGGACATGCTACCAGAGAGTGAAGGTATGTGTGGGGAGACCCTGACTTCTGCCCATCAGAAACCATGATGTCTGGCCCTGGCCAGTGTGGCTCAGTTGTTTGGGTGTCATCATCCCATGCACCAAAGGGTTGCCAGTTCATTTCCCAGTCAGGACACATTCCTAGGTTCTGGGCTCGATCCCTGGTAAGTGGTGTGCAGGAGGCAGTCAATTGATGTTATGCTCTCATATCGATGTTTCTCTTTCTTTCTCTCTCTCCCTGTCCCTTCTTCTCTATAAAAATCAGTTAAAACACTTAAATAAAAAAAAAGAAACCGTGATGTCTGGTGTGGGCTAGTGGCAGGGGGGAGGTGACTCCTGGCCTCCTGTTGGATGTAGCTGGCTTGGCATTTCCCCAGAGGTGTGTGATGCCTCCAGGACCCAAGACCCAGACCACCACCTCGCTCACACCTTCTCTGGTTCCCCACTGCCTATAAGAGCTAGTCTAGCAGTTCTCAAATTGTGGTGGCCTGAGGAATCATGGGAAGTATGTTAGAAATAGGAACTCCCTGGCCCCATGCCTAGTGGTGGACTCAGTAGACCAGGTGTGCTCCCTGGCAATTTCACTTGGTATCCAGCTGCAGACAACCTGCAAAGCCAGGTTTGATGGTTGTCAGTGGCCCAGCTGCAGTGGGGGCAACATGGCTGCTCACCCACATCCCAGGCAGATGCCCAGAGCTATCCCGAATTCCTTTTTTTTTCACTGCTTCACCCATATGGTTGATCCAGTGTCCCTTCAACCTCTGTGCTGCCCTCAGCCCCCGTGGGCAGAGCTGCTTCTGGAAAGGCCTTGGCCATTCATGATCTCTCTTTACCAATGCCTCGGCTTCCCACCCGACTCTCCACTCGGCTCGTCTTGCCACTCCTGTCACCCTCTTATTCCCTGAAATGTTTTTAAAGGAGTCGAGATGCTGCTTTGTATTAGTTGGGGTTTTCTAGAGAAACAGAATTAATAGAATGTGTGTATGTGTGTGTATAAATCAATTTAAGGAATTGGCTCACATGATTTGAGTCTGATAAGTCCAAAATCTGTATAGCAGGCTAGCCGACTGGAAATTCAGGCAAGATTTCTATCTTTTTTTTTTTTTGTTCAGATAGAGTGGGAGGGAGAGAGAGAGAGAGAGAGAGAAAAACATCGACGTGAAAGGGACACATCGAGTGGCTGCCACCCACACAACGCAACCAGGGCCGGGGACAAACTGCAACCGAGGTACATGCCCTTAGCGGGAACCGAACCCGGGTCTCTCCAGACCGCAGACCAACGCTCTAACCGCTGAGCCAAACCAGCCAGGGCTATATTGCAATCTTGAGGCAGAATTCCTTTTCTGGAAAACCTCAGGTTTTGCTCTTAACCCCTTCAGCTGATTAGATGAGGCCCATCTCCAGGGTGGAGGGTGATCTGCTTTACTTAGTCAGTTGATTGTAAACGTTAACCACATCTATGTAATAACTCCACTGCAGCATCTAGATTGGCGTCTGACCAAACAGCAGTAACATAACTTGGCCAAGTTGGCACAGAAAACTAATCATCACATACTTACCTTTACATTCTCTTTTTTTCCAAACTAAGTATCTGTGGAATGAATTAAAATGAACCTTTCCATTGCCTCATATGAGAACACTTAATGTGCTGTGCACTCTATTGCTGAACCATTGTTCCGTGTCTATCTCCCACTGTGATTGTAACTCATGGCCACTTAGTCTCTGTGAAAGCCTTGGGCCCTGTTTCCTCACTTCCTCTCCCTCAAAGAAAACACAGTCTGCACAGTCTGCACCTTCATCCCTGTCTTTCAGAGCATTGCACTTTCCCAGAGATTCTTCTGATGCCCTTTGCCCTCACGAGGAGGAGATTTGCAGTCCCATGGTTCTGATCCAGCCCACACTCACATCCTCTCTTCTCTCTCCTTGTAAGCAGGACTCCCCACCCCAGGGCCCCGTCTGATTGCCCAGTGGGGGCAAGGGGAAGGCCTGCGGGACCCAGCTCATGCTGCCTTTCGACAGAGGGATGTCTCTGGTGGTGCCGGCTCGGGTAAGGGGGTCAGCAAGAAGGAAACGGAAGTCACAGTTTAGATTCTGTCCTCTCCTGGGGTTTAGACCATGGTGATTGTGTTTGTGTACTTCATGCTTAGGGGCTTAGAGGAGGAGGCAGCAGACTTTTTCTGTAAAGAGCCAGAGAGTAAATCATTCTGGTTTGTGGGCCATGTAGTCTGTGCTGTTTTGGTCTGAAAGCAGCCATGAAACAACATAAAACTTTATTTACAGAGGTAGGCACTGCCTATGGGCCTAAGTGTGCTGCCCAAGGGAAAAACAAAGGGAGATAGTGACCTTGAGAAAGGTTTGGGCTCCAGCAGAAACCCCTCAGTGGAGGAGAGTCATACCAGAGCAGTCTGGGATCACGTACTGCCCGTGGGAGCAGACGTGACTCTAGTTCCCAAGGAAGAAATGAGGACGAGGAGCCTAGGCTGAGCATGAGGTGGATCAGAGAGCCCCTGAGGGTCACCCAGTCAGCATGTACTACTCTCTTGGGCCTTAACTGGGGGGTGGAATTGCTGGGTCATGTGATGACTATGTGTAACCTTTTGAGGAACCACCAGACTCAGGTCCTTTTTAAAAATTCTCACAACAGCCCAGCCAGTGTGGCTCAATGGATGGAGTGTCGTCCCATGGACTGAGAGGTCCTGGTTCAATTCCTAGTCAGTGCACATGCCCGGGTTGCAGGCTCAATTCCCAGTAGGGGGCGTGCAGGAGGCAGCCGATTGATGTCTCTCTCTCACATCGATGTTTCTCTCTCTCTCACTTCCTTTCTCTCTAAAATATCAATTAAAAAAAAAACATTAAAAAAAAATTCTCACAACAGGCCATTGAGGTGGTTCCATCTTTAGTTGTATACATGTGAGAATCGAGGCTCAGTAAATGTGAGCCGAAGCCTGTGTTTGGCTTTCTGGAAGAGCGCGTGGAGACAGGAGAGAGCAAAAGAGGCCTGCCTGGGGGGCCTGGTGGTAGACAGGGTCTTAGTGTGGACATATCTCAGGGTGGCAGATGTTGGGTCAGTGTCTGCCCACTGTGAGCTTTTCAGGGGGCTCTGCGAGAGCACATCTACTCCCCAGTCCTCAGTTCCCCGGCATGCCTCATGCCCCAAGGTCCCCAGATGAGGTTTGCCTTATGCCTCAGACGAGGAAGCAGAGTCAAGCATTTGCCTAAAGTTATACAACCTGGAGGGATCGAGCCAAGTCTGTTCAGGGTCCTCTCATTCTGTGCTCGGTGGTCACTCGTATACTTGGATCTGCAAAGGGGCCTTGGGGGCTGCCTCCAAGTACATGAGCGGGAGGCTGAGGATCTAGGACCCCAGGTCTTCTGGTCCTGCTCCAACCAAAACAACCTAGAGCAGGATCTCTTTCCCTGGGCACTGTTGCCACCAGGGTCGGGTGGTTTTCTCTTGTGGGGCCATCTGTGTACCAGAGAATATATAGCAGCATTCCTGGCCTCCACCCACTAAGACGCCAGTTGCAACAACACTCCCACCTCAGGCGTGACGACCAAAAATGTCTCCAGACATTCATTGTCAAGTGTTGGCTAAGGTGCACCACTGCCTCTGGGTTAGGACCCCTGGCCTGGAGGTTACATGCCCAGACTCCAGAGCCAGACTACTGGTGTTCTTAACTTACCAGCTAAGTGACTCTGGGTAAGTTCTCTAAACCTCCTTTTGCCTCAGTTTCCTTGTCCATAAAATGGGACCATAACAGCACCCACCTCACGGGCATTACGAGGATTAAACAAGTTGCCGTGCATTTATGACAGCCTCTGGCCATGGTGTTAGCACCTCACATCAGGGTCTGGCTGACACTCCCTGCTCCATGTTTTTTCTTTTTCTTGTTCCATGTTTTGAGGGGGGATTTGAAGAGCATCTCTCTCCATCATTTTCCTCAGATGGGATGCCCACCCAGCCTTTGTCTTTCTTTAAAAAAAATTTTTTTTTCTTTATTGATTTTTTTTAGAGAGAGGGGGAAGGGGAGGGGGAGAGAGAGAGAGAGAAACATTGATGAGAGAGAACATCGATTGGCTGCCTCCTGCATACCCCCGACTGGGAATCGGGCGCACAACCTGGGCATGTGCCCTGACCAGGAACTGAACCTGCGAGCTCTTAGTGCATGGGTCGACGCTCAACCACTGGGCCACACCGGCCAGACAGCCTTTGTCTTTCTTATTAGGAGCTCCCCTCCTCCTCAGAGACTCTGCTTTCTCTGTCTCAGGCTTTGGAATGAAGTTTAAGGATGGAGAGGACACCAGGGAGGACACATCAAAGAGGATGGAGTGGGACCGAGTGCTGTCGGCTCGGTGCAAGGGGCTCAGCCCCCCGTTCCCAGGTCACGAGCTGACCCCTGTCAGGGGTCTGACCAAATCTGAGCAGCCTCTGGAAAGAGGGGGGCCCCACAGGGTGGCAAAGCCTTACATGTGCCCTGAATGCGGCAAAGGCTTTAGCAAAACATCTCACTTGACCAAGCACCAGCGCACGCACACCGGGGAGCGGCCGTACCAGTGTCCCATGTGCGGGAAGGGCTTCAGCGACCGCTCCAACTTCAGCACCCACCAGCGGGTCCACACGGGCGAGAAGCCCTACCGGTGTGCTGAGTGTGGAAAGCGCTTCAGCCAGAGCTCCAGCCTGGTGATCCACCGCCGGACACACACCGGGGAGCGGCCCTACGTGTGCACTGAGTGTGGGAAGCGCTTCAGCAATAGCTCACACTTCAGCGCCCACCGCAGGACGCACACAGGCGAGAGGCCCTACACATGCCCGGCCTGTGGCCAGGGCTTCCGCCGGGGCACGGACCTTCACAAACACCAGCAGACTCATGGTGAGGAGAAGCACCCCACAGCTACACCGAGGGAGTGCAGCTGCCACCCAGACCCTTGCAGCTCCAGGAGTTCCCAGGGGCCAAAGCCTGACCACCAGGCATGTAAGTCAGTCACAGTACATGAAGCTGCCCGAGCTGTTACCCGGAACCAGAAACGCTGACGTTGAGGTATCTTCATACCAGCTGTGTGCTTCCCTGGGCCCGGCATGAGGACACAGCAGTGGGACATTTTGGGTGGAGTGTTGGGCACAGAGCAGATGTATTAGAGACAGGGTTGCTGTATAAATGACCACAAACTGCCCGGCTTACAACAGGAATTAATTCTGTCAGTTCAGGTGGCCACAAGTCCAAAATCAAGGTGTCTTTAGCACTGGTTCTTTCTGGAGGCTCTGATAGAAAAATCCTGTGCCTCTTCCAGCTGCTGATGTTACCCACAGTCCTCTGTCTGTGGGCTCAGAGCATCACTCCTGTTGCTGCCTCTGTCGCTACGGCCTTCTCCCTGTGTCTGTGTCCTCTCCTCTTCTAAGGATACATTGTATGAAATATATTGTATTTAAGCCCCCCCAATCTTAACTATTTCTGCAATGATCCTATTCCCAAATAAGGGCACATTCTGAGATTCTGATTGGACTAGAATTTGGAGGATACTCTTTAACCACTGCGGGGGAAGCCGTAATGGCTGCAGTTGCTTGTGGCATTATGTACCCCAGCCTTCCCCTCCAACCTTGCCACACTTTCAAAATGTAGGTGATGGGGGCTTTTCCTGCGTTCCAGTGGTGTCAGCAAGGAAATGGGGTGAGTTGGGAGTTAGCTTTGAGGATCCAGTTGTTTCGTAGGATGGATGCCTAGTGTGGGAATACTTCCATCTCCTGACCTCTCCCACCCATGAGGAAGCCTGGGGATCTCACTGGCCTCGCCATCCTCCCAGGGTAAGGGTCTCGCCATCCTCCCAGGGTAAGGGTCTGGGCTGCCTCTGCTCCAGCCCCAAGTGGCCATCTTCCAGGACACAGGCTGGCCTTGGTCACCCCACTTTGTCTTTCTGAGGCAGACGTGCCTCTCTGATTTGTTCATATCCACAGTCTCCTGAGTGGCTGGGGGGAAAAGTAGAGTCTCCTTGTTCAGTTTAGTTATCTCTGGAGTCATGGGGCAGCTGCTGAAACCACTGGGTTCTGGAACATTCCATCCAGAAGTGTGGCTGTTCCTCACTCCTGGGTGGCTTTGGTCCTCATGCCAGTTCTTGATGCTCCCCACTATTTTGTCACTGAATCACTGTATATATTTTCACCTTTCTATACAACCCAGGTTCCAGGGCATGTGACCTGCTCTTCTCTCAATAAAAGATGTCAGTCCTCTTACCATGTGCTCTGTCCTGTGTATGTATCCTCTGGAGAATGGAGCCGCCTGGTTTAAGGACGGTTTTTACCATCTAGGCCAGCTTCCAGGGCCTGACTTACCCAGTGCAGGGCTGGGTAGGAAGAGACCCTTGCCCACCCTCAGTGGACAGCCGTCAGCAGTGACCCCAGCTGAACGCTGGAACATGCACCCAAATGCCAAGGACTCTGCAGCATGGGATTTTTCTGCTCTTCCCATGGGGCAGGCAGGGCAGAAGGGGTCTGAGACTGATCAGCAGAATCCTGGAAACAGGTTGGGGAGGGAACAGTAGTGCCATGGATCAGGGCTTCAACCTGTTGGGCAGCAGGGCTGAGAAAAGAGTTATAAAAGGGCTATGAAAATGGCTGTGGTGGGAGGTAGTGCTTGTAAGGTGACAGAGTGAGAGACAGCAGTGCCGCCTGTGGGCCCCCAGCTCTTGCTGGTTATGCACAAGGATAACCTTGTGAAATCGGGACAGTTTCAGATGTTAGAACATTCAATATTCTCTGCATTTAAAGGTCAATTCCACCTTTAGTTTGGAAGAACCTTAGAATCTCTATGTGTTTTGTGTCTTTTTTTCATTGTTTTTATTTTTATAACAGATGTTTCTCCTTTTCCCCCCATTGACACCCTCCTCCCAATCCTGCCCCCACCCCAGCATGACTTTGTGTTTTTTGTTTGTTTGTTTTGGTTTGTGTGTGTGTGTGTGTGTGTGTGTGTGTGTGTGTGGTACGTGCCCCTAGCGGGAACCAAACCTGGGACTCTCTGGTCCGCAGCCCGATGCTCAACTGCTGAGCCAAACTGGCCAGGGCATGACTTTGTGTTTTAAAGAAAAAAGAGAAATCACATTTCAATCAAAAGTTCATTTGGTGTGTGCGTAGTGTGTTAATTTAAATATACAAAATAGCAAGTATCCAGGGACCCAGAAAATCAGGCTAAGTTCTCTTTCAAGGCCCTTTCTAGCCTGAAATTCTCTAAATATGTTTAACTTACGTTTTGTGGTTTTAAAAACCCTTGTATGATGGAAATAACAGATGCACATTAAAGATAAAAAATGCAGAAATGGACAAAGATGAATAGGCTTGCAGTTCCACAATTGGAACAAAACCATCGTCTTCGTGGGCTTTCCTTCCAGGCCCTTTCGGAAGATTGGGGTCACGTGAGTTGTCATCATGCTGTATGTTCAAGTTTGTGCTGGCATCTTAGCTCCAAATGCATGAAAATGTTCTGACCAAATTGTAACAGAGGACAGATCACAGTCCGAGAGGCTGTGTGCTGCAAAAGCACTGCTAATGGAAACATGGGAGGAGAGCGAAGGGACCATGACGGCCTACAAGAGTTGACAGAGTCAAACATCCCGCTAATCTCCTAAGATCCAGTCCCAGAGGCATCTATAGTTGGCCCAGAGGAGTCACCAGGACCTCCCTGGCAGTCCCTGGCCCAAGAGTGTCCTCCAGGGCCCCGAGATTTCCTACTGAGGGCCTGGCCAGGACACTCTGCCTCAACTCAAGAGCGTTAGGTGTTGCTTCCTTCCAGTCCCAGATCCAGCTGTATCTCCAGGGGCCCGAGCTTTCTGGCTGCTAGGACCCTTGCTGGCAGGCAACTGGGGCTGAGCCATCCCCTTCCGAAAAGCCCTGAGCTGCTGGAGAAGCTGACTTTTCCCAGTACAGTCCCTGTAACACAAGAGAAGCAATCTCAGTCAATGCCTAGTAGAGGCCAAAGCTCCCAAAGCTTCACCGCTGAAACAGGACACACAAAACCCAGTACTTCCAGGAGCATTTTCCCCAGTTCTTGAGATGTAACAAATAATGAAGGCAGCTTTCCACCCTTGCTGTCACAATTTGTGTCAGAAGCACATCTGGGATGAAACCTGTGTGACCTTTGTCAGCCCATATTTTCCTTCCCTCTTTTTTCCTATGATGCCTGATCATGGACCACAGTATGGGAAAAGTTATATTAGACTGACATTCTCTCTCTCTGTTTTTTAAATGCTCACCGGAGGATATTTTTTCCACTGATTTTCAGAGAGAGTGGAAGGGAGGGAGGGAGGGAGAGGCCAGGGCATAAATTGACATTTCAAAGGGTACAATCTGCAAGCTTTTCAATTCCAAAAACGATGGACACTGCCACACCACGTGATTGTAACTCGCCCATGACCAGTGTGGCCTCCCCACGAAGGAGACTTGAGCCTTCTCTGAATTTGACGTTTCACATCTTAATTCACCTAAGCCTTTCTTTTCTGGCTAACAACCATCACTTTACTCCATCCCTATACTTTCTCTCCACTTCCACTGCCATCACCTGTTGGGAACAAAATCAATTTGGGGAGCTGTTTTTCAGAAAGAAAATGTATTAATCCCTTCTCAAGAGCAGGCTAAGGTGTCCTTGGTGATGTCCGGGCACAGCAGGCAGGCTGAGGCAATGCTGGGCTCCAGAGACTACCCTCCACACTTCCCAGACCCCCTTCCCCCATACACCCTCGTGTGCTGGCTATTTGGGTGCAACACACAGAACTGAAAGCATAAATGTTAAATGTGCCAGGGGCTTGTGCGGAAAGCAGACAGGGAGCATCCCCAGGCAAGTGGAGCCCGTGGTGGTTACCGTAGCCGTGCTGGGCCCTGCTGGTCTCTCAGAGCAGCTGTCTCTTCTCCGCCTGCCTCCTCACTGTCGGAGGAGCTGGAGCTGGAGCTGGGGCAGAGGAAACGAGGGTTTGCTGGATGTGCCCCAGTCCACCCAGCCAGACAGGCTCCTACCAAGGACTTGGAGTGCCCAGGCCCCCCTGGTAACCCAAGGCAGAAGGATGGGCAGGCCAGCCAAAGCCCATCCAGCCCAAACCGAAAGGCCACTGGGCTTCCTGCCAGGTGGTGGAGGGAAGTACCCCAGGGTGATGTACCCCACCCTAGACTGTTTGCTTAGACCTCTGCTTGAAAAAGATTGATGACTGCCTCTGCTTTCTCCCTTTCTGCTGGGAGAGCCTGCTGAGGAAGAAGTGGGACTGTTGGCCAGGCTTGGCTCCCAGCTAAGAGCATTTCTCAGCTGTGCGGTGCTCTCAGGACTTGCCCATGGCCAAATCTTCCCATCTGTCTGTCTGTCGAAGTTTCTGTTCCTCCCTAGGCCAATGTGGCATCCACAAAGCAGTGTGTTTGCTGCAGGGCTGTCATCGCTCCTTGTACCTTTTCAATGACCCCTGGTCTGATGGCTCTGTGGGCCTCAGATCGATGAAGGTGGTGGGAGGCTCCGCTGGGCTCCTTAGCCAACACTGACTCAGTTTGGCCTGGACCAGCTCCGGCAAAGCACATCTGAGATGAGAAGAGCAGAGATGCTGAATCATTTCTCAGTGATTACTTGTGTGTGACCTGTGCTGGGCTCATGACTGCCACTGACTGAGTGCCCACTGTGTGTAGGGTACTGAGGTGGGCCTATCTCTTACTCTTCAGAACAACCCTTAAGATTTAGGCCAGTGCCATCTTACAGAACTTTCTGTGATGATTAAAATGTTCTGTCCTGAACAGTGTGTCTAAGTGGTTAGAGCGTCGGCACATGCACAGAAGGGTTGCAGGTTTGAGTCCCAGTCAAGGGCACATACCTGGGTTGCAGGTTTGATCTCCAGGCCTGATCAGGACCCTAGAAGCACGCAATCAATTGATGTGTCTCTCACATCAATGTTTATTCTCCCTCCCTCCCTCCGTTCCACTCTCTCTAAAAATAAAAATAAAAAATATCCTCAGGTGAGGATTAACAACAAAAATGTTCTATATATGCGCTTTCCATCAGGGTATCCACTTGTCACAATTTACATTTAGGCTAACTAAAATTAAATTAATACAATAAATTGAAGAATTCACTTCCTTGGTTGCACTGGCTGTATTTCAAGTGTTCAGTAACCACATGTGGCCAGTGGCTATGATTGCACAGTGCAGGTCTAGACATTTCTAGTGGACACTTTGGGATGCCTGGGACAGAAGTCAGTTCAACTAACTCGAGTGAAAAGGGAATCGCTGGCTCTCGGATTCCTAAGAAGAGTGGAACAACCAAAGTGTAGGAAGGGCATGGATACAGCCGAGCCCTGTTCCCACCTCTGCTCCTCCCCACCCAGCTTTAGTGTTTCTCACCACAGTTGGCCTGTCTCCTCCCTCCTACCTCTACCCAGAGATACCAGGGTGGAAATTCTAGGGAAAGGCTCTGATTGGCCTGCCTGGGGTCAGATGTTCAGGGACAGTGGCCAGAAGACCAGGGCCCTATGTCCTGGGAAGGCCATGTGGATGGTGAAGGGAAGGTTCCCATGGGGTGGGGGAAAGAGCAGGTGCTTTGGGGCTTGAGTCTTAGCTCTGCCACATATGGCCTGGGGAAGTCAACCTTTCTGAACCTCAGTTTCCCCATCTATAAAATGGAGATAATAGTAGCACCCACCTGATCAGATTCTTGAGATGAAATAAATACACATCAAGTGTCCCACCCACAATAGGCTGCAAGGCTGGGGGCCAGTTCTAAAGAGGACAGGGCCATGGCTGGCGAGATGTCCCACCTGCTTCTGGCCTCTAGCTGCTTGTCCTGGGGCATGTCCACAGGAACCTTCCAGGCAGAAGAAGAGGCTCTGGACTGTGTGGCACACAGGAGGGTGAGCTGTTCCATGAGCCTGTCCTGGGTGCTGGGCTCGGCGTGATCTGATGGGTGAGCAATGGAGGCTGCCTAGTGGGGACTGGGTCACTGACTTACAGTGGCCTGACCCCTCATGTGGATGAACCTCCAGGTTGTACATGGAGAAGTGAGGGGGCCTAGGAGGCCCTGCCCCAACCCACCCCTTTGGTACCCCACCTCCTCTCAACAGGGCTGAAGGAGGAGTATCTTTAGAAGCAGGGAGCTGTATTCGAACCCCTCATAGGGGTGACTTATTAACACTTTATCCCACTCCCTCACTCCCTAATCCCACTTGTCAGACGGAACCATATTTAATAGTTCTTTGTGTTCACTTTTTTAAAAAGAAATAATGCCCTGGCCAGTTTGGCTCAGCAGTTAGAGCGTCAGCCTGCGGTCTGGAGAGACCCAGGTTCGGTTCCCGCTAAGGACACGTACCTCGGTTGCAGTTTGTCCTCGGCCCTGGTTGGGTCGTGTGAGTGGCAACCACTCGATGTGTCCCTTTCATGTTGATGTTTCTCTCTCTCTCTCTCTCTCCCTTCCCACTCTATCTGAACAAAATATCGAAAAATGTCCTCAGGTGAGGATTAAAAAAAAAAAAAAATAGGAACAGGATCATTCTCTGTAGATTTTTTTCACTGAATATATTACATCTTTCTGCGTTAGTATATACAGATTCCCTCACTGAGCTGCAGAGTGTTCTGTGCTTCAACAGATTTAGTTAGACTCCTATTGAATATTGTTACTAAATATGAGGAGCCTTCACTCTGGAACTGGAGGCCTAAGTGGAAGTCCTGCTCCTTCACCTCAGTCCTGTCTCCATTCACCTTTGCGAGCCAGGCCTGGAGGGGATGGGGAGCTTCTGTGTTATTCACAAAACTGCCCAGAGCAAGGCCACAAGTGCACAGAGTAAAGACTGTGAAGGAGCATCTAGGAACCACTACAGGGCGCACCCTGAGGGCACACATGGGCCTAAGGTAGCTCTATTTTGTAAACAGGGCGACAGTAGAAGCAGGATTGTGTCTAGAAGCTGGCTGAAGAAGCTAAAAAGGCAGGATTACCTTCCTCCCAGAAGGAAAGAGAGAGAAGCTTCAGGAGGTGGGTAGGAGGAAAAGGTGAGGGTCAAGGGCAGGGACCACATCTGAAGGGCCCCCTCTTGTATCCTCTGGTCCACACCTGGCACATGGCAGGCACTCATACAAGTAACGAATAAATGAATGAGTAAGTGAATGAACAAAGTCTTTCAAGGACTGGCACCTGAACTGTTCAAGATGGTGAGGGCTGAGCAACAGAGAGGACATGGTAGGCTGCAGGGCTGACTGTGCCCAGACCACGAATCTATTTTATAGAGAGGCCCCGGAAGGCGCTGCTTGTGGGGATGCACTTGGGCCCTGGTGTTTAAGGTCAGACCTTGGCCCTGGAGGCGATCAGCTGCCCACCACACCTCTCCAGGTGCACGATCTCCCTGGTCCTTTTCTTGTCCAGCCAGACTCTGAAGGACGTGATCCAAATCCCACTCTTCAAGTTGCTGAAATGATTCAAGTGGTGATTACAAGGCTGCCGCAGGGTGCCGGAGGCAATGGAGGCTGTCATGGGATTCCCCGGGGTAGGAATCAGGGTTTGGAAGCATGCCCTCATTTGCAGATGGGACTCACTCATCTACCCTGCGTGGGTTGCAGAATGAACCACTTGGGGTTCTGTATCTCTTTCCTATGCCTCTTTGGGCAATAATTCTGTGTCTGGCACAAAGGCACATTTTCGCCTGGAGAAACCCAGTGTCTTCTTAAAACTTTTTAGCTTCATACAGATTTAAAACATTGGAAGGTTAAAAAGTTTTGCTTTTAAGAAAAATTACCTCCATGATCACCTTGATGCCAGTTTTCCTTACGTTGTTAAACAGATTATCCAAAATTTATAAATAAGGCAAAAAAGAGAATTGCATACTTTTCTATGTCATGCTGGAGCTTTTCTAAGATGCTCACCTTTCTAGGGGAAGGTTGGTTTGCACAACTGAGCAGGGCCCACCTATTTTATGACTGTAAAACTGAGAAGGTACAATGGTTTTCTTTCCTGTCCAGTAAAGAAGATACCTACATAGATATCAGTTCTATTGCCCTGTAGGATATTGACCAATTTTGTACTTAATGTAGCAATTTTATCTCAGCATTTATTTATTTTTCTCAGTGTCTTACAGAATCCTAGTTAACAGGTATTCATTATTTGTATGAGAATGGGAGTTTGAACGTCTTGAGAATTATGCTTTGACAGAGTCTGTTCTCTATCTTATATGCAGTTGTGCGTCTTTATAAACATGCTGAGGATTAGTTCTCTTTTTTTAAAAAGAAGGAGTCTCCTTGCTCTTCCTTGTTCTTGTTAATTCTACCTGAAGATGGTCTGTCTGCCAGGACCTGACAACCCCTGAGACAGGCATGATAGCCTGCCTACAAGTGGACAGGGGACCATGGGCCTAAGGTAGCTGCTGTAGAGTGAATGTTGGTGCCCCTCCCAAATTCACGTTGGAATCCTAACCCCAAAAGTGATGGAATTTGCAGGTGGTGACTTTGGGAGGTGATTAGATCATGGAACTAGTGTCCTCATAAAAGAGCCTCTAATCCGTTCCACCAAGTGAGGACAAAGGGAGAAGATGGCAGGCCCTCACCAGACACAGTATGCGCCAGTGTCTTGATCTTGGGATTTTGTCATAGCAGCGCCCACAGATTAGGACAGGTGTAGTGGGCCAGCCCTCAAGTTGGCCTATGAAGGAGCAACTAGGGACCACTACAGGACGCACTCTGAGGATGCACAGGGCAGGGGAGCGGCCTACCTGGAGGGAGAGCACTAGCAGTCCTTCCTGGGGCCCCTGTGGTGGCGTTCCTGGTCTTGGATCTGCCACTGCAGCTTCACAGGGCATTTCCTTCCCTTGACTGTGGTCACTGCAGGCGGGGTCCCAGGCACCCCCGGTGACTTTATGAAGTAGGTCTCTCTCAATCATCTTCCTTCTCTCCCTTCGGAGGGCTCTCTGTTTTGCAGAGTCTGAGCCCTCCCAAGCCCAGGAGGCAGCATTTGGGTCCATCCTCAAGTCTCTTTTTGGGAGACAGAGGGTGGCTTCTCCCTGCGGCCCCCAGGGAGGACTCAGGGAGCCTTTGGTGTTCAAGGACATATCCCCAAGGTCACATTCCTGCCACGTGGGGGTCTCCTCAGGCATCCTAAGAAGAGAGCTGCTCTCACCACTGCTCTCCAAGGGCTGGCCAGGGTCCCCTCCTTCCTTCATCCTTGCATTCCGTTCACCCCAGGGCTGTGCAGAGAACTCCACAGGCACCACACATGGCTATTGAGAAAACAGGTGTCCTTGGTTAGCCTCAAAACCATATGTTAAGGAAATTTTTTATTTATTTTTAATTGTAAATGTGTATATAACAAATTTTGTCATGTTAATATTTATAAATGTAAAATTCAGTGGCATTAAGTATATTCATAATGCTGTGCAACCATCGCTACTGTCCATTTTCTAAGCTCTTCCATCACCCAAACAGAAACTTTGTACCTTCCCTTGCCCAGCCCCTGGTAAACGCTAATCTATTTTCTGTCTCTATGAACTTGCCTATTCTAGATATGTCATAGAAGTAGAACCGTACACTATCTATTCTTTTGTGCCCTTTGATTTAACTCAATGTTTCCAAGGTTCATCACATTGTGGCAAGTGTCAGTATTATTCCTTTTTGTGGACTGAATAATATTCCACTGAATGGCTAGACTACATTTTGCTTATCCATTTTATTTGTTGATGAACATGAGGGTTGCTTCCACCTTTGGCCACCGTGACTAGGCCACACAACTATTGAGGGGTGGGCAAAATGAAACTCAGGCCCTTTGGCTCCAGAGCAAGCCCACGGCTCTACCCCCATGAATTGGTACAAACTTTCCCATCTCGTTTTTTTTTTTTTAATCATCCAGAATAACAGCTGAGGTAATCATAGAAATGAAGAAAATAAAATAAAGCCACATTAATCAGGGGTCTTAGCAACCCTGGGAATTTCTCCTGTTTGGGATTCTTTCAAACATACTTCTAGGCATAGCTGAGTGAGTGGATGACTTCTGTCATGGTGGTGAGGGGACATGCCCTGGCTCTGTAAAATGACCGTGTGTCAGTGCTCACACTGATAACTGAGTGTGGCTTGGGGGGTCAACAGGAATAGCAGGGGCAAAATCAGACAGAAAAGAAGTCCCCACCCCTGGTGCTAAGTGTACTGGGCTCCTGAAAAAATACTATGGACAAGGTGGGTAGATGTTTGGTGTCAACTCCTTGGGTTGTATTACCTGGAGAAAAGCCTGGGTGTACAGAAATGCTGGACCAGGTTTTTTTTTTGTTTTTTATTTATTTTTTTAATCCTCACCCGAGGACATTTTTCCACTTTTTTTTGTTCAGATAGAGTGGGAGGGAGAGAGAGGAAGAGAGAGAGAGAGAGAGAGAAACATCGACGTGAAAGGGACACATCGAGTGGCTGCCACCCGCACGACCAACCAGGGCTGGGGACAAACCGCAACCGAGGTACATGCCCCTAGCGGGAACCGAACCCGGGTCTCTCTGGACCTCAGGCTGACGCTCTAACCGCTGAGCCAAACTGGCCAGGGCTGGACCAGGGGTTTTAACCTTTGACCCAAACTGCTGTTAGAGTCCATTGAGAGTCATGGACACTCACTCCCACACCCCAATCTGCCAGCAGGTTCCCAGCTTAGTGGCTCCCTGGAGCCTGCATTCCACAGACCTCAAGAGGAGAACTGTTTGCTGGAGCGACCCAGGCCTCATCAGGGTCTTCAGCCAGCTCCTCTGACAAGTCTGGAATCAGGGTGCTTTGATTTCGCTGGTAGATGAACAGCTCTTCTTCTCCGCACTCTGACTGTGGACAGACAAGAGAGCTCTGGGATTACACGGCAGAGGGCAGAGCCAAGAGGGCCATGCTCCCTTTACCTGGCCCCATCTAAGCCCTGGGCTACTTCCTGCCCAGGAAAAGTAGGCTCAGCAGCACCACCTTGTGGAGGTGAGATCCAGGGCTCTCAGTTGTTTACGTACTAGTCATCCTTAAGATGTTGTATGCAGTCAGGCGGAGCCATCGGTGTGGCTCCGCCGTTGAGTGTTGACCCATGCACTATGAGGTCCCTGATTCGGTTCCCCGGGCAGAGCACATGCCCAGGTTGTGAGTCAAATCCCTAGTGGGGGGCATGTAGGAGGAAGCCGATCAATGTCTCTCTCTTTGATGTATCTCTCTCTCTCTAAAATCAATAAAAGAAAAATTATTACAAAAAAAAAAAAGATGTTGCATACACAGGTACCTGGTTAATGCCTGGTGCCAAATGAATTGGGCATCAAAGTGGTAGCTAAAGAGCAGAGTCCAGCCTTCCCTCTCCTCTATGACTTGAGCCATCATGTAATGACATAGAGCCTTGGTTTGTCACCTCTAAGGTAGGGTGGGGAGGCACTTATAGTCACCAGCCCACCTCACAGGGGTAGTCTGAAGATGAGAGTAACTAAGACCGAAGATGTGAAAAGGCACTGGGGTCACATTATCAACTCCCTATTAGCCTTGCCGTGCACTGGAAGATCCCCGAGGTCCAAGCTGTGTCATGTTCATCTTTGCAGGTGCCACAGGTAGGACCCAAATCTGACTTGTTACTTCTAACACCTTTGCCCTTTCTCTAAATGCCCAGATCCAACTTATGTGTTTAACTCTCACTGCTCAGCTCCTACCAGGTGCATTGCCCACTTTGCTCTATTCATGGGGTCGCTGTCACGTCTTATGTGTGTACATGCCTAATTTCCACTATGTGGAAAAGCTGATATAGCTCATTTAAACCTAAATTCAGAGTCACTTTCGTCACCCAACATTCTCTTAGTTGGTAGAAACTGGAAACACAGTTATCATCATGGTGAAGCATGGCCCACCACAGTGTACAATGTTACAAAGGGCTCCTGCTCCTTGAACAGGCTGAGTAGGCTCTTAAATGTTTGTTGAATGAATGCGTGTGAGCAATAAGAAAATTACTATGTATTATACATTCATCATGTGTCAAGCACTATGCTCTAATGTAGATTATTTAATCCTTACAACGATTTACAATGTGAAGCCTCGGTCCTTAACTCTTATATGATGTACATCTCTGTTTATCATCATCCTCCATAAAGCAAACTGGGGTGTTTGCCAGAATGAGAAAATTACTAGGATAAAGCCCTAGCTGGTTGACTCTGTTGGTTGGAGCACTGTCCCATGCACCAAAAGGTTATGGGTTCGATTCCCAGTCAGGGAACATACCTAGGTTGCAGGTTTGACCCCTGGTCAGGGCACATGCCTGGGTTGTGGCTTGATCCCAGGTAGGGGGCGTGCAGGAGGCAGCTAGTTGATGTTTCTCTCTCATTGATGTTTCTGTCTGTCTTTCCCTCTCATTTCCTCTCTCTCTCTCAAAAAAAAAAAAAAAAATCAATAAAAAATATTATTTTTTCTTTATTGATTTTAGAGAGAGGGAGAGAGAGATAGAAACACTGATGAGAGAGAACATCGATTGGCCGCCTCCTGCATGCTCCCCACTGGGGATCAGGCCCATGACCTGGGCATGTGCTGTGACCGGGAATAAAACCAGTGACCTCTTGGTGCATGGGTCGATGCTCAGCCACTGAGCCACATCAGCCAGGTAATATAAAAAATATTTAAGAAAAATGCTAGGATATAGATGATTTTGTTAACTCTATTAATTGAGCACCCACTCTGAGCCAGGCACTTTACAGAAGCCCAAATTCATACTAACAGTAACTATCTATTTTGCAATAAGGAAACCGAGGCTGACCCAGGTGTGGCAACTGTCCATAGGTTACATGGTAAGTTAGCAACCGAGTGGTGATGGGGACCCAAGTCTGCTTAACACTGCTGCTCCTGCTCTTCTTCCTCTGTTGAGGTGCTGTTCTCGACTCTCTGTTGGGCCAGGACTTGGCCAGAGCCACCACTGAGAGTGACTACCATTTCAGTGCATTATGATAAATCCTCAGAGGAATTCTCTAGTTGTCGTTTGGGGTCAGTGGTAAGGCCCAGGAGGGTGGTGAGCACCAATAAATATATTCAGAGAACAAAAAAGAGATGATGAATGCTGAGCTGATAAGCTCCATAGCTGTCCATGCGTAAGCAACACATTTGTCATGAAAAAGGAAAAGCAGTCAGGGCCTAGGACGATATGGGAAGAAGGCACTTACTTACCAAAGAGGAATCAGAGTCCAGAGATGGAAGCTGCTCCCTGACAGCCTCAAGAATGGCTTCCCAGGGCCCCATCTGGGAGGCCCAGGAAGAGGGCAGTGAGGGACCCACATCTTTGTCTTGGGATGTCATGGGGGCACAGGTTCAGGGGAAGCTTCTCAGTACACCATCGTCCAAGGAACCCTGCAGAGAATGCGGAGGGGGTGGGGTGAGGTGACAATATTCAGGGACCAAGGATCAAGAGCTGCGGCTGCCTTTTTAAAACATCTACCACTTTGTGGGGGATAAAAATGAACTCAAAGACCTTCTACCCCATTTCCCTTCTGGTTCTGCAGGTTCCTATTACTGAATGCCAAGCACTGTGCCCTGCACTGTGTGTGTGTGTGTGTGTGTGTGTGTGTGTGCAGTGTAGTGCAGTACGGAGGCCAAAGATTTTATATATATATATATAAAATGATATATGATAATATATAGATATATGTATTGATATGCAATGATGTATGTATACAGGTATATGATGCATAAAATTACACATGTCTATGATACATAGACATATGTAAACTATATATATCTCATATAACATAAATACTATTATCTACATTTTCTAGACTCAGAGAATTATATTGTTAGTAAATGGCAAAGATAGAATTTGTATCAAAATTAGAGAGGATTTTAGGCCCCACTACTTTTCCTACTCCCTTACAAAGAAAGAGATATTTTGGAATTCCCAGGAGATTTTTTTTTTTTTTTTGAGTCATCACTCAATTTAATCCCTTATACCCAGGCACTGAAACAGCCCTCCTTTTGTATCTCAGTCTAAAAGGAAAAGGCCCAGCCCCTCAAGGGTCAAGGGGACTTAAGGAATGTGGGATGATGGTACTTCTGGAGCCAGAGCCTGGAGATCCCTTGAAACCTGGGAGGCAGCTGTGCCTATAAAATGGGAAGACAACACCTGCTCCAGCCCTAGCCAACTATCATTCTGCAGCAGGGCTCCCGTCACTGTAGTAGCAGAAAACGTGAGTGGAGGCTTCTTGCTTCTTCTGTGCTTACAAGAGCGGAGACAGAAGCTTGGTGCACCCAGAACTGGGAACTGGGTCGCATGTAGTACATATAGCATGGGATGTTTTCTGGATGCAGGGCTGATCAGAGGACAACAGAATCGCGTAGGTGAAGGGGGCTACCGGAGACGGATAAATTCTTTAGGTGGACAAGGCAATGCAGGGAAAGGGAAAGACATTATGGGCTGCGGGAGGAACACGTACAGTGTCTCAGAGGAGTGAAAATTGCCAACAAGCTTGGGGCAGGAAGGTGTCAAATGAAATAAAACGGACCAGATCGTGAAGGGTCCTGGACGTCAAACTGAGGAGCTTGGCTCATTCAGCAGATGAGAGTGAGGCCAAATGATACGCGAACCAGCAGCTCAAGTTTAGTTCCTCCGAATCCCGACTCTTATTAATACATATCCGTTTTTTGGCTGCAGCCCGTTAGCCCCGCCCAAAGTCCCGCCCCCGACCCCAGATCCGAGGCGGGTGGTTGTTATGACAACTAGACGCCAACGGCCTCCGGGGTCAGGTTTTAAATGCTTGATACTCCGAAACCGGAAATCCCAGCGTCTGTCTTTCCACACATTACCAGTCCCTGTCTCCCCCGCATTCCGTCCTACTCTGGACATTTAGCTCTGCAGCTGCGGCAGGCCCGAGGCCCCTCACCTTCGGCCTCCTCTTCCTGCGCGGTCCTGACAGGGCTATAAGCAGTCTTCAGCCCGTCCCTGCGGTCGCGTTCGCTCCATTGGGCCGCGGCGCAAATACTGAGCCTTTTACCGCCTCGGATCCCCTCTCAGCAGTCTTACTTTACTGGACTGCCAACCGCCTCCACCCCCACCCCCGCGCCCCTCTCCTCGCGCCCCACTCCCCGCGCCTCTTTCGGGGCTTGGCCGTCTTGCGTCTCTTGCAATGGGATTTGTTCCTAGGATCAGTGGAGGGGGCGGGGCAGGCGCACTCCCCCTGCTCATTGGCTGAAGCGGGCGTCAAACAGAGAGCCGCGAGCTGACGGGAGGGGCCGGGTGTGGGACCGACGAATTCCACAGCGTCCAGAGCGGCTCCGCGGCTCCGCGAGCGTCCCGGCGTGCTCCGCGCCTCTGCAACCACTTCCGGGGCGGGAGCAGGGCGGTGGGTCCAAGCGCTGAGGTAGCCGGCGTGGAGGGGTCCCAGACGCGTGCGGCGGAGAGCGGGTCCCGTGGGAGGAGCTCAGAAGCAAGCGGACGCAGGGTCGGCGGCAGCAGCTGGCTGAAGTCAGCCCAGGGCTCGAGGCCCAGCGCAGGTAGGGTCCCCGGCGGCTCGGCCACGCTTGGTGCCGGCACCTGCTGCCCACCTGCGCAGCCCGCAGCGGGGCGTCTCAGCCCTGCGCTTGCTCGCGCTGTGAGCTTATGGATCGGAGCTTTTGCTGCTGCAGCTGTGGAGCGGGAAAGATAAAGCCACATTCCGTGTAGGGTTATGGAAGGAGGCGCCAAGGGACGTCTGTGCTGTAGGTGCTCGGGTTCTTCCCTAGGGCCCCTCCCTGGGGCCTGAGAACGAGGCTGGGGTACCCAGGCCCCGCGGAGGGCCCACGAGCCAGGGCGGGAGGGGATGCCCCCGGGCTTTTACAGATCTCTTGGCCGTCGTTGTGAGGGTCGACCACCACCGTCATCCTTTTTTTCTTAAGTTAACGTCTTGCTTATTTTTGAAGTAATGGATACTTAGTATTTTACAAAATGTACAGAACCAAAATGTAGGGTGAAAAAAGGTCCCACCCGTAGTACTACTTCTTTGAGATAAATTCTGCAAGTGATAAGTAAAAGACATTTTCTACCAATGTTCAAATATAATCATGTTATGCATGAATACCCCGTCATTGTAGAGCGTCTGGCATGTGGCAGGGTGCAAAGGAAGTAATAAATAATAGCTTTATGGTCCCTTTGCATCCACATTCTCTCTCCTTAAGCTCCTTGATCAGGGGCTTGGTTCTGATTGTCCCTCAGCACTCTTCAGGGTGTCGGATATATGAGCATCTAATAATAAAAGAGATAACTTGGGCCCCACCTACAGGAGGCATTTGGAGTAGAAGAGATACATCCACAGAAAGCTTGAGAGGTGTATTGAAAGGCGCTCTGAACTGACACTCAGCTTATTTGGCTTCTAACCCAGGCTCTGTGGGTCAGGACTGCTTGGGTTGAGGGTTGTCACCTGCGAAGTGAGAGCTGCTTGAACTCAGGCCTTGCCAGTGTGAAAGGCGGTGGTTCCAGCAGGCAGGGCTTTGCTCCAAATTTTGTTACCTGTAGGCCCCTTTACATGTACACATACTCTTGCAAAGGACCTACAATCATTTGTCCCCCAAATTGGCAGCTTGTTTGTTGTTTGGACACCTTGGCTGTCATTCGGTAGTAGGTACTGAGGTCTGAGTGGCATCTGTGAACTGCTGTGGTACCTTTACCCCATCTGAACTGCATGTAGTCTTTTTTGGTTTTCTCTTTCTCTCCCTTTTCTACACTTGCTTTCTTTTTCTTTCCCACCAGAATAGGAGACAGATGTCACTCCTGGACCTTAGAGTTCTACTAGGAAGCTAATGAATTGGCCTATTTGGGTAGGATTCCCAGAATAAAGAATAAAGGGCTATCATAATCATAGACTCTTCTTTCTGGTTTTGTCCTATCCCACTTTCAGGGGATGCATAGGAAGATTCCTAGTCACTTAACATTTGCTGAACACCAGTCACATCCTAGTTTCTGTGGTAGGGGCTCTCAATTTTTTTCAAAATTTATTTGTTTAAAAATTTTACATACAGTAAAATTCACTCATTTGGTGTTTAGGTCTCTGAGTTTTGATAAATACATAGAGTCACATATCCACCAATTACGATGCAGAACTGGTCCATCACCCCCAAATTCCCTCTTGCTAACCCTTTGTGCACCCTCCTCCCCCAACCCCTGTACTACTAATCTGTTCTCCAACCGTTTTATTTTGTCTTTTCTAGAAAGCCATATAAATGGAATCATACAGTAGGTAGCCTCTGAGTCTGGCTTTTAGCTCAATGTGTTTGAGATTGGTTCATGTGTTATATGGTATGTTGTATGTATTAACTATTGTTCTTTCTGCTTATTGCCAAGTTGCAGCATTCCATCCTATGAATGTGCCATTGTTTGTTTACTTGTTCTTCCATGTGTCTTTAACAGCAGCCCTTTGAGATATTATGTATCCATTAGACAGTGAAGAATTGCAGATGAGAGATGCTAAGTAGCAGAGCTAATTTTTTTAATCCTCACCAGAGGTTGTGTTTCTATTGATATTTTTTTAGGGGGAGAGAAAGGGATGGGGGGGTGGGAGACAAAGAGAAAGAGGAAGAAACATTGATCAGTTGCCTCCCGTTTGTGCCCCGACCAGGGATTGGACCCACAATCTAGGTATGTGCCCTGACTGGAATCAGACCCACAACCTTTTGGTTTACGGGACAATGCTCCAAACAACTGAGCCACCCGGCCAAGGCAGCAGAACTGAATTTTGGTCTAAGCCCAGGGTTCTTTCCCGCCACACCTAAGAGCTGATTTGGTCCACTGACCCAATCAGCATTTCTTTATTGACCATCCAAGAGGTTGTCAGACTTCTTGAGTTCCTGGAAAATACCCTTTCTAGAATGTGGGGCCTGAAGATTAATGAAGGAAAATATACACTGTAGTTTATGACTCACCATATATACTCTTCTGTTTCTGTCTCTTGACAAGCTCACAAAATCATACAACATTTAATGAAAGAAAGTTGTCTAAGTCAGTCCCAGGAAGGAGTTGACTGCATTGGGTAGCAGTCTGCTAAGATAGTGACATAGCTGCCTGCATACTGCAGGTAGGAATATGACCATCCTGTTTAATTGCCTGGAACCACCAGGAAAGAAAGATCTAACCCCTGGGCCTCCCTCCACAGTGATGTCGGAGCTCAGCGATGAAGCCAGTGAGCCAGAACTCCTGACCCGCAGCTTGTCCATGTGGCATGGGCTGGGTGCACAGGTCAGCTGGGAGGAACTGGCTGTGCCCTTGGATCTCCACACAGCTGCTTCCATCGGCCAGTATGAAGTGGTGAAGGAATGTGTGCAGCGGTAAGACATCTTGGGAAATGTTCCTCCTCCTCAGATTTTGAGGACCATCTCAGTGGCTTTAGCTCCCACATAGAAATATTAGTAAGTTAACCAGGCCTTGTAGACATTTAATACATATGATCTAGATTAACCCTGCTTATATAGGGCAGTTGTCAGTGATTTATGCTGGACTCTAATAAGGAAGGCAGTTTTTATTCCCAGGAAGAAAAAGCTTGTTTAAACTTTTTTTATAGGCTTAGTTAGAAACATTTCCAGGTTACTTTAACTAGAGTGACTTTATGGTTTTTACTAACTGCAGAAATGCTCAAAATAATAATAAAGATAGAAAGTAATGCCCTATGACCTACTATGACCTTTTTCCAAGTGGTTCATTTTAATCCTTTGTGCCCTCCTCTTCCCTCCAGCTTCTGCCATAGAAGAGGAGGAGGCAGCAAGGTTTATCTGCCCTTCTGGAGGATTACAACTGATCCAACTGCCCACATACCATTTTTACTAATGTTATACAAATATTAAGTCCCCGTGCAACAGCAGTGGTCTTTGACTGTGTTTTATTTGTAGTACAATGTGATATCTACTGTAATTTTTGGAAAAGAATCTGTCTCCTTGCCTCCACTCCTTGTGCTCATACTTTGTGCTCATATTTCCATTTCTCATTGATAACATAGAGAAACTATCAATGTCCATACTTACATGTGCTTTTTCCAGTTCCTCAGGTGCCAAAGCCAAACCTTATGTTTTTTGTTTGTTTGTTTTTATGTTTTTGTTTTTTTTTAATCCTCACCAGAGGATATTTTTCTGTTTATCTTTAGATAGAATGGGAAGGAAAGAGAGAGAGAGAAACATCAACGTGAAAGGGACACATCGACTGGTTGCCTCCCACACAACCCCAACCAGGGCCGGGGATTAAGCCACAATCGAGGTGCATACCCTTGACTGGAATCGAACCCGTGACTCATTGGTCTGCAGGCTGACGCTCTAATTGCTGAGCCAAACTGGCCAGGGCTGTTTTTATTGATTTTAGAAAGAGGAAGGGAGAGAGAGAAACATTGATTCTATGTAAATTCCGATGGGGATTGAACCCACAACCTGGGCATGTGCCCTGAGTGGGAATCAAACCAGTGACCTTTGGGTGCACAGGATGACACTCAACCAACTGAGCCACACCAGCCAGGGCCCAAACCTTGTTGAAGCCCTAGATTTCTAGTTCCCAACTGATAGCCATCACTTATAAAAATCTGGCCAGTCGAGCGCAAGTGTACTCTGGTAAGGGATAACCCATTGTACTCCTATACCAGGTGGCCTTGGGATTGTGTAGCTGGGTACTCAGGCAGCACATTTTCCCCACAGGGTCACCAAGACCCCAGTTATAACTGCTGCTATGGTATTCTTGGGTTTTTAAGACTTTGGGTGTTCAGGTAAAATGCACAGTCCAGAGTGGCTCCACAAAGGAGAAGAGGGAAGTGTTTATATTCTGATTGGGCTTGGGATGCTAGCCAAACTCACGGCTTACTCACAGTAAGGCAGACTGAGGACCTGAGGAGTTGGAGGCATCAGAATGGGGGATTGGCTGACGGGAGGTGTGAGAGCCTTAGATATGCTCTGCCAAGGGTCAGGCCTTTCTTTTTCCATATGGAATTGAGTGCTCTGTCAATGAAGGTCACATGGTGAGGATGAATTGGTCTTCATGTGGTTTCCCAGACAGTGGCTGTTACTGAATTCCTGGAATCAGGACCTTTCAGAATGACTGTGTGGGCACCCCAGACTCAATAGAAGATGTTAGTGAATGTTATGGCTTATTACGTGCAAACCTATGAGAGGCACAAACTGTGTGGATTGATTGGAAGATTGATTAGCTCCACTGGAGGCAAGGACTGTGGAAGAGGAAAGGCTATGGGGATGAACTTACACAGGATGTTCCTCCAAGTGGATGTTCCTGGAAGCACACATTTTTTTCCTGTGGGAAATGTTTTCCTAAAATATTAATGGAAATTGGTGAGAAAGGTAGGATTATTTGGTCACGGATTTTCTAAAAATGTTTCTGTAGGGTAAGGTGACAAAGGAGAATTCAATTGCAGTGGGACTCCATTGTCTTAAGTCCCTTCCTCTCCCCCCAGCATTGGATAGCAGACTGTGGTCTGTTGTAGGAAAGTATTCAAAGCTCCGGGTCAGGATCTCTTGACCTTGGCACTGCTGACAATTTGGGCCAGGTCATTCTTTGTAGTGGGGGCTGTGCTGTGCACTGTAGGATGTTTAGCAGTATCCCTGGCCTTGACTCCGGCTCTAGTAAACCCCACATGTGAGACGGCTGGGCATGTCTAGCATATCTTGCGTTTGTTTAGGAGAGAGTTAGATTTGAATAAGAAGAATGGTGGTGGCTGGACCCCGCTGATGTATGCCTCCTACATTGGACACGATACCATCGTGCACCTGCTGCTCGAGGCGGGGGTGAGTGTGAATGTGCCGACCCCGGAAGGGCAGACTCCACTGATGCTGGCTTCCAGCTGTGGCAACGAGAGCATCGCCTACTTTCTCCTCCAGGTGAGCTACGAGGGGACTCAGGCCCAGAAACCTGAGGGGCTCCCAGCTGCTGTGGCAGAGACATGAACCACTGTAGGACATGTTGTGCGTGCGCGTGTAATCATTTTTATTCTTTCAGCATGACGACCTGGAGGGCGCCTGCCCCACGTAAAGGAGATGAGATGGTAACGAGCATTCTGTGTTCTCTTGAAGCAAGGTGCTGAGCTAGAAATGAAGGACATTCAAGGCTGGACTGCCCTCTTCCACTGCACCAGTGCAGGGCATCAGCAGATGGTCAAGTTCCTTTTGGACAGTGGAGCAAATGCCAACGTGAGGTGATTACCAGGTCTTAAGGGCCATAGAAGTGGATATAGTCACATCTAACTCTAAGGAGGGCAACTGTAGAGGAAACTACAGGCTAGAGTCAGGGCAGCCCCTCTTCCATATGAAGGGTTCAGACAAAGGGGCAGAAGAGACAATCCTGCCCAGGTGCAGGAGGCCTAGGGATACTTCTTCTCCCCCCTTTCTGAATTCTCATTGCTTTATTTTATTTATTTTTTAAAATCTTTATTGTTGAAAGTATTACAGATGTTCCCCATTTTCTTCTCCCATTAACTCCCTCCTCCCTGCTCCATTTCTGGCCTTTTTGCACACCTGTTAGGTGACATTGCATGCAGCACTTCAAGCTCTCTGAACATCATTTTCTTTTCTTTTTCTTTTTATCATCACCCGAGGACACTTTTCCATATTTTGTTCAGATAGAGTGGGAGGGAGATAGAGAGAGAAACATTGATGTCAAAGAAACTCATCGAGCGGTTGCCACCCACATGACCCAGCCAGGCCAGGGACAAACTGCAACCGAGGTATATGCCCTTATCGGGAACTGAACCTGGATCCCTCTGGACCGCAGGCCGATGCTCTAACTGCTGAGCCAAACCGGCCAGGGCCTGAACATCATTTTCTTTATCTGAATACTGAGGATAGCAATACCTATATCATGGAGTTGTTAAAAGAATTACATATTCTTTTATATGCCAAGGGCCTAACATAGTGAATCTCACTTAAATGACATGCATTAAATGCTAATTTCTTTCTCTTTTTGGCCTTATCAGGTGAGGTGTTTCTTTGAAAATAGTCATGAGTTTTATAAGCTGAAAGGGATATTGTCTAAAGCATGTATGATAATCCCTTTTTTCCCCTTTATTTTTATTGAATTTGTTGGGGCAACATTGGTTAATAAAATTATACAGGTTTCAGGTATACAGTGCTGCAATACATCATCTGTATATTGTATTGTGTGTTTACCACCCTAAGTCACGTCTCCTTTCATCGCCATTTATCCCCCCTTTACCTTCTATCTCCTTCCATACACCACCCCCATAATCCCCTTTCAACACAGCATCTAACTGGCACTGCCCACAGCCCCTGGTTGATATCATCTATTGTGAGGCACACCATAGCTTTACATGCCACCAAAGAAGAAAAAATGCTAATTAAACCGCAGCTCACGTATGGATTTTTTTTTTTTTTTAATCCTCACCCGAGGACATTTTTGCACTCATCTTCAGATAGAGCGGGAGGGAGGGAGGAAGAGAGAGAAAGAAACATCGATGTGAGAGAGACACATCAAGTGGTTACCACCCACACAACCCCAACCAGGCCGGGACAAACTGCAACTGAGGTACATGCCTTTAGTGGGAACTGAACCCGGGCCTCTCTGGTCCGTGGGCCGATGCTCTAACCGCTGAGCCAAACCGGCCAGGGTTTTTTCTTTTTTTTCCTTTATTGATTTTAGGGAGAGAGAGATAGAAACATCGATGAGAGAGAACATTGATTGGCCGCCTCCTGCATGCCCCCCACTGGGGATCGGGCCCACAACCTGGGCATGTGTCCTGACCAGAAGTTGAACCGGCGACCCTTGGTTCACGGGTTGATGCTCAACCACTGAGCCACACCGGCTGGACTCACCTATGGATTTTGAGACACATTCTGACTGTGGAGATGTTAAAATGTAAACATGATGTGTTTTAGAATGGATAAAAACCAGTGTTTAGCTTAGTTTCTGTCTTCCAGACCAGTGTGAAGTGAGGGTTAAGGGGTACTGAAAACAGTGCTGAGTTAACCATAATCAAGCATAAAAAATAAGCATCAGGTACCAGGCATAGTAAGAGCAGGTAGATTATTAGTCCCAGAGCTTTGGGGAGGGTTCCTGGAGGATGTTAAATGGAAAAGATATGGTCTGGATAGGGGGATGGGAAACCTTAACTTTTTGTGAGCAGCTAAAGTTAGCTGCCTTTTGCAGGTGATTCAAGTGGAGACTTAAGAGATAGCAAGGGCGCCCTGGCCGGTTTGGCTCAGCGGTTAGAGCGTCGGTTTGCGGTCCAGAGAGACCCGGGTTTGGTTCCCACTAAGGGCATGTACCTCGGTTGCATTTTTTCCCAGCCCTGGTTGGGTTGTGTGGGTGGCAGCCACTCGATGTGTCCCTTTCACATCGATGTTTCTCTCTCTCTTCCTCCCACTCTTTCTGAACAAAAAATGGGAAAATGTCCTTGGGTGAGGATAAAAAAAAGATAGCAAGGGCAAACAGCTTAGAAGGAGTGGAGTAGGGAGACAGAATGTCTTTGGGACAAAAGATGAGAGCTGGAGTGGAAACCAGAAGAGTTCTTAAGGCTAGTGTGTTGGTAAGAACTTTTTTCATTTCTCGCCATTAATACTTGGGAGAGGGAGACCTCTGTACATAGAGATGGGTGACTGTCTATCAGCTTGGTTTTGTCTGCATCAGGGAAGCATCTCCCCAGCAGAACTTTTTTCTGCTAATCATCCGACTGGCCTCTGTCTTGCAGGGAGCCAATATATGGATTCACTCCTTTGATGGAAGCAGCTGCTGCTGGCCATGAAATAATCGTGCAGTATTTTCTGAATCATGTAAGTGACCCTCTTTATTAGCTTATAATTTAATTACAGCAAGTGGTGAATTATATCACTGAAGCATAAACTATAACAGAATTTCTGATACACAGAAATAACTGCTTTTCATCTAGTTATTTAACACATTTTCTTTTTTTTTTTTTTTTTATCATCCTCACCCGAGGATATTTTTCCATTTTTTGTACAGATAGAGTGGGAGGGAGAGAGAGAGAGAAACATCGACGTGAAGGGACACATCGAGTGGCTGCCACCCGCACGACCATCCAGGGCCGGGGACAAACTGCAACCGAAGTACGTGCCCTTAGCGGGAACCGAACCCGGGTCTCTCCGGACCACAGGCCGGCGCTCTAACCGCTGAGCCAAACTGGCCAGGGCATTTAACACATTTTCATTGAGTATCTATTGATGCCAAGTGTTGAGTGGCACTTAGGCATTAGGGGTATAGTGGTGAGTAAAAACATACCTATTCCTGTAAGGATTTTGGAAATACTATTACTTGAAAAGTATGGAAAGTGTGTGTGTGTGTTTATTTAAAAAAAAATTTTTTTTTCTTTATTGATTTGAGAGAGAGAGAGAGAAATATCAGTGAGAGAGAACATTGATTGGCCGCCTCCTGCAGGCCCCAAACTGGGGATCAGGCCCACAACCTGGGCATGTTTCCTGACCAGGAATTGAACCGGCGACCTCTTGGTGCATGGGTCGACGCTCAACCACTAAGCCACACTGGCCGGGCAATAAAAACATATTTACAAAAAAAAGATAATTAGCCCTGGCCAGTTTTGCTCAGCGTTTAGAGCGTCGGCCTGCAGTCCAGAGAGACCCGTGTTCGGTTTCCCCTAAGGGCACGTACCTTGGTTGCAGTTTGTCCCCGGCCCTGGTTGGTTGTGCAGGAGGCAGTCACTCGATGTGTCCCTTTCACGTCGATGTTTCTCTCTCTCTCCCCCTCTTTTTCCCTCCCACTCTATCTGAACAAAAAATGGGAAAATGTCCTCGGGTGAGGATAAAAAAAAAAAAAAAGATAATTAAAAGGTGGGCAAAGGATCTGAATAGACATTTTGCCAAACAAAATATATAGATGGCCGCCCTGGCCGGTTTGGCTCAGTGGTTAGAGCATTGGCCCACGGACCAGAGAGTCCCAGGTTTGGTTCCTGCTTGGTTGCAGTTTGTTTCTGGCTGGAGTGTGGGTGACAACCATTCGATTTGTCTCTCTTACATCGATGTTTCTCTTCCCCCCTCTCACTCTCCTGCTCTATCTGAAGATAAATGCAAAAATGTCCTTGAGCAAGGATAAAATACACACACACACACATATTTATGCATACACACACACACACACACACACACACACACACACACACACATATATATGGTCAATAAGCACACAAAAAAAGGCTTGACATAATTAGTCATCAGAGAAACGCAAATCAAAACTACTGGGATGTCTCATAAAAAAATAATAATAAAGAGATGGACAAGAGTTAATTAGGATATGGAGAAATTGGAACCCTCCAATCATACACTGCTGATGGGAATGTAAAAGATGCATCCTCTTTGGAAAACAGTCTGACTATTCATTAGTTAAACATAGAGTTATCATGTGACCCAGCAATTCCCACTCCTAGGTATGTACCCAAGAGAATTGAAAACATGTCCACGCAAAAACTCAAACACAAATATCCATAGCAGTGTTTTCATAATAACCAAAAAGTGGAAACAACCCAGATGTTCATCAGCTGCCAAATGGATTATTAATCTGGCATAAAAAAAAGGTGCTACAAGGATGAACCTTGAAAATATTAAGCTAAGTGAAAGAAGCCAGAAGCAAAGGATCACATAGTGTATGATTCTTTTTATGTGAAATGTCCAGGATAAGCAAATCTGTAGAGACAGAAATAGATTAATGGTTGCCTCGGGCTGGAGAGGATGGGAAGATTGGGGAGCAGGCAATGGTTAAAGGGTACAGGATTTCTATTTAGGGTAATGATGATGTCCTGGAATTGGTTGTGGTGATGGTTGCACACCATTGAATTGTATACTGTAAATGGGTGGATTGAATAGTATGTTGATTTTATCTTAATAAAGTTGTTTTAAAAATCCAGTAGGTGAAATATTTAGTTTATATATAAAACCCTAACAAATTCCCACTAAAAAGTTGTTTCTGTTGTCCTTCCCACCAGTAATATACAAAGGTGCCCATTTTCTCATATCCTCACCAACCTTAAGATAGGAGGTTACCTGTCTTAAGTTTTTTCCAATCTGGTGGGAGAAAAGTGACATCTTGTTTTGGTTTGTACTTACTAGTGAGGTTGAACATTTTTTTTTTTTTTTTTAATCCTCATCCGAGGACATTTTTCCATTTTTTTGTACAGACAGAGTGGGAGGGAGAGAGAGGAAGAGAGAGAGAGGGAAACATCGATGTGAAAGGGACACATCGAGTGGCTGCCACCCGCACGACCGACCAGGGCCGGGGACAAACTGCAACCGAGGTTCATGCCCTTAGCGGGAACCGAACCTGGGTCTCTCCGGACCGCAGGCGGACGCTCTAACCGCTGAGCCAAACCGGCCAGGGCGAGGTTGAACATTTTAAAGTCTATTGGCCATTTGTAATTCTTTAATGAATTATCTCTATGTTTTGGGCCCAATTTTTGATTATATAGTTTGTGTGCTTTTTTAAAAACTTAACTACCTTGGAGATTGTTCTATATCAGCATATAATATAGAGCTGTCTTGTGTGTGTGTGTGTGTGTGTGTGTGTGTGTGTGTGTGTGTGTGGTGGCAGCAGCATAGTACTCCCTTATAGGGATGAATCAGAGTTCCTTTAAAGTGGTCTAGATAGATTTAGATTGTTGCCAACCATTCACTATTATGCACAGTGCTGTGGAGAATTTCTGTGCATGTATACCTCTGCATAGGCGTGGGACCCCTTTTGTATAGTTCAGTACTAAAGGTAGAAGGGTGAAGTGTAAGTACAGTCTTAACATGGATGTTGCCAAATTGCCATCTGAAGAGCAGGTTGTATCAACTGACACTCTTTCCACAGCAGCAAGAATTATGAATCTTACATTATAAAGTACATTAAATGTGGCCCTGGCTGGTTTGGCTCAGCGGTTAGAGTGTTGGCCCATAGACCAAAGGGTCACAGGTTCGATTCCAGTCAAGGGAACATACCTGGGTTGCAGGTTTGATTCCCAGCCCCAATTGGGGTTGTGTGGGAGACAAGCAATCAATGTATCTCTCTCATATCGATATTTCTCTCTCTCTCTCTCTCTCTCCCCCTCCCACTCTCTAAAATTCAGTGGAAAAATATCCTCGATTGAGGATTAACAACAACAACAAAAAATACTTTAAATGTGTAAAAAAGTACAGAAGATAATGCAACTAACCCACATGATCCAGAGGCCACCACTATCCAGATGCTGGTCTGTACCTTTCCTGTCTCTGATTTTGGTGCTTTTCATCATATACTGTGTGTCCTTAGCAGTGCATGGACTTGTTTTATGTTTTACAGATTTATATAAATAACGCCAGACTGTATGTGTCATTCAACGGTGTTGGTAAATGTAGACGTCATTCACTCACTTTAACAGCTGTGTACTTATTGATGATGAATGTATTACTTTTTTTTTTTAATACTCACCCGAGGACATTTTTTTGTTTTTTGTTCTGATAGAGTGGGAGGGAGAGAGAGGAAGAGAGAAAGAGAGAAACATCGACACCAAAGGGACACATCGAGTGGTTGCCACCCGCACAACCCAACCAGGGCCTGGGACAAACTGTAACGAAGGTATGTGCCCTTAGTGGGAACCGAACCTGGGTTTCTCTGGACCGCATGCTGACGCTCTAACCGCTGAGCCAAACCGGCCAGGGTGAATGTATTACATTTATCTTTTCCTTTTTTAGTGCACATTTAAGTTGTGTTCACTTTGCTATTTCTCTCCCTCTTTTTTTTTTTTTTATAAAGAGATAATTTTAAAAAATATTTTTTCTTTATTGATTTTAGAGAGAGAGGAAAGGGGAAAGAGAGAGAGAAACATCAATGAGAGAGAACATCGATTGGCTACCTCCACCATGCCCCCCACTGGGGATCAGGCCCACACCCTGGGCATGTACCCTGACTGGGAATTGAACTGGTGACCTCTTGATGCATGGGTGGACGCTCAACCACTGAGCCACACCAGCCAGGCGATATAATCTTTTAAAAATCATTTGAAAATAAGTTGCTGACATAATGACCATTTCCCCCTAACTGCTTTCATGTGCATTTCATAAAAACAAGAATTTTCTCTCTCATAATCACATACAATGATCAAACTCAGGCAATCAACAGAGTTCTTTCTCCAGCTCATTAATGAACAATCAAAAGTGTTGGTCATTTCTAAGCAATTGCCTCTGATTGAGTTAGCCGGTGGGCATCGCTTAGAGCATGTGTAATATGAGCCATGTTGTTTCACTGCTGGGGAGGCTATCTGGCTTGCCCTATGGCTACTCCAAGTTCCTTGCAGATCTCCTCCTGCTAAGTCATGGTTAGCCAGAGAGGTGGGCCACCAGGTCTCTCGGCCTGCCTCTCCAGAGCCAGGCTTCATTCTTGGAGATGGAGAAGTGGACAAGGCCAGGCACCCCCAGCTCTTTGCCAGGGGAGGAAAGAACTGCGGCTGCTTCCCCTGCACCCCATGTTCCTTCCTTCCAGTGGGGCAAGGCTCCAGCAGCTCAGTCTGGGCAGGATGATCTGGTGTGCTTGGGCCTCTCTTAGGCGGGAGCTGAGAGTTTATCCAATGGCCCTCCACCTGATGAGTGCACCCACTGTAATACTGGTCCATGGTCCCTAAACTTTTTTTAATCCTTGCCTGAGGATATCTTTCCTTTGAATTTCAGATAGAATGGGAGGGAAGGAGAGAGGGAGGAGGAGAGAGAGAATTGTGACTGGGGCCAGGGATCAAACCTGCAACCCAAGTAAGTGCCCTTGATTGGAATCGAACCCAAGACTTTTCAGTCCGTGGGCTGATACTCCAACCGCTAAGCCAAACCGGCCAGGGCTCTTCCTCATTTCTTAATTAAGGAATAGTATTGCTTTAGTATAGCCTGAAGTTGTAGTCTTCCAGGCTTAAAAACAGATATTAGTTAAAACTCTACAATGAAGATAGTATTGTTTCTTCTGGTTGAAACCTTTGGGTTTCTTCTATCAAACTGAAACTAGAAATTCAGACTGAAACTAGGAATTCTCTTTCTTTCCCCATCAGCTTTATTGAGATAAGTTGATTTGACATGTATATCATGAAGTGATTACCACAATGAGTTTAGTTAACATCTGTCATCTCATATAGATAATATATATATAGGGTAGGACAAAAATAGGTTTATAGTTGTTCACATGGAAAATAATACAATAGATAAATAATAATACAAGAATAAATTCTAGTTCCTGTACTCACAATTGTAAACCTACTTTTGTCCCACCTTTTTTTTTATTTTTTATGCTCACCTGAGGATATTTTTCCATTTTTGTTCAGATAGAGGTGGAATAGCCAGGTTAAAGGATATGTGCACTTTTAAAGTTTTAACTTTCTCTTGTCCAGCCAGTGTGGCTCAGTGGTTGAGCATCGACCCATGCACCAAGAGGTCACTGGTTCGATTCCCAAGAGGTCACTGGTTCCAAGAGGTCACTGGTTCGATTCCCAGTCAGGGCACATGCCCAGGTTGTGGGCCAAATCCCCAGTGGGGGGCATGCAGGTGGCAGCCAGTCAATGTTCTCTCTCATCGATATTTCTATCTCTCTCACCTTCTCACTTCCTCTCTCTCTAAAAACAAAAAAAAAACCTTTCTCTTGCAGATATGCCCTCCAGAGAACTGAATTTCAGTATTTGATAGTCTTACCTACAGATTGTATTTATTTATTATTATTATTTTTTATCCTCACCCGAGGACATTTTTCCATTTTTTGTTCAGGTAGAGTGGGAGGGATAGAGAGGAACAGAGAGAGAGAGAAACATCGATGTGAAAGGAACACATCGAGTGGTTGCCACCCACACAACCAACCAGGGCTGGGGACAAACTGCAACCGAGGTACGCGCCCTTAGTGGGAACTGAACCCGGGTCTCTCAGGACCGCAGGCCTACGCTCTAACTGCTGAGCCAAACCGGCCAGGGCTTCCCTACAGATTTGTAAACTGCATGGTTGAAGCTTTGAAAACAGAAAGCTTATTGGACTTTTCCAGTTTCAAAAGTAAACATGCTTATAGAAGTAAATTTAGAAAATATAAAAGAAAGATGGGAGAAGTCCTAATTATCTCATTGCTTAAAAATAATATTAACAGTTTGAGCATATTTCCTTCCAGTAGAACTTTCTGTACACTTTTTTGTTTGCTTCGGTTGTAATGTGTATACAGTTTCATCTCATGGTCCTTTTAAAAACTTGGTTATACCAATTATTTGTAAATACCAGCATCTGTGACAGTTACATAGCAAACTCTCCATCCCTGAGTATTTAAGTTGTCTCCAGGGTTTATTATTATTATTATTATTATTATTTTAATCTTCACCCGATTATATTTTTTTCATTTATCTTCAGATAGAGTGGGAAGGAGGGAGGGAGGGAGGAAGAGAGAGAGAGAGAAACATCAACATGAGAGAGACACATCAATTGGCTGCCTCCCGCTCAACCCCGGCCAGGGCCAGGGCCAGGGCCAAACTGCAACCGAGGCATGTGCCCTTGGCTGGAATCGAACCTGTGGCTCATTGGTCTGCAGGCCGATGCTCTACTGCTGACCCATTCCGGCCAGGGCACCTCCAGGTTTTTGTTATTGCAAATATGTTGTGGTAAATGTCTTTGTATGTAATAGCTTTCTCTGTATTTGGGGTTGTTTCCTTAGAAATGGAATTACAGTACTGAAGACTATAAGTACAATTTAGGGCTTAAGATAAAAGTTACCAAATTCTGTTTCCGAAGGATGGGGCTCTTATTCTGATTATGGTTTTTAAAGGCTGCTTCTCTAGCGAATCTGTTGTCTCCAGTTTTCTGTGTGAAGAAAATGAAATGGGGTGGACGCATGCCCAAGTGCCAAGGGTGAAGGCTGGCTCTAACGTGTAGCAGCCTGAGTTTATCCTGCTCACCCAGAGCACCCAATCGTCTCTCTCCTTTAAGTATCTGCCTGCCCCATGGGAGCTGAAAGCCAAAAGGCAGTGAACCTGGAGAGCTGCCTCAGCTGTGAGATGGCTGGATTACTGCCTTATTTGATGAACCAGCAAGCCCCTCCCTACACCCCCACTTTTAGCTTTGAGAGAGAAGCCCACACAGGCCTTTGCCTTTTCTCCCAAAGTTGTGAAGTTTTAGAGGACCCTGGGCGCAGACCTTTCCAAGGTGCTGATAAAAAGCTATTGCACCTCTAGTCCTGGGTCCACAGCCCCAGAAGTGAGGGTGCTTTGCAGGGCAGGTTCCTAACTCTTGTTCTTTTACCAATTTTCACAGGGAGTCAAAGTGGACACAAGAGACCACAGTGGAGCTACAGCCCGAATGCTGGCTAAGCAGTACGGACACATGAAGATAGTGGGGTTGATAGATGCTCACTCGCTTTCTCTGCCCAAGAACCTCTATCGGAGCCCAGGTACCTGTGTCTGTGGCTCTGCTGGAGCCCTTCTCCTTACTCTCACCTGCTTTAAGAGATCTGGCTCCCGCCAAACTTCTGCTTCCCCTAGTGACTCCGTTGCAGTCAGGGTTGAGGCCTGCTTGTCTAATGGGAGAGGACAAGTTAGTTAGGGTGGAGAGTCTTACCTGCCAGGCTGAATTTGGGTACACAGGATGTGGGCATGTGGCACCCATCCAGAGGTAATAGGGCAGCCTCACAAGGGGGCTGACTTCTGGTTTTGTTTCTTTTTTATTTATTTTTATTTTATTATTTTTTTAATATAAAGTGGATATTTATTTTATTTTATTTTATTTTTTTATCCTCACCTGAGGACATTTTTGCATTTATCTTCAATAGAGTGGGAGGCAGAGAGAGAAAAACATCGCTGTGAGAGAGACATATTGACTGGGTGCCACCCACACAACTCCAACTGGGGCCAGTTGCAACCGAGGTACGTACCCTTAACAGGAACTGAACCAGGGACTCTCTGGTCCGCCAGCTGATGCTCTAACTACTGAGCCAAACCGGCCAGGCCTTTTTTTTTAAACTTTTTTTATGGTGTTTGTTGCCGTGCAGAATGTTTTAATTTTGTATAGTCAAATTCATCAATCTTTTATTTCCTTTGGATTTTGAGTCATAAAAAAATCCTTCTCTTGCCCTGGCTGGTTTGGCTTAGTGGTTAGAGCGTCGGCCTGCGGTCCAGAGAGAGCCAGGTTTGGTTCCTGCTAAGGGCGCATACCTTGGTTGCAATTTGTCCCCGGCCCTGGTTGGTCGTGTGGGTGGCAGCCACTGGATGTGTTTCTTTCACATCGATGTTTCTCTCTCTCTTCCTCTCTCTCCCTCCCGCTCTATCTGAACAAAAAATGGAAAAATGTCCTCGGGTGAGGATAAAAAAAAAAATCTCTGTGCCCTGGTTATACAAGAATTCACCCATGTTTTCTTCTAGTACTGACATGGTTTCTTTCTTTCTTTCTTTATTTTTTATCCTCACCTGAGGACATTTTTCTATTTTTTGTTCAGATAGAGCGGGAGGGAGGGAGGGAGGGGGGAGAGAGAGAGAGAGAGAAAATTCGACGTGAAAGGGACACATTGAGTGGCTGTCACCTGCATGACCAACCAGGGCCGGGGACAAACTGCAACTGAGATATGCACCCTTAGCAGGACATGGTTTCATTTTTAACATTGAGATCTCTGACCCATTTACACTTGATTTTTATGTATGGTGTGAGGTATGGTTTTTTCCAAATGGCTATCCAGTTGTCTTAGCATCATTTATTACTATTTTTTTTATCCTTACCTGAGGACATTTTTGTATTTATCTTCAGATAGAGCGGGAGGGAGAGGGGAGAAGAGAGAGAGAGAGAAACATTGAGGGGAGAGAGACACATCGAGTGATTGCCACCCAGACGACCCCAACTGGGGCAGAGACAAACTGCAACTGAGGTATGTGCCCTTAGTGGGAACCGAATCTGGGACTCTTTGGTTCACGGGCCGACGTTCTAACTGCTGAGCCAAACCAGTCAGGGCAGCATCATTTATTTAAAAGTTCGGCTTTGACCACTTAGTGATCTGAGAGGCTGTGTTTGTCACATATACGAAATTTCCATTTGTACTGTGGACTTCCTGTTCTGTCCATTCACTCCAGAGCCACCCTGCTTTAATTCTAGAGGCTTTTGTAATATGTGTTACTATCTAGTAGGGCTGGTCTCCCCTGTAGCTTTCCTTTTTCAGTGTTTCCCTAGCTATAGCTTTTCTGTGTGTGTGTGAACTTGAACATCAGTTTGCCTAGCTCCTTGAAAACAGCATATTGATATTGAGATTGTGGCAAATTTATAAAGTAACTACCCCTTTATGTCCTTGAGCTCTCCCATCTAACAAAAGGAGCATGATTTTGTTCAAGTATACTTTTGTATCTTACAAGAAGGTTTGAAATTTTTTCTCATATATGTTTTGCATATAACTTCAGTGTATTCCTAAGTGCTTGATTTTCTTTGTTGCTATTGTAAATGTGGTTTCACTACCATGATTTCCTCTAACTGATTATTTTCTGTGAATATGAAGGCTATGGATGTTTATATATGAGTTTTGCTCTTTTTAAAAATTTTTTGATTAATTAATTAATTATTTATTTATTTTTATCACTTTTTTTTTTTTTTTTTTTATCCTCACCCGAGGACATTTTTCGATATTTTGTTCAGATAGAGTGAGAGGGAGAGAGAGAGAGAGAAACATCGATGTGAAAGCGACACATCGAATGGTTGCCACCCACACGACCCAACCAGGGCTGGGGACAAACTGCAACCAAGGTACGTGCCCTTAGTGGGAACCGAACCCAGGTCTCTCCAGACCGCAGGCCGACGCTCTAACCGCTGAGCCAAACCGGCCAGGGCTTTGATTAATTTTTTAGAGAGAGAGGAAGGGAGAGATAGAAACATCGATGTGAGAGAGAAACATCAATCGGTTGCCTTCTGCACGCCCCCTTCTGGGGATCGAGCCCGCAACCAGGCATGTGCCCTGACCAGGAATCGAACCAGGATCTCTCAGTCCATGAGACGATGCTCAATCCACTGAGCCACACTGGCTGGGCTATATACCAATTATGGTTTTGTTTTTTTGTTTTTTGGTACGTGCCCCTAGCGGGAACCGAACCTGGGACTCTCTGGTCCACAGGCCAACGCTCCAACCACTGAGCCAAACCGGCCAGGGCCCAATTATGTTTTATTTATTTATTTTTTTAATCCTCACCCAAGGATATTTTTCCATTTTTTGTACAGATAGAGTGGGAGGGAGAGAGAGGAAGGGAGAGAGAGAGAGAAACATTGACATGAAAGGGACACATCGAGTGGCTGCCACCCACACAACCAACAGGGCCGGGGACAAACTGCAACCGAAGCACGTGCCCTTAGCGGGAACCGAACCTGGGTCTCCCCGGACCGCAGGCCGACGCTCTAACCGCTGAGCCAAACTGGCCAGGGCTATTTTTATATTTATATTCAGAGTGGGAGAGAGAGTGAAAGAGAGAGAAACATCGATGTGAGAGAGACAGACAAATCAGTTGGTTGCCACCCACATGATCCCAACTGGGGCTGAGGATGAACCACAGCCAAGGTATCTGCCCTTGGTCGGAATCGAACCCGGGACTCTTTGGTCTGCAGGCTGACGCTCTAACCACTGAGAAAACCAGCCAAGGCTATATACCAATTTTATATTATGCTGCCTTACTCAATTCTTTTATTGTTTGAGTTCGTTGTTTTTTTTTTTTTATCCTCATCTGAGGAGGTTTTTGCATTTATCTTCAGATAGAGCAGGAGGGAGAGAGGGAGGAAGAAAGAGAGAGAAACAGCGACGTGTGAGAGACACGTCGGCTGGTTGCCACCCGCACAACCCTAACTGGGGTCGGAATGAACTGCAACCAAGGTACTTGCCCTTAGCAGGAACCGATCCCAGGACTCTGGTCCGCAGGCCAACACTCTAACTGCTGAGCCAAACCGGCCAGGGTTGAATTAGTTTTATTTACTGATTTTTCAGGGTTTTCCAGGTATACTCCCATATAATCTGCAAATAAATATAGATTTACTACTTCTTTCTGATTTTTATATCTCTGATTTTCCTTTTTTTTGATCCTCACCTGAGGACATTTTTCCACTTTTTGTTCAGATAAAGTGGGAGGGAAAGAAAGGGAGAGAGAGAGAGAGAGAGAGAGAGAAACATCGACATGAAAGGGACACATCCAGTGGCCGCCACCCGCACAACCAACCAGGGCTGGGGACAAACTGCAACCGAGGTACACGCCCTTAGCGGAAACCGAACCCGGGTCTCTCTGGACCGCAGGCCGACGCTCTAACCACCGAGCCAAACCGGCCAGGGCTATATCTCTGATTTCTTTTTAGTTTTATTGGCTAGTACTTCTAGTATGGCGTTGAATATAGTGGAGATACTGGGTTCTGACCTTAGCGGAAGTGCCGCATTAAGTAAGATGCTGACTTAAGAGTAAGGTGTGCATATATATATACTTTTTAGATATGTTTTTATTGGTTTTTAGACAGGAAGGGGGGGAGAAAGAAACATCAGTGAGAGAGAAACATCAGTTGGCTGTCTCCTGCATGCCCCCTATAGATAATTGAGCCTGCAACCCAGGCATATGCTTTGACCTACAATCAAACTGGTGACCCCTTGGTGCATAGCACAACACTCAACCAACTGAGCCACACTGGCCAGGGATAGATACAGATATATAAAGATAGATAGATAGATAGATAGATAGATAGATAGATAGATAGATACAGATATATAAAGATAGATAGATAGATAGATAGATAGATAGATAGATAGATAGATATTTCTAAATTCATTTATTGTTGACAGTAATACAGATGTCCCCTATTTCTCCTCCCCTTTAGGTGTAAATACATTTTAACATATTAAGAAAGTTTCTGGCCTGGCCGGTGTGGCTCAGTGGTTGAGCATAGACCCATGCACCAAGAGATTGCTGGTTTGATTCACAGTCAGGGCACATGCCTAGGTTGTAGGCCCAATTCCCAGTGGGGGGACATGCAGGAAGTGCCCAGTCAATGTTCTCACTCATCAATGTTTTTCTCTCCCTTCCTCTATCTCTCAAAATCAATAAAGGAAAAAAATTAAAAAATAAAAAAGTTTCTGTCATTTCCTATGTTCTTGAGTGTTTTCTGTAGGAATGAGTGTTTAATTTTGTCAAAGGTTTTGCAACATCTATGGACACGTTTGTGGATTTTCTTCTTAGATCTCTTAACATGATATATTTTTTTTAAAAATTTTTTTCTTTATTGATTTTAGAAAGAAAGGAAGGGAGAGGGAGAGAGAGAGAGAGAGAAACATCAATGAGAGAGAACATTGATTGGCTGCCTTCCTCATGCCTCCCACTGAGGATTGGACCCACAACCTGGGCATGTGCCCTGACCAGGAATTGAACCAGCAACCTTTTGGTGCGTGGGTCAACACTCAGTCACTGAGCCATACCAGCCAGGCTCTTAACATGATATATTAATAAATTTCCTAATAATGGACCAACTTCAGCCCTGACCGGTTGCTCAGTGGTTAGAGCATCAGCCCATGGACTGAAGGGTCTCAGGTTCGATTCCCAGTCAAGGGCCTGTACCTGGGTTGTGGGTTTGATTCCCTGCCCTGGTTGGGGTCATGCGGGAGGCAACCAATCCATGTGCCTCTCTCACATTAATGTTTCTTTGTCTCTCCCCTTCCTTCCACTCTATCTAAAAATCAATGGGAGCCCTGGCCGGTTTGGCTCAGCGGTTAGAGCGTCAGCCTGCAGTCCACAGAGACCCGGGTTCGGTTCCCGCTAAGGGCATGTACCTTGGCTACAGTTTGTCCCCGGCCCTGGTTGAGTCGTGTGGGTGGCGGCCACTCGATGTGTCCCTTTCACATCGATGTTTCTCTCTCTTCCTCTCTCTCCTTCCCGCTCTATCTGAGTAAAAAGTGGAAAAAAAAAATGTCCTCGGGTGAGGATAAAAAAAAAAAAAAAATCAATGGGAAAATATTCTCAGCTGAGGATTAACAACAACAAAAATTTAAATAATGAACCAACTTTACATTCTTGGCATAAATCCCACTTGGTGTATTATTTTCCTATTGTGCTGGATTCTGTTTGCTAATGTTTTATCTAGTGTTTTGTATGGCTCTGCATTCATAGATAATATTGGTCTGTGATTTTCTTCGTTTGTTCTTTCTTCACCAGGTATAAGTATCAGTGTTATACTTCATAAAAACAATCTGGAAGTTTTCCTTCCATTTTTGTGCTCCAGAATAATTTTTGTGGCATTGGTGCCCCATGAAGGTTTGGTTGGATTCTCCTGTGAAACCATCTGGGCCTGGTCTTTTTTGTGGGGTGGCTCCTTGATAAGATTTTCTATTTCTTCTATAGAAGTTGATATGCTTAAGCTTTCTAATTTCACTGGGTCAATTTTGGTTAACTGTATTTTCCTAGAAAATTATTTCATCCAGGATTTTAAGCTTATTGACATAGAGGCCTGAAAATAGGTGTGGTTTTTTTTTTTCTCTTTTTCCTTTTAAAAAGTTTCTTCTGTTTCAGTGGTTATTTTCCCTTGTCATTTCATTTTGCTGGCTTCCATCTTCATATTTCTCTGACCCTTTTTTACTTCTTTCACGATCTCATTCATTCTTTGGTGGTTTTCGTACTTTTCTTCAACACTTATGGTTCAGCTTCCATTTCAAATCTGTTCTTCCTTGGGTTTGGGTACCTGGTAAGATAGTCTTTATATTTTAATTTTGACCTTTTTTTTCTATTTTTTCCCCTAAGTTCAACCAGTTTTCTCACCATTCCTATGTGTGTGTATGTGTGTCTTTTCATTCTCTGTTTTGAATTTCTGATTCAGGGTGCTTTTTCCTGTCCTCATGTTGTTGAAGGATCTGTAGTTCAGAGTATTGGATCACATTTTTTTCTGTTTACTCCTCTTGATTGAATTTTGGAGAGAATGAATGTTTTCACTTGCTGGGTGTTTGATTCCCGTTTTTTATGTGCTCCCTGAGGTATTCGTGTGAGGGGAAGATCGCTGGTGCTTCTGCATCTCACAGACAGGGTCTGGTGGCCTGCTAGTGCGAGAGCCCTGGTCCAGGAGCTCCCTTCTCCCAGTGCCAAGGGCAGTCTTCTTACTGGGCGGCCTTTTTTTTTAGAGAGTGATGTAGTTAGGCCAAGCATTGTGTGTCCACTGATATGATTTTGTCTTGCTAGATCTTGAAATTCCCATTTGCTTTTTCTCTTTACTGCCCAGTTTCCAGAAGGTGTCTCTGCCTGGGAGGATTGTTGCTCCTCTGACTGTTCCCTTGGGTCCCATGTGCATTTTTTTGTTATGTTTTTTTTTTGGGGGGGGGGGTTTGTTTGTATTTTTATCCTCACCCGAAGACATTTTTTATTTTTTGTTCAGATAGAGTAGGAGGGAGAGAGAGAGAGAAACATCGACATGAAAGGGACACATCGAGTGGCTGCCACCCGCGTGACCAACAAGGGCCGGGGACAAACTGCAACTGAGGCACGCGCCCTTAGCGGGAACCGAACCCGGGTCTCTCTGGACCGCAGGCCGACGCTCTAACCGCTGAGCCAAACCGGCCAGAGCATTGTTGTTATGTTTTATTGAATTTTTGGAGAAAGAGAGATGGAAACATTGATGTGAGACAGAAACATCGATTGGCTGTCTCCTGCACGCCCCCTACTGGGAATCGAGCGCGCAACTCGGGCTCGATTCCCTGACCGGGAATCTTACTGGGACCACTCAGTCCATGGGACGATGCTCAATCCACTGAGCCACACTGGCCGAGCTCCATGTGCATTCTTAACTCACTTCCCTGTGGTCATGCTCCACTCCACCAGGATTCTTTTTCAGTATTTTTGTCCATAGAATGGACTTTGTCTTTCTGGGAATAACATTAGCACTTCTTTCCCCTCGCCTCTCCTTTGTGTGATTTTTTCCTAGACCTGCTTTGTTTCCCATAGAGAATAGAAGTGAGCAAATCGGCTATTTCTTTGCTGGAGAGGGGCATTTTTATGTTGCTCATAGGAGCAGGAACTTTGAAGTTTGTGGTGCTCTCTGCTATCTAGGTCATGTTGAAGGTGTGGGACTTGTGAGATTCTCTCTGTGGTTCCTGCTGACTTGTGCAGGTTTGAGAGGACATGTTGGGAGGTTCAGATTCACAGAGCTCCCTTTTCCTTGGTTCCTCCCCCTTTTACATTTATTTTTTTATGACTGTCTTCTGCTGGATGGGACCATGGTCTCCTGGTGACATAGATCCTGGAGCTGATGGGAGTGAGTTGAATAGGGAAAGGAGGGAGTGGCTCACTTAGTCACTGGCCCGCATTTGGAACCTGGGTCAATAACTCCCTGACTTGCCAGCCAGTCCCTGAGAGTTGAACTCTCAATTCATATCTGAGTGAGCCTGCTTCCTTTCCAGAGTCTGATTCTGTCCAGCTCCCTTCCTGGCCTCAGGATTGTCTTGTAATAAACACCAGCTCACACAGAGTACAGTGGTAATGAGGGACTTCTCCATGTCTCACCCCAGCTTATCAACTCCAAAATGAGATCATATCAGATGGGAGCCTGATACCAAATATATCTGAAAATTGACTTCTAGATATGGTGAAATATAGGAAACTATGAAAAACCATAAAACACTAATGGCTGTGGGGTACGCTGAGCATTTAAGCTCAGATAGATGGTGATTTGAAATACTTCTTAAAACAGCACACAGAGCCTCATGCGGTACTTGTTTCCCAAGAAGTTATTCAGGTTGAGAATATAAAATTGCTAAGGCCCTGGCCGGTTTGGCTCAGCAGTTAGAGCATCAGCCCATGGACCAAAGGGTCTCTGGTTCGATTCCTGGGTAAGGGCACGTACCTGGGTTGGGTTTGATCCCTGGCCCTGGTCAGGATTGTGTGGGAGGCAAGCAGTCCATGTGTCTCTTTCACATCTATGTTTCTCTTTCCCCCTTCCCTCTCTCTCCCTCCGTCCCTCCCTCCCACTATTTCTAAAAATCAATGAAAAAAATCCTTGAGTGAGGATTAACAAAAAATAAAATTGCTAAGAAGTCTGAATGGTGCTGCCATTTGTTTATGAATAGATATTATTTATCTGTTCAACTTAGAACAGAATTTATTTCCAATTGTAAAAAATACGTTTGCTATAAAAAATTCTTCAAACCCAGACAATGAGAGGAATAAGAAATAAGAATTAGACTTTACCATTTTTTAAACATATGTTTTTTTTTGTTTGTTTTTTTGTTGTTTTTTTTTTAAAGTTATTTATTTATTTTTGCTTTTTTTTTTAAATCCTCATCCGAGGACATTTTTCCATTTTTTGTACAGAGTGGGAGGGAGAGAGAGGAAGAGAGAGAGAGGGAAACATCGATGTGAAAGGGACACATCGAGTGGCTGCCACCTGCACGACCAACCAGGGCCGGGGACAAACTGCAACCGAGGTACATGCCCTTAGCGGGAACCGAACCCGGGTCTCTCCAGACCGCAGGCGGACGCTCTAACCGCTGAGCCAAACCAGCCAGGGCTAAACATATGTTTTTATTGATTTTAGAGAGAGAAGAGAGAGAAACATCAATGAGAGAGAAAGATCAACATCTATTAGGTGCCTCCTGCATGTCCCCTACTGGGGGTTGAGCCCACAACTTGGGCTCTGACTGGAAGGAATCAAACTGGGGACCTCTTGCATGGGTCAACGCTCAACCACTGAACCACATCAGCGGGCTAGACTTCCCCATTGTGACAGACTTTTTCAGTTCAGCTCATACTCAGCAAGCTTGCTATTCCCCCAGATGTCCCCATAGTCTGTTTGAGCCAGTGATCCGGCCCATTAGGGCATTTAAAAAAATTATCTTTTTAAACATTTAAAATTTTTTTTCAATTATAGTTAACATTCAGTATTCTACTCTACCATCTTGACTGTAAATCCCATTATGGCATTTCTTACACACGACGTCCTGGGAAACTTTTCCTCTTGATTTTTGAAAACCAATTATGGTAATTGTCTTTTAGTTTACTATGAGGATTAGTAAGTTAGTCTCTCACTGGACAAATTTTTTAAAAATATATTTTTATTGATTTTAGAGAGAGAGAGAAACATCGATGTGAGAAAGAAACATCCATCACCTGCCTCCTGCATGCACCCCAACCGGGGATCAAATCCACAACTTGGGCATGTGCCCTGACTGGGAATTGAACTGGAAACCTTTCAGTACACTGGACGATGCTCAACCAAGTGAGCCACACAAGCCAGGGCTGGACAAATTGTCTTAATTTTCGTGTTTGACCCACAGAAAAATACGAAGATCTGAGCTCTTCGGATGAATCCTGCCCTGTTCCTCAGAGACAGAGGCCCTGTCGGAAAAAGGGCCTCAGCATCCATGAGGGGCCTCGGGCTTTGGCCAGGATCACAGCTTTTGGACTTGGAGACAAGACCCAGCCATCTTGCTATGGTGAGTATTCCACATTTCCCGATGGCTTTTTAATAGTGTGTTCAAGGATCTGTCTGGATGAGAAGGAACAACTCTCAGGCTCCTGAAATATGGACCACTGGGTGGGAGCAACAGCTCAAAGACTCAAAATTGATGAGAGTAATAGAAATATATTAGTGGCTAGCTCTTGGGTTTGTGTTCATCCTTTGAGTTTTCTTTTCATTGGTTAAAAGTACAAATAACAGCAGCAGAAATGTAGCTATGCTCAGATTTCAATCATCACGTAGTAGGTTAGCTAGTGTAGAAAAATGTGATGTTTGAGCCCCACTTTCTGTCTCTGGCCACATTACCTGGTATGATAATACATTTGCCAGCTTGAGATGGATATGCCTCTGGGACAGGCCAAGGAATGACTTTGCTCTTGTTCTTTTCTCTAAGTGATGGATTTGATGCTCAGACCCTTCTGAAAATTGTCGCATTATGTACTTGGTGGGCTATAATCCTAGATCCCAAGTTTCCAGATCCCCTGAGTTTATTATCAAATTGTCAGCTCCTGAGTGCAATGCTCTTGGGAAGTACAGAAGATGCCAATAATTATTGGGGCAAATTGGGTTTTATGCTCACTGGACTGACCAAGTGATGAGACTTACATACAAGTTACATCTTCCTTTGATGTCTGTCATCCATCAGTGGTCAGGATGAGGTGCTGGTCTAGTGGGCTGGGTAGATAGGTCGTTCTCACAAACACACACCCCTCTGAAGCCTGGGCTTGTAAGACACCAATTTTCCCAGTCAGAGGAGACCATATTTAAGTCAAGAGTATGTGAGAAATTTGATTTTCTTCTAAGACCTGTGGAAGGAGACCTGGTTTGGGAACTGGAGGTCTACTTTCTCCTGTTGTCCTTGAGGGGTGGGTTGACTGGGCCACTGGGAAAGGCCCTCCCCCAGCTGCTGGGAAGCTCCTGCTGCAGGGTGAGGGCAGGGCTCATATCCTTCCTGTCTCAGGTGCTTATAAGCACATAACTCTGGGACATTTGGCAAAATTATTTTAGTTTTGGATGGCAGAGTCTGTTCCTTTCTGAGGAGTCCATACTACCTGTTTCACCCTGAGATATGGTAAGGGCATAGGAAGGATGGGCCTTACCCTAGAGGTGGGGTGTAGCCATTCAACAAATGCTTTTATTAAATGGAATTCCTTCGAGTTACCAAAATAATCTAGGGCTGAAGCCCACTTATATGCTATTCTTTTATGCACCCACAGAGAAGGCTAGAAGAACGTTCACCAAAGTCATAATGGTAGTTGACTCTTGGTTGTGGCATTTCAGGAGAGTTTTTTTGTTTTGTTTTGTTTTTTTTTCTCTCACACCTTGTGATATTTAAATTTTCTATAGGTACATATATTCTTTGCCAACAATTTAAAAACATTTAAAAATGATAAATGTGCAGATTGTGAAAAGCCTTGCTAACTACAGAAAGGTATGAAAAAGAAAATAAGTTAGACATAGCTTTATCAGCCAGTCTGTTTTATGTAAATAAATGTACTTTCTATGGGGAAGAGGCAGGGGTAGAATGGGAATGGATCTCTCTGGTTTGTGGTCTGCCTTTTTTCCTTGTTTTCTTGCAGGCAGATATGTTCAAAGGTTGTATAATTTGGTGTTACCATAGTTAATTTTTAGCCCAGGGCCTCCATCCTTCCTGCTTAGCCAGATCTCTTTTTGCCTGGGGTTGACTGACCCGTAGAAGAAACCTTTCGATGCCTGTGTTGAAAAGTCTCAGGGACCATAAAGGCTGGTGTGTGAGATTAGATGCTTCCAGCTGAAAGGGACACCTAGTGGTACCGTTTTTCCTACTTTCTCTCTCTCTCTCTCTTTTTTTTTATCCTCACCCGAGGACATTTTTCCATATTTTGTTCAGATAGAGTGGGAGGGAGAGAGAGAGAGAGAAACATCGACGTGAAAGGGACACGTTGAGTGGCTGCCACCCACACAACCCAACCAGGGCTGGGGACAAACTACAGCCAAGGTACGTGCCCTTAGCGGGAACTGAACCCAGGTCTCTCTGGACCACAGGCCGACGCTCTAACCGCTGAGCAAAACCAGCCAGGGTTTTTTGATATTTTTTCTTTATTGATTTTAGAGAGAGAGGAAGGGAGGGGGAGAGAGATAGAAACATCAATGAGAGAGAACATCAGTTGGCCGCCTCCTGCATGCTCTCCACTGAGGATCAGGCCCACAATCTGGGCCCTGACCGGGAATCGAACTGGCGACCTCTTGGTGCATGAGTCGACGCTCAACCAGTGAGCCATACCGGCCAGGCCCTACACTCTCTCTCTTTTTTTTTCATGACGAGGTAGGATCTGGGGTTAGATTTTTGTAGCTGCTTCTAGCCCGTCAGTTTCTTTGTGCTTTCAGACTTCTGGCCCTTGATCATACGTAGGGTTTGGTGTGGCTGTGAGGGATTCTGGGGCCTTGCCAAAATGCCTATACACTTCTCAGCCCTTGCAAGGACTAGAAAACAAAAACAGTGCCACAGCCCTTGGGCGAGTCCAGGGCCAGCTGGTCAGAGGTGAGGATCTTGCTCCTGGCCTTGAGAATGCGGCTCCAGGCACTGCTGCTCACACCAAGTTTGTACACCTTCAGTCTAGGCACCTCCTGGACACCCTGTCACTGGTTATAGTTCCTACATCCATAGCACTTTTGCCCTCCTGGCCAGGAAGCTTCATCTTCTGGACCATCTGGGAAAGGGACAGTCAGCTGTTGGTGTGACTCATGAACAACCTCTTCAGCACCACTTGATTGAAGCTGGAGTTGATTCTTCTGGCAGAAACTTGTGGAGCTTGACCAACAGCCTTAGGTAGATGTCCTGGCTCTTGGGCTCCTTGTGCTGAACCTTTCTGTCTTTGTTGTGGTGGATGTCAACCCCCCTGATGGCCATTTACTACTTTTTGCATTTGAAAAAGAAACAGCGTGGTGTGGGAGAGGGCACCTGGCTGCACTAGGTGCTTTGATTCCATGCACTTGCCCTGGGAGACAAGATTGGTCTCTCAGCCCCTCAGAGTCTGTCTCCTTACCTGTAAACTGCACATAACAGTACGTCCAGGTTACTATGGTGAGTGGATGAGATCATGGCTAGGAAGAAACAATTTTCCTTCCTGCCTGCCTAAATTATAGAGTCTTCCCTCACACCAAGGTCCCTCTGAGAAGATGGTCACATTTGAAAGGAGGAACTTGTCTTCCATTTTTGTGTTCATGTGGGTTTATGTGCCCCATTCTGTCCACAGAGCAGGTGCCTCCACGGGGCTATGTCACCTTCAACAGCAGTGATGAAAATCCCCTAGAAGGAGGAGGCCTCTGCTACAGGGATGTCACCTCCCCCATCAATGACCGGGACGTGGAAAGCAGCAGCAGCAGCAGCCGGGGTATGTGTGCCACCACCATCCAACCTGCTAGGGCTTAGGTGCTGTGTTGAGTCTACCCAGTGAACTAGAGGGTGAAAGACATAGAAGGCCCTGGCTCTTTTAAGGAGAGTCAACAAGTCTGGCATGGCACAGGGGAGAAGCAGCTTCCAGCCTATGTCTCCAGGATCTGAGGGAGTTGTTCTAGACAGGTTTAGCTTCTTGATTGGTGAGCCCTTGGGGAAATGGCTTTGCTATAATACATGTATCATTCATTCAGCAGCTGTTCACTGAGTGCCCTGTGTGCCAGGCATTGTTTTAAATGCTTGGATTTACTAGTGAACAGAACAGACAGAAACCCTGCCTGTGTGTGTAGAGGGGAGGGGAGGGCTCAGGCCAGGCAGTCAGCACGAAACAGAACACAGTAAACTATCTGAGGGGTTGATGAGTGCTGTGCATGAAACAGCTCAAGCTCTGGGGAGTCACTGCGCATGAGACCTGTAGTCAGGCATCCTTGTCTTCACCGTTGTCAGAAGAGCAGGCCTTCAGTGCCCACCTTGGGGCTGTGCGGAGCAGCAGCAGCAGCGAGGGCCTGGCAAGAGCCCCAGGAGTTAGCAGTGAGGCCTCTTTGGAGAGCAATGAGGTGAGGCTTCTTATTTCTTCTCTCTCATCTCCCTCCCCTTCCTTGGTGTCATGGGGGACGCTAACAGTTCATTTGAGATGGATGAGTCTCATAACAAGGACTTAATGCATGTCTGTGATGTGCTAGGACATACAAGGTTTGGGGCCACCCTCTAGGAGAATCGCCTGGGTTTAGGTTATCTCGGAAGAAGCCTCTCTGTGGCAGGTGGGGAGTTCAAATCTTACCCACGCTGTGAGGAAAGTGGCACGGATTGAGAGTAGAAGCTGGAGTCATGGGGCAGAGAGGAGTTTGGACACAGCCACGTCAGCTGCAAGACTTTCAGTGTTACTTTATTTTTTGAGCTATTCTGTTGTGGGTGTTTGTTTTTGGTTCTGTTTTTTTGTAAGGGATTTGGCCAAGCTTTCATAACTACTTAGTAAGAGCTGACCCCAAAGCTGATGCACTCTTCCTCTATACTTTTTTTTTTTAATTCTCACTCAAGGAATTTTTTTATTTCAGATAGAGTAGGAGAGAAGGAGAGAGAGAGAGAGAAATATCAATGTAAGAAGGATACATCGACTGGTTGCCTCTCGCACAACCCCGACCAGGGCCGGGGCCGACCCGCAACCGAGGTACGTGCCCTTGACTGGAGTCAAACCGGTGACTCTTTGGTCCACGGGCCAATGCTTTACCACTGAACCAAACTGGCCAGGGCCCTCTAAACTTTCTTTTATTCCTGTTCCTCCACTCCTCTCCCCTTTGGCAATCATTAGCTTGTTCTCTATATCTATAGATCTGTTTCTGTTTTATTTTTTTGGAGTTATATATTAAGTGAAATCATATGGTATTTCTTTGTCTGACTTATTTCACTTAACATAATACCATCTAGGGCCACCCATGTTGTTAAAAATATAAGATTTTATTTTTTTATAGCTGAGAAATATTCCATTATTATGTGTCATATCTTCTTTATCCATTCATCTGTTGAACATAGGGGTGCATATATCTTTTCGAATAAGTGTTTTCTTCTTCAGAATGTGGAATTGCTGGATCATGTGGCAGCGATATTTTTAATTTTACCAGGAATCTCCCTACTGTTTTCCACAGTGGCTGTACCAATTTACAATCCCACTGACAGTGTGTGAGGGTTCCCTTTTGTCCACATCTTCACCAACACTTGTTGCTTGTTAATTTCTGATGATAGCCATCTGACAGGTGTGAGGTGATATCTCATTGTGGTTTTAATTTGTATTTCCCTGATCGTTAGTCTTTCAATGTTACTTTAAACACACACCTCTTGCCACAGGATTCAGATAATGCACGTAAAAGCTCAGTTCGCAAACAAACTAAAAGTTATGTGAAGATCAAGAATCGCTACAGCAATAGTGACAACCAGTGGCCTCCCAGTACCGGGACTTCCGGGGCAGCCTGTTCTCCAGGATCTATCCCCAAGACTGAGAGGTTCCCCTATTCAGGACCCCAGGTAAGACCATCTGTGAAACTGGTGGTTGCACTCTTAGAAAGATGGCGTTCGTTGTGATTGTAAAGCATGTATTGTGTACTTATAATGGGCCAGACACTGTGGAGAGAAGGGGGTGTGGTGGCTTTTCCCCAGATGACCTGTAAAGCTTCTTGGGCTGGGAGGATTCCGAAGGCTGGAGGTGCCGGTTGCAGGGTTTGTGTTAGTCCTTTCCCACAGGAAGGATCTGTCTCTCCCTTTGTTTTTCATACTTGAATAGCCCCCCTGAGCCTGGGGAGGAGAAAAACAGCAAAGTTGCTTTCAGGACTCAAGTGACAAGATGCAGGTGAAGCAGAGATAAAGTGGGACATAGTATGGACATAATGAAAATTGCTGTTTCTGCCTCATTATGGGTCACTCTGGCTAAGCAGTTTCTTAGGGCTTACAGGTGGACATAGCAGCTCAACTGTCTGATGTGTTTATTGAGTTCTCTTGCCCTCAGTGGGCATAGATGGTACAAAGATGAAAGTCAGGTAAGTACTTGCCATTTACTTGTTCAAGTCACAACTCTGCTGTTCAGTAGAAGCCTATGATCTCCCTGGCTTTCCTTGCACTCCCCCCACCACACCCTCTGGGAGCTATCTCCAGGGCCTGTATTCCCAGGTTGTGCAAGCAGCTGCGCCATTCGAGTCTTTCATGAATGTTGATTGGAGAGCTGGTGGGATCTAAAAGCTGTTTCAGAAAGTAGGTTGAGAAAAATGGTGGAATAAAACCTTTGCAATTTTGCTCCTCCATTAAAGGCAACATGAAAACTGGCCAAAGTGGCTATGGCTGGTTTGGCTCAGCAGTTAGAGCATCGGCCTGTAGACCAAAGAGTCGCTGGTTTGATTCCCAGTCAAGGACATGTACCTTGTTGTGGGTTCGCTCCCTGGCCCCAGTCGGGGTCATGCAAGAGGCAAACAATATGTCTCTGACATCAGTGTTTCTCTCTCTCTGTCTCTCTACCTCCCTCCCTCCCACTCTATCTAAAAAAAAAAATCAATGGAAAAATATCCTTAGGTGAAGATAAAAAAAGAATAATAAAATTGGCAAGAGTGGTCAGAATTTATTCAGAATTTTGAATCAACTAAAGGCTTGCAGCAGCCTAGAGAATCTTTATTCAAGAGAAGTGGCTGAATCTGAGAAATATAAACTTTTAGCTTTTTAACTTGCCCTAGTCCCATTCTTTCACTGTCCAATGCCAGGGTAGCTGTGACAGCCACTGGAGGGGGCAGAGCAGAGCTGGAGTGCTCTCAGTTTCATTCTCAAAGAACTGGCATCACTGGACCTGTCTAACAGTTTCCTAGAAGACATGTTTACGAGGCTGTATTTGACTCAACTCAGAGCTTGTCTACTCAACACCAAAAGCGAAGGGATGTGTGTTGAAAATAATTACAGGGAAGTGTTTTAACTTTGCAGCTATCTGAGGTGTTGGATAATATTTGAGGTGTAAAGATTAGCCACAGAGCTTAAAAGGAAAAGCTGGGGAAGGAGATGTCCATGGGAGCTTTGAAAAGCTCTGACTTACTCCTGGCAATCTAAGAGGCCACACACATGGTCCAGACTGTGTATGGTCAGGAAAGACCTGAGAGTACCTCTGATGATCTTGAGGCTTTGAGCAAACAGGAAGCAAAGGCTAGGACAGAACTGTCATCTGCCTAGCTGAGTGGTGATGTACCCCAACAAGCAAAGAGCTATTTGGCAAAGACTGGAGATTTACTGGTTCTGGTGTTTAAGGAGAGCTCTGTCCAGTCCTCAGCTGACCCCCAAGCTGACTGAGCAGAGAATTCAGTGGCCACAAACCAGACGAATACAGACAACAAACCACAGAGGGAGAAGAATTGGATCTCCAGAGTTCCCACATTAAAATGTCCAGTTTTCAACAGAAAAAAAGATATGCAGAGAACAAGAAAGTATGACTCATTATAAGAAAAGGCAGTAGTAGTAGAAGCTGTCCCTGAGGAAGCCCAGACACTGGACTTTAAATAAGCTTTTAGAAATATGTTCAGCCCTGGCTAGTTTGGCTCAGTGGTTGGAGCGTTGGCCTGCGGACCAAAGAGTCCCGGGTTCAGTTCCCACTAGGGGCATGTACCAAAAAAATATATGTATACAGATATATATTTTTTCACAGAACTAAAGGAAACCACATCTAAATAGAGAATATCAAGAAAGTGGTAGAGCCCTGGCCAGTTTGGCTCAAGGGTAGAGCATTGGCCCAAGGACCAGTCTTGAGTTCGATTACAGTCAAGGGCACGTAACTTGGTTGTGGTTTGTTCCCCAGCCCTGGTTGGGGTTGTGCAGAAGGCAACCAATCGATGATGTATCTCTTTCCCCTTCCCATTCCATCTAAAGATAAATGGAAAATATCCTCAGGTGAGAATTTTTTTTTAAAAAAAGGAAGTGATAGAAATAAAAATGAACCAAATAGAAATTCTGGAGTTCAAAGGTGTAATAGATAACATGGAAATTTCACTGAAGGGGCTTAAGAGCAGACTTGAGCATGCAGAAGAATCAGAAAATTTGACATAGACCAGTTGAGATTACACAATTTGAGAAACAAAAAGAATGAAGAAACATGCACAGAATCCTGGGAGACACCACCAGGCATACCAACATGCACATGTAGGTGCTCCAGGAGAGGAGGGAGATGAAAGCAGGGACTATGTTTTAAAAATAGCCACACCGACTTCTGGTGGCGGTGTAGGTAAACGCGGAATCGCATCCTCCCACAACCACATCAAAGTTACAACTAAACTACAGAACAACCATCATTCAAAACCACCTGAAATCAAGCTGAATGGAAATCCTACAACTACAGAATTAAAGAAGCAGCCTCATCGAGACTGGTAGGAGGGGCAGAGGTGGAGGAGCTGGTCCCACACCCGTGTGTGGTGGGTAAAAATCAGGAGGGTACCTCAGCTGGGAAGGTTCTCCCTGAGGACTGAGGGGTCCCTGACCCACACCAGGTGCCCTGCTCAGGGTTTCAGTGCCAGGAAGAGAAGTCCCAATAACTTCTGGCTGGAAAAACCAGTAGGAACTGAGGCTCAGAGACGCTGAGGCGGCTGGAGCCCCAGGCAGCTCCTCTTTTTTTTTTTTTATCCTCACCTGAGGATATTTTTCCATTTTTTGTACAGATAGAGTGGGAGGGAGAGAGAGAGAGAAACATCGATGTGAAGGGACACATCGAGTGGCTGCCACCCGCATGACCAACCAGGGCCGGGGACAAACTGCAACCGAAGTACGTGCCCTTAGCGGGAACCGAACCCGGGTCTCTCCGGACCGCAGGCCGACGCTCTAACCGCTGAGCCAAACTGGCCAGGGCCAGGCAGCTCCTCTTAAAGGGCCCACATGGGGACTTATTGGACTCACTCCCTCTAAGCTTGGAGGGGAGGAAGCTCGAGGGGCACCAGAGACATACAGGGAAGAACTGAACTGTTTGGCATTGGAGAGGAGGCTTCCTCTGGGACAGATGTGCTGTCAGAGGCCTTTGTTCCTTTGGTGAGCCCTTCCCTGGGTGGCAGATGGCTGCCATATCTGGGACTCCAGCAATCTGGCTCACACTGGTTGCCCCACCCTGGTGATTCCCTGAGGCCCCACCCCACCCAACTTTCAGGCCCACCCAAGCTGTTTCCAATGGCTTTACTGTAGGATTGGTCTGTTTTGGATCCTGCTTCAGATTTTCCTAAAATCTCTCAAGCAGCATCTGGTCTCAGCCCCATACTTCTTGTTAAGTAATACACAGAAACAAACACAGGGAGGCAGTAAAAATCAGACAAAGAAACTGGTCACAAATGAAAGAACAGAACAAAACCCCAGGAAATGAACTAAGCAAAATGGAGATGAGCAACCTAACAGATGCTGAGTTCAAAATACTGCTTATAAGGATGATCAATGAACTTAGTGAGAACCTCAGCGAACTTAGTGAAGGCCTCAAGACCATAAAAAAGGACCAGTCAGAAATGAAGGAGGCACAGTCAGAAATGACGGAGGTATTAACTGAAATAAAGAATAATTTACACAGATTCAGTAGTAGAGTAGGTAAAGCCAAGAAGCAAACCATTGATTTGGAATATAAGGAAGCAAAAAACACCCAATCAGAACAGCAAAAAGAAAAAAGAATCCAAAAAAATGAGGATAGTGTAAGGAGCCTCTGGGACAACTTCAAGCGTGCCAACATTCGCATCTTGGGGGTGCCAGAAGGAGAAAAGAGAGAACAAGAAATTGAAAACCTATTTGAAACAATAATGGCAGAAAACGTCCCTAACTTGGTGAAGGAAACAGACATACAAGTCCAGGAAGCAGAGAGTTCCAAACAAGATGAACCCCAAGAGGCCCACACCAAGACACATTATCATCAAAATGCAAAAGGTTCAAGACAAGAGAGAATCTTAAAAGCAGCAAGAGAAAAGCAGTTAGTTACCTACAAGGGGGTTCCCATAAGACTGTCAGCTGATTTCTCAAAAGAAACTGCAGGCCAGAAGGGAGTGGCAAGAAATATTCAGAGTGATGAAAAGCAAGAACCTACAACTAGATTACTCTATCCTGCAAAGCTGTCATTTAGAATCAATGGCCATATAAAGAGTTTCCCAGACAAGAAAAAGTTAAAGGAGTTCATCACCACCAAACCGTTATTATATGAAATGATGAAGAAAAAGATAAAATATATGAACAAACAAAATGGCAATGAATATATATGTATCGACAATGGAATCTACGAACAAAATGAACAGGCAGAACAGAAACATTCTCATAGATACAGAGAACATTTTGTTGGTTGCCAGATGGGAGGGGGGTTGGGGGAATAGGTGAAAAAGGTGAAGGGATTAAGAAGTACAAATTCATTGCTAGACTGACAAACCTCAAAGGGAAAGGGTTTGGGAGGTGGGAAGAAATAAACCAAAGAACTTATATGCATAACCAATGGACACAGACAACAGTGTGGGAAAAAGCAGGAGGGAGATGGGAGTGGGAAGGAGGGGGTCATTGGGGGAAAAATGAGGAACATCTGTAATACATTCAACAATAAAGATAAAAAAAATAATAAAAATAAATAAATAAAAATAGCTACACCTCAGCTGGACCAGTGTGGCTCAGTGGTTGAGTGTTGACCCATGCACCAAGAGGTCGCTGGTTGATTCCGGGTCAGGACACATGCTCAGATTGTGGGCCAATTCCCCAGGGGGAGGCACACAGGAAGCAGCAAATCAATGTTCTCTCTCACTGATGTTTCTACCTCTCTCTCTCTCCCTTCCTCTTTCTGAAATCAATAAAGAAAATTTTTTTTTCAAAAGTGACTTCACAAATACACACTTAGCAGGAGAAAAGTGGCTCCGCCTTGCATCGTGTGCTTTTTTTTTTGTCCCCATGTCTTTGTGCCTTTCCCATCCTCTGACCTGTGCTGGCTGCTCTGCCCTCTAGGACCTTGCCACACTGCTGGAGCAGATTGGATGTCTGAAGTACCTACAGCTGTTCGAGGAACAGGACGTGGACCTTCGAATCTTCCTAACCCTCACTGAGAGCGACCTAAAGGAAATCGGCATCACGTGAGTCCAGAGTGGCCTTCTGTGGCTGCATGCCCTTTGTTTCAGCCAGAGTCCTGGCACCCACTGATGTTGCAGCTTCCCAACATTCAGAGAGAAAGAGCTGACCTCTAGAGGTCTGCTTTCTTCCTGAAGTCAGCTGTCCTTGCTCCATTTCCAGCAGCTGCTCCTAGCTTCCCAAGCAGGCCTGCTCAGTGCTGTGTTCAGGGCACCCAGACGTTTTCTGCCTGTTCACTTTTGAGAGCTTTCCAAGTTGGCAGACAGTCATACAGAGCTGGACCTGGCTGGTTGAGTTCTCTGTGTAGTGAAAGCAGCAGCCTGGCTGGAAAGGGGACCAGGTTGGGGGGGGGGGGCGGATCTCCAGTGAGGTCATCACCTGTTTTTGTTGATTTTTTTTTTATCCTCACCCAAGGACATTTTTCCATTTTTTGTTCAGATAGAGTGGGTGAGAGGAGAGAGAAACATCGTCGTGAAAGGAACACATCCAGTGGTTGCCACCCGCACGACCCAACCAGGGCCGGGGACAAACTGCAACCGAGGTACATGCTCTTAGCGGGATCCGAACCTGGGTCTCTCTGGACCGCAGGCTGACGCTCTGACCACTGAGCCAAACCGGCCAGGGCAATTTTTTTTTAAGAGGAGAGAGAAACATTGACGTGAGAAAAATTAATTGGCTGCTTCCTGCATGTCCCCTCCTGGGGATCAAGTCTGAAACCCAGGCATGTGCCCTGAATGGGAATTGAACCGGGACCTCTGAGTCTACGAGATAATGCTCAATACACTGATCCACACCGGCCAGGCAGGTCACCTTTGTTTCTGTCCTCTGCTGCAGGGTCCCAGGGCCACTCTCCCCTCAAGGCTGAGATCTTTCCTAGGGGAACCATCTTGATGGAAGGATGGTCCGTGGAGCTTCCAGGCACATGACAAATGCTGATCCAAGTCCTTTTCTCATTTCCCCTGCAGGCTGTTTGGACCCAAGAGAAAGATGACTTCTGCCATCGCCCGCTGGCACAGCAGTGCCCGCCCCCCCAGTGATGCCCTGGAGCTGGCCTATGCTGACAGGCTGGAAGCGGAGATGCAGGAGCTTGCCATCCAGCTGCACAAAGTAGGTGGGAAGGGGAAGGGAGGGGACGTGCAGAAATGGCAAGAGAGATGTCTGGAGACACACCTGTAGAAGACACAGTGGGTGAGAGGACAGTGAGGGCAGAAAGCATTACAGCTCCTACCCTGAAGCGGAGATGTGCAGGCAGGCCCACAGGAAGGCTCAGAAAGGTATGGGACATTAGGTGTGAGGTCATGGACACAAGAGAGAAGAGATAAGGTGAGGCCAGAGAACAGGCTGGTGTGGACCCCAGAAGGCTCACAGGAAGGGACCAAAAGCAGGAGAGGTAGAGAAAGACCCTCTCATTCCAGGAGAGGGAGGACAGGGTGGTTCCCAGCCGTGGCCTGGTGGCCTGGTGGCCTGGTCTCCTGCATCTTTGGTCCCCTTGCCTGCCTACCAGCCCCACCTTCCACCTCTCCCTATCCAGCGCTGTGAGGAGGTGGAGGCCATGCGGGGTCAGGTATCCCAGGAGCAGGAGCTGCGAGCGGTGGTGGAGAGTTGCCTCCTGGAGCAGGACAGCACCCGCAAGGACATCCTTGCCCAGCTGCAGGAGACCTGGGCCCTGGCCCGGGATGCTGCTCTCATCCTGGACCAGCTACAGTGAGTAGGCACCTGAACTGGTCTTGAGTTCCCTCTAGATTCTTCAAACCAAGGACTTGCTTTCAGGGCCTCTTGGGGTCATGCCCAACCAACCACCCACTCCTCCACTTCATTCTGGCTGCTTCTCCCTGCAGGGTAGAGTAGGCAGAAGTAGGCCCCTGAAAACATACATACTCAACAGCAGCTCTCTGCCTGGGTCTTGGGCTGAGAGCTTGTCAGTGTGAGTGGGTGCCTGGGGTGCTTGCCAAGTCCAGGAAGGTGGGCTGCGGGGACAGGGCAGAGCTCCACCTTACACTCAGGGAAGTGGGGTACCTGTTGCCCCCTGCACTCTGGGGCCCTGGGAAGCAGTTGCCAGGCTCTCCCCTCACCAGCACTTGGTCTTATGTCCTGCAGAGCCTGTCAGGCTGAGCTGTCGGCCCGAGTGAAGCGAGACGAGTTCCCCCTTGGGGCCACTCTAGGCCCAGCCCTCCCCACAGCAGGTAAGGAGAGCAGTGTCCGGGCCCAGGACTGGGTAGAGATCCTCCTTGGGCTCGGTTTTACCACTTGTGTCAGCAGTTATCACATTTATACTCCTAGGTCCCCTTTGTAAACACAATCCCGGACTCTAGGGTGAGGGCACCCTGTCCTCCCCATCCCATTTCCTTCCTGTCCTTCCTGGTGGTGGCAGGCAAAGCCCTTGGGTCTCGGGCTGAGAGCTTGTGCTGTCCAAGACTTCAAGTGACTTCTATAGCCTCCAATTGGGGCCCAGGCTGGTCCATCCCAGGGCATAGCCTCACAAGAAGCTAATGACACCCACAATTCCATTTCTGGGGCCAGGCTCTGACTAGCAGTTAGTACTTTTGTCAACAAGCAGGAGGACACATTTTGAGGTAACAAGGGGAGTCATGTGGGCAGTGACAGTTGAGTGTTTCCTGGTCACGGCAGCTCAGGACAAAGGCAGGGCCTGTGAGCACACAGGCACCAGGCTTACCCAGCCCTCTGCCCCACAGACTCCAAAGGCTGGCAGGCTTCCTTGCAGGCCCTGAGCCTCCCCGAGCTGTCAGGAACATTGGAGGATCGAGTCCATGAGATGGGTGAGTCTCTGGGAGGGCAGCCAGTGACCCTTGCCCCCACCCAGGGACCAGACTTAGAGTAACAGGAAAAGCCCTGTCAGCTCAGAACTCCCTAGGGCAGCCCCACTACAACCTACTAACCTTCCAGGTCATCCATTCCTAGTGCACCCCTGCTTCCCACCGCTGCCCAGACTTGTAAAGCAGACTCTTCTGTTCCCATCTTCAGGGCAAGTGCTGTGCTCAGTGACCCAGGGTCTGGAGAAGCTGCAGGTGCTGAATGGGAAAGAGAACTGGCGGGAGCCTTAGCAGAGGAACGGTGAGTGTCGGCCAGCTCAGGATCCAAGCTGGGACAGCAGGCTCTGCTGGGACCTGAGTGAATTCCCACTGCAGTCCTCCCTTTTTCTTCTCAGTCTGACGTTGGGTGACTGATCCACCCTGAAGCTGTGTGCCCGGAGGACAGGAGGGCAGTGAACGGGCAGTTGCAGCAGCCCAGGCCCCACCTGGGGCCAGAGGATCGGCCCCCCGGGAGCAGCTGGCAGAGAGACAGGACCGGGCTGTGGCACCAAGGCCCCCATGGAGGCAGGATGAGGGCCTTGCCCTGAACCTGGTGGTAAGGCCCAGAGCAGACAGGGACTTGGGGAGAGTGTGTCCCCAGATACTGCAGGCGCCACATTCAGGTTTGCCCTGATGGATGAGGACGGGGCACCTGGGCAGCGTATGTCATTTGCTGGAAAATAAAATGTAAGATCAGCTCATAAGGGGCTCAGTTCTGGTCACATGACATGCAGTACTGGCTGATGTAGCAAAGCAAGGAGCAAGCCATGCAGGATCCCCAGCCCCAGTGACCTGGTGGGGCCCAGGCCTCCTCTGCCAGGACAGAAAACACTGTGCTCATAGTGGGGCTGACTTAGTGACCTCCTCCTGCCCTACTTTCCCCTGCAGCTAAGGCTACTTTTGCTTAGAGCCCCCATGAGTCAATAGAAGCTACCTGGAGAGCCAAGCATGTCCTCATGCCCTAGGAAATAAGAGAAGAGCAAAGTACAGGTATTTTATTTACAGAGTGAAGTGCCTTTGCCAATAGTGTGGCTGCTACATCGAGGCTGTTAGGTGGACAGATGCCCAGGCTGGGCAGGCATTGTGGAAACTTTCCAGTAGCTTCGCTGAGAAGTTTTGCCAGACATAGGGCCATAGGAGACCCCAGTGGTGACCTTCCTGCCTGTGGTGGCTTTGCTGTTGTCATTCTGCACACTCAGCGGGTATTTCCAGACCATCCTTGGGAGCTGCCTGCAGACCTTAGTGGGAATGGAGAAAAGGAGGCTTTCAAAGCACAGGAAAGAACAGCAGGCTCAGCCTAGGTGTAGCCAAAGCACCAGGACCAGAAAAGGCGCCTCTTGTGGACAGTCTTAGCACAGAAGTCCCAGACCAAGCCATTGGCAGCTTGACTCTGAATGGCACCTAGTGCTTTTGGACCTGGCCCTGTTCTTAAGTATCCAGATAGTAGGAGAAGGGGACACCCTCCTGTGCCCAGCCCTGGGCCTGCAGTCAGGACCAAACAGAGCAGCGGAGGAGCCACTTTACTGTCCTTGGAGACCAAGCACCAGTGGGGTTAAAGTGGTTTTGAAACCTCACCCATAGTTCACACAACACATAAAAAGAAATCTATCCAAGTAAAGCTAACAGCTAAAATTAATAATACAACATCCTACCCAAACTGGCTCTCCTCTAGGCCCTGAGGCTGGCACAGAGGACAGGATGTAAGAATGAGTCAACTGCGACAAAGGCATCCTCCATGAGAACTGACTACTCACTGGTCTAAGTGTCTGTGCACCTACCCACTTGGAAAATCAGGCAGTACCTGAGCCTCCACCACCACCCCATGAAACTCAGAGAGGCAGGTTTGAGCCTCAAGGTGGGTGAGAATGTCCTGAGCCTGGACAGCCAGGTCCAGCACCCCTAAGCCACCCACTGACCAACCTGAGAAGGTCCCACCTGGCCCCATGACTGCTTGAGGCAGTGGAGATGAGGTGCCCACTCACCCCATGCAGTCAGAATAGGTTACAAACACAGATACACACTAGAAGACACACTCTGCCCACAGGATTTCAGGGCCCTCTCTCAGCCCCTGGGCACAGATAGAGAGCCAGGGGAGGATGAAGACACAGTACAGGAGCAACCTCAGGAAGAAGATGGGAGCAGCTTCTCTAGGGCCTTCTTCTGCTTCTCAGTGGCTGCAGCCACAGCCTCAGCCAGCTTCTCCTCGGGCATCATGTTGAGCACCTTGAGGGCGAAGAGGAGCTGGTACTTAGCTGTACTGATGAAGGCATTGCTCAGGAAGTTGGGAAAGCCACCGACTCGGTCCTTCTGGGTATACAGTGGGACCCGCACGAGCCCCAGCACCTGTACCAAAAGGAGACCAGGGTTGGGACCAGGCTTCCACACCAAGAGCACAGCCCTGGTAGGAGGGACCTGTGAGCTGCTAGGCTAGGTGAAGGGAAGCCAGGTTGTCAAGGACAGTGGGAGACTATGGCAGGGTCTGGTGAGGCAGAAGCCAGCCAGCTGCTTTGGAGCAGTGCAGCCCTTTCCTCCCCAAGCAAGATTCAAGGCCACCCCATGCATTTCCCACCCTCTGCATCCTTAAGTTCCAGCCTCCCATCCGCTGGCAGGAAGCCCCCCAGTCCGCATTACATGCTCCCCCTTGCAGCGGGCGAATCCCCAACACACCAAGTGTCACTCCCGGCCTTTCCAGACCATAAAGCCCACAAATGACAAGAACCTTCAACCCTCGCAGCATGAGATCCCTACCTCCCTCATTCCCAGTCCTACAAGTTCCCCCTTCAGCTCAGCAATTTCCCACCTCGAGCGGGTCCCGCCCCAACCCATTCCCCCAACCAGTCCCACTCCCCACCCCCAGGATTGGCAGTGGCAGGCAGCAAGGCAGATGGAACACAGCCCCGAGGGAACCCCAGCCTCCTACCCGCACCTCAGGTCCCTCCCCCACTCCGATGCTGCAGACAGTGACACCCCACCCGGCCCGGCCAGGGGACCCTCAGGAGGACGTGTTACCCATCGGTGCCTTCCGCGGGGCCAGAGCCAAACCCCAGGGTGGGGGGCGGGACCCGGGCGGCGGCCCCACCTCCAGGCCGTGGTCGCGGGAGTGAACCGCGCTAATCTCCACGGCGTGCAGCTGCTCCAGCGTCAGCTGCCGCGCGTACAGGTGCGCCACAACGCGGTGCGGGCCCTCGGTCAGGTGCGAGCTCAGGTAGTCGGCCTCGGTGAGGCGCAGGCAGCCCAGGCCCAGGCCCAGCACCCGGTTCAGTCCGTCCTCCAACGACCAGAAGCGCCGGTCCACGAAGCCCCCGGGGAAGCCCAGCAGCCCATCGAAGCGCATCTGCATCTACAAGGGAGCGCCGGGTCACGGGCGCGGGTCCGAGCGGCGCCCCGGCCCTCGTCCGCCAGCCCGCGTCCTCACCAGCACCGAGAAGCGCATGGGGATGCGGCCGAAAAGCTGCCCAGGGTTGGCGGCGTACAGCATGGCGTGGCAGGAGTGGCTCCAGCCCGGCCCCAGGCGCATCGCCTCCACCCGGCTGATCTGCTTCAGCTCCGGCACCGTAGCCGACATCTTGGCACTGCCCCGCGCTGCGGGCACCTCCCCTAGGTGCGTGCGCTGGCCGCTCCTGCCGCGTCGGGCCAATCCACGGGCGGCCGCGCCCTCTCCGCCAATCGCTGTCGCGCATCGGGACAGGGCCCACGCGCCGACGCTTCGTTGAGAGGCGCAGAGGGAGGGACGCGCGCACCGGCTACACCCAATAGCCGCCAGCCCCGAGCTGGCCCTCGAACCACAGCGCCCGCCCGGGATGTACCGCGCTCGAGTGCTCACCAGTCAAGCCCGACCCGGAACTAGGGACTTCAGGCTTCCCACCGGTTGCCCTCGGAGTCTGTGGGGTGGGTGCAGTGAAAGACTGCTCGTCCGAAGGAGGGCAGCGGGATCCCCAAAGATCATGTCGCCCTTGGCGGGGCCGAGTCGAGTTCCTTCCCCCAGCGCCTCCTTGGGCACGTAGGCACCCCCCGCCTCTCCCAGGAGGGCGCAGCTGAGCCCTGCAAACCAGAGGACACAACCCTCCCCTGCAGGTACACCAGCCCCACAGCCCTGGGCGCCTACAACCTGCTAAGCACTCCAGTCCAAGGTCACTGCTGGTCTGACTCCACAATAGCACGAAAGAAGGGCGTGGTGGAGCTCCGGCTGCCTGTGCTCGGTCTGGACTGAGGGTGAATAGCGAGAAGCCCCGGGGGGCTCCTTACACTCAGTCAGCTAGAGCCAAAGTGACCTAAGTCCCAACGCCCCAAGTATCCTCCAAGTCAGGCACCATATGCCAGGTACAGTGGGAAGAAATAGGATCTCCCCAATTTCCCGAAGAGGACCCTGGGCTCACAGGGGCAGGACGTGCCTAAGGGCACTCCACAGTTGCTGACAGAGCCAGGATCCTACCCTAGATTTCCACCCTGTCTCTTACCCAGCGTCCACGACAGAAAACCTGCCTTCTACCTCAGGTACTTACCCCATATTTGTGCAAAAGGAAGTCGCTGGAGTTCTGGGGCCTGATGCCACTCACTCCACCAGCTGGCCCAACCTCCATTTGCCTCCCCATAATGGGCATGGATTTGCTGAGTGAAGAAACTCGGGCCGGGTGCCACAGGCACATCAGGAGAGCCATACGCTGAGGTCAAGGTCTAGCATGGGGAAGGCTGCCCTGAGCAGAGCTGAGTAGGAGAGGAAAGGGGGCAGGGGGCAGGCCAAGGCTGGTGGGATCCACCAGAAACTCACTCACGTTTGGTCCGTGGTGTGTTCTGTCAGGAGATCTGGGAAATAAGGACCCAGACAGGGAGGCTCTCCCCTGCTGTGGCCCTCTGCCAAAGTCAGGGCTCAGAGGAGTAGCCGCAGCTGACAGGAGGAGGCCAGGTCCCAGGGTGAGTAACTGTGTCTGAAGGGGAGAGGTCAGTGAGGGGAAGGGCCCATACAGAAAGGACCCTCTCTCCAGGCTGCAGGGTGTGGCCCGAGCCCAGGACCAGTGTGCAGCTGGAGTCACATTGGAACGGCACCCTGCACCCAAACCCTCCGACACCAGACATTAGTGAAGGCGGTGGGTCCATTGGGGAAGTGAGGAGGAGATCCAGTGCAGCCCATGCAAGAACACATCTGACACTGAGCACCTTCCTGCCCACACTGGTACCATGCCAGGCCCAGGCACAACCAAGGGTGACAGTACTTCCTTGGGACAGAGACTGGGCAGCCAAGAACACTGGTTCTACTCTTGAGTACCTGAGTTCAAGAAAGAGACCTGTAGCCTTAGCCAGTGTGGCTCAGTTGGTTGGAACTTTGTTCTGTAAACCAAAAAGTTCTGGGTTTGATTTCCGGTCAGGCACATACCCGGGTTGTGGGTTTGAGCCCCGGTTGGGGTGCGTGTGGGAGGTGGCCAGTCATGTTTCTCTCTCACATTGAAGTGTCTCCCCCTTTCTCCCTTCCTCTCTCTGAAATCAATAAACATATCCTTAGGTGAGGATTAAAAAAAAAGAAGGAGCCTGTGGAAACAACTTGGAACTGTGTTGCAAAGGAGCTGGGGGGAGGTGCAAACTGCTTCCTGGGCATGATGGGGCACCAGCTTTTCCCTACTGGGAAGCCACCCACTAAGCAGGGGAACTCAAGCCAAGCAAAGGGCTACCAGCTGGGCTCCAGCATCATAGCAGCCAAACCTGCCCCTCTAATCCATTCTCCACATGACATCTGGAATCATTCCATTGCCTAAAAACCTTGCCTTAGAAGAAAACTCTGACTGCCCCTACAGGGTCTCGCGGAGCACATCCCTCAATTCCGACACTCTGGCCATTCACGCTTCTTTCTATTCAGTGGATACCTTAAGCTCACTCCTGTCTCCGGGCCTTGGCACTTGCTGTGCCAGCTGCCTTGGGTGCTCTTCCAGACTATGGATTAAATTAAGACCCCATGTGACGCCAGCTTGTCACCTGCTCTCTTCCTAAGGGTAACCAAATCTGGAAGATGTGGATTTACTTGTGCAGTCTTACTGACATTGAAATACAAGCTCCCAGGGGCCTGCACCTTGCTCGTCTTGCTTTCCGCTGGCATATAGTAGGTGCTCAGGAAACATCTGGGGGTTGAATCAGCAAAGCAGATGGGGACCGCAGCAGCCTCTCACAATTCTGGGCTCCTTCTCGCTTGCTCAGAAGACAGAGGCGAATCTCCAGGGACCATTTGATCCAACCCAGGAAACAGGAGAACAGCCACAACAGTAACCAGCAGCATCACACATGGCGCCTCATGTAGCCCTCACTCCCTTCTGGAGTCAGACCTCGCTGATGTCTTACACAAGAAGAAACAGGCTGCGGCCACAAGCTGGTGGTCACACTGCTGTGGGTGTCAGAGCCACCACTAGCTACTCCACAGTCCTGCCCTCTGACCAAGAAACAGCCGAGGTCCTACAGTACTACGCATAGAAAAAGGAGTGGACAGGATATTGCTGCATGATTTTATTACTATAAATATACAGTAAAAACGAACAAAAACTAGCCAATCAGAATACATCAAATGATAGCACGTGTTAAGTCCAAGACAGGGCAGTCTGCAACCTGTCCTTCAGAGTACTGGCACCAATACCAACAGTGACAGGCCAGGGTGTTGGCGGGTGATGAGGGTGAAGAGAGGGAGACGGCCAGCCTGTGTGTGTGTGCACGTGTGCACCCATGAGCACACCAGTGGGTGGGAGGGGAGGCAAGACAGGGAGCCAAGTGGCCGGGGAAGTTGGCTTGAGCATGGCCGAGAGCTGTGCATAAGGCAGCCCTCTGCCCACAGGCCCCACCGGAGAGAGAACAAGGACCCCAGTGGACAAAGCCCCCAGCTGTGTGGATCTCTGTGGACAGCTGCTGGCTGCCCCAGAACTATCCTCCTTCCCAGGGCAGCTCCTCAGAAAGTGAGCTCCTCTGCACCCCCCAACCTCAGGCCAAAAAGTGTTGGCCCCATGGGAGCTGCAGAGAGACCCACCCACCCACCAGGCCAAGGTCCCTGCTGCACCAGGACTGGGTACCCCATCAGCCTTTCTGTTGCCCAGGTGGTTTATCTTAAGAAAAAGACGAGGCCACCTCAGATGGGACCCTCCTGCCCCAGGCAGGTGCCACCACAGGAGCCCCAGAGAGAACAAATCAAAGAGAAACGCAAAGTGACATTTAAATGGCACAGGGAGCAGAAGTTGCTCAGATCCCTCCTGGGGCAGGTGGGCTAGTCAAGCGGAAGCCCCTCCATCTAGAGGGGTCTGAGGACGTGAGCAAAGCCACCTCTGAGAACGTACAGGACTTGGAGAGGGGCCTCTAGACCAACTGCTGCCAACAGGCTATGCACCTGCTCCTCTGTCCCTAGGAAGACCCAGACCGCAACCCCGAGTGCAGGAACCTGGGCTTCCTGGAGGGCAGGCTGTAGGGAAGGGCTGCGGCTGTGGGAGCCAGCCCTGCACCGAAGGGCCTGAGTGGGAAAGAAAAGCAACAGAGGGCACAAAGCAGCGGTGCCAGCCAGGCCACGCACATAGGGAGAGGGGACAGGCACTGTTTCCTTCATTGACCATGACCTGGACCCCTTCCTTTCCTTCCCTGACAACAAGCCCCCCTCAGTAATACCTGTGGTTAAGACAGAACTTCACCCATCAATAAATCCTTTCCTGCCAGTTTGCCGAGTTCTCGGTTCCACTGGCTGGGGGGCTGGATAAAGCTAATCTGGGACATATGGGCCAACTCCCAGCCTCCAGCCCCAGCTACTCAGTCAAGAAGGCATTTGGGGGAACCCAGAGCTCAGTGCCTGAGACAGAAAGGGGCTGTCCTTCATCTTGTACCATTCACAAATACAGAGACCACAGACAAAAGGGTTTGTCAGAGGGGACCGACTACTGTGCTCTTCACTGGTGCCGCAGGCCCTCGGAGCCATGGCCATGAAGGGTGTGCAGACAGGAGAGGCCAGGGGTCTCAGTGGAGTCCGGACAGCCCCTCAGCGAAGTCTGGGGAGCTGAGGGCTCCATGCTGCCAGCCAAGCCAGGCTCTCAGAGTGCAGTCAGGTCGGTGGCCTTCCATGTCAGGACTGGGGCCACCAAGCAGAGGCCAGGTGGGGCCAGTGGTGAAGAGGCTTCGGGGTGTCTCCATGGAGGTGGCGCAGCCTGCAGGTGGGAGCAGACGGAGGAGGGTCAAGCTCGGCTGAGTCCCGCCTCACCTGCTGCCTTCACCTTCCAGGCTCCGGGTTCCCACCAACTTTGAAACTTGGAGGGCAGAGTCACCCCGCACTCTCCACGGTGTGTGCATGTCTGTGGTGGACCACACAGGGCGCCAGGGGACTCCAGCTCTAGGTGAGTGAGCAGGGTGCCAGCAGCAGCTGCAGCCCTGGAACAGAACAGGGAGCCTCGGGCTGCTGACCCTGGGGTCTCCTGCCCTCGCATGGTATGTGCTCCTGAAATCAGCAGCCTCTATCCACAGAGCTTCCCCACTAAGTGAGGATGGGATCTGGTCAGCCCCAGGGCCTAGCCGGCCCTCCTCTGAGGCTGGTACCATAGTTGCCTCCCCAATGCTGTGAGGTGCTCTGTCCCTGGACAGGGCCCCCACAACCCCGGCGCTGGTGTGGGGAACCCTGTGGGTTACAGCAGCAAAGGGGCCGGCACACTTCTCAGCGCTGCAGAATGCACGACCACCCACCGTCCACCCCAGAGTGGGCTCCGTGGGTGTCTTCACACAGCACACCAAGCAGTGCACCTGCCCCCCCGTCGCCTGTGGTGCGGACCCTCGGGTAAGGACTGTTGCAGGAGCTGTGACTATGTGCAGGAAGTCAGCTGTGCCTCAGCCCGCAAGTGCAATACATTTCTCTGCAGCTCTGACCTGTGCTTCCTACTTCTGGACGTTTTACCTAAATTGCAACACTCAACCTCCACTGGGGAGCCTGGAACCGACTTTATAAAGTTCTGGGCACTGTTTCAAAGAGGGAAAGATTTGTCTGAAGAAATGTGCAGAAGACAAGAGGTTTGTGCAGGAACGTAAGAGCAGCTGACAAAAACAAGTGGACAGACACCAAAGCCTAGGCTCAGGACAGCTGACCAGGAGGAAGGCCGGACACCAGCTGGGATGTCTCCCAGCTGGGGCTGCTGGGGCTTTGCCACCAGGACAGGCCAGGGGTCCTCTGGAACGTTCCACACCATACACCTTTGCAAAACCCAGGGCCACTGACGGTGCCAGGCTCTCCATCACCAGACTTCCCAGTCATTCAAGTCACATGAAGGAGGGGGACGGAGGCCCCAACACATATGGCCTATTTCTTGGTGGGACCTTGGAACTGCCTTCTGTAAAATATCTGTTTGGGTCACCCAGGTAGAGGGCACCTCCCTGTCAGGTGGGGAGTCAACCTCATGTAACTTCCTCATAGACTGATGAGTGTGCTGAAGGTTCCAAAGGTTCTGGAGGTGGGTGGGGGACAGCCTAGTAGCAGCAATGATGGAGTCTCAGCTAGGGATGGGTCCCCATCCCTAGGACCCTAAAGGCTGAAGAGACTGACTGGGTTGCCTGGTCCCGACGGAAGAATCTCTGCCCCAAAGCCAGCATTAGAGCCCCAGAAACACCTCTTTGGGGCAAAGGTACAGTGGCACTGGGAGAACTCTGGATTTAGAACCAGGACCCAAGGGAAGACATGGATGTAGAGGAAGCTGGAAAACAGGAAAGAACCTCTGGAAGGAGCAGGAGAGGGGGGGGCAGCTGGGGGCTCTCTGTCTAGCCCCTGCCGAGGATGCCCCCCAGAGCCACCCCGCCAGGAGTGTGACGGTGATCACGTACCAGCTTACTCCTCGATCCCAACAGAGCAGGAGTCGGGTGCCCGGGCTGTGCAGAGAAGAGACGGGAGCTTGGTTAGCAAAGGCTCGGACAGACCAGCACACTCCACACAAGGTACTGACTAGGACAGTGGCCCGAGGTGTGGGCTGGAAATGAAAAGCCCACACAAACCGACGTGCTGGAACAAAAGACGGATATAGACTGAAAATGTATTTCCTGAGAAATAGCCACTGGGCCCAGTTCTAATACAGAGGAACTCAGCCAATGGAAGGACTGGGGGGTGGGCAGAACTGAAACCAGCTAGAAGGTGGAGCCCAGGAAGGGGCCCCACCCCACATGGGCATCTGGGGTGTGGCCATTTATGGATTTTCCCCAATGCCACTTTTTCCTACCAACAGGGAACACTAAGGTTCACCAAACTATGCTTCCTCCAGGGAATGGCCGTGCAGTTATAAAGAATGAAGACACCTGTGTGTGCATGTTCCCATTCTTAAACACACACAGATGTGAAAGATGCCCAGGATCCTCCCTAACTGGAAAAAGCCAGCAGCAAAACAGAGGGATACAGGTGCTCCTAAGTTGTGTGCCTCTGTGAGGACCCCTGCCCACCTCCAGCTGCCATCAGCACTGCCTGTGGGGGAGCAGATGCAGGACGTTAACAGCACCCACTTCTGTGCTCCAAGAGGCTCTGAGAACCCAGCTTGCCCTGCAGAATGGGCAGGGCATAGAGCCAGGTGGGGCCCGGGCCCAGGAGCCGGATACTGCCCACCCTGCTGTCCAGGCAGGCCCCAAATTCAGACCCTGGCCTCTCCTCTACCCCCTCCACAGCCAGCGGCTTCCCACCCACATGTGAGCTAAGGCCCAGCAGCTAGGGCCTGTCCTGACTCATGGCTCCAGAAAGCCGAGTCCTAGCCCACCTCCCCTCAAATATGAATCATAGTGAAATACTTGAAGTCCTCTGAAAGAACTTACTGGAACCTGTGTTACTCTAGGGTATGCTTTTGCCTGTGGGTGTCCCTCTGGGCAGGCCCAAATATGCCATCAAACCAACAGCTGCCCTGCTTCCTCACACCTGGTGCCCGTCTGCACAGGCTGCTGCTCGTCCAGAAGCCAGTGTGGGGCAAGGGGCCCTTCCAAACCAAAGCACGTCAGCCCCCCAGTGCCCAGGCTAGGACACCAGGACCAGGCTCCAGGGGCAGGCAGGAGGGGGGGTGCTCCAGGCATGGAGGGGTCCAGGAAGGGGCACAAGGGCTCCCCAGCCATGTGGCAGGAGCCAGGCTCTCTGGAGGCAACGTGGCTATTTATTTTGATTCCAGAACCTCAGATGGCATCCTAGCAGGTGCCAATATGAGCATCTGAGAGCACCCCATTCACATCCCCTGCCTTTAGAGCCCATGACTTGGCCTGGCCAGCGTCGCTCAGTGGATTGAGCGTCGTTCCAAGGGCTGAGAGGTCCCAGTTCGATTCCTGGCCAGGGCACATGCCCGGGGTTGCAGGCTCGATCCCCAGTAAGGGGTATGCAGGAGGCAGCCAATCGATGTTTCTCTATCTTTCTCCCTTCCTCTCTCTCTAAAAAAAAAAAAAAAAAATCAGCCCTGGCTGGTTTGGCTCAGTGGTCGGCCCAGAGAGACCCGGGTTCAGTTCCTGCTAAGGACACATACTTCGGTTGCAGTTTGTCCCCGGCCCTGGTTGGGTTGTGTGGGTGGCAACCACTCAATGTGTCCCTTTCACGTCGATGTTTCCCTCTCTCTCTCTTCCTCTCTCCTTCCCACTCTATCTGAACAAAAAACGAAAAAATGTCCTCGGGTGAGGATTAAAAAAAAAAAAAAGTAGAGCCCGGGACTTGAAGCTGAGGATTTTGGCCCAGAGGAGCAGAAAGCAGAGCAGCTGAGGCCAAAGGGCCCTGGGTGGAGGCCTCGGAAAGGGGAAGACAAGCAAGACCATTCCCAGCTGCCTCGAGCTGGTGGCCCAGCCTGTCCTCCTGCACCCGACGTGGGTGCATGGCTTCACCAGGGCCCTCGGGCAGGCAGTGGAGGGCGGCGGGCCTGTGTCAGGCCTGAGGCAGGCAGGCGGCTCTGTTCGTAGCTCCCTGGGGTAGAGGCTCAGCATGCTAGCACCATGGATAAAGGGAGATCCGGCGATGACAGGAGACGGACGGGGACAGAACGTCCTTAAACACACAGCCCTTCCTGCCTTCCTGGGGTGCAAAGGGGCTTTGGGCACAGGTTCTGCCCCAAAGAGCCAGGGGCTGCAGGAGGGGTGACTGTGGAAATAGCCTGGTGTGCTTTGGGGGTTGATGGAAGGAGCATGGATTCACAGCGAGGGAGAGGGGGGCGGGCTCCTCCCTGAATTAGTCAGAACAGCCCCAGCTCCTCGGGGACAGTCAGGGCACTGCCCAAGGCCCAGTCGGCCCCCAGCTCCTTGGGGACAGCCACAGCACCACCCAGGCCAGGCGGCCCCGAGCCCAGCGCTGTCACCTGGAAGGTAGACGTCGGCAGGCGGGCCAGGCGGGCAGCAGCCGCAGGGCTCGGGGCTGCCGTCCTGTAGGACGTTCTCGATGGAGGGCACACGGCTCCCTGCAGAGGAGAGAGCAGGTCAGGGACCCAGAACGGGGGTGGATCCGGCCATCCCTCTGGCCAAAGGCCCCGGAAGCCCACCTTTCATCCCCAAGGGCACCGCAGCCGCCGGGGGCCTTAGCTCTGGCCCAGACCCCATCCCGACTCCCCTATGCTCTCCCAGGACCCCAGAGGTAGGTGGTTCCTAGTCTTCCTTTCTCCGTCTCTCGCACACCCCAGCACATAGAAAAGTACACGCCCAGGTTTAAAACACAAGATAAAATGGTAGCAGATGTAACTGTGTCCTGTTTCTCTTTCTGGATGAGGAGGCAGGGTGACAGCCTTGGTGCACACCCCACGGCGGGTCCTGCATGGACACCCCAGGGGGGCCTCCGGGTGGGGCCCCCCTCACACACTGGCTCGCAGCCGGACCTGGCGCTGCCACGTGTGCCGTGAGGGAGGCCCTCCTGCAGGGGTCTGGCTCCTATGCCGGCACAGGGGAGGGCTGCCCAGCCCAGCATGTGCTGTGCACAGGCAGGAAAACACCAACCTCGAGGGAGGTGGGGAGCCAAGGCTGAGAGGCAGGGCAGCTTGCTCTGCACCACACCAGGCAGAAAGGGCCAGCGTGCGCTTCCAGGAACAGACACCCCTAAACCTGGGCACCCACACTCACACCCAAGCCCAAGGGCCCCGGCCCACTAGCCTGCAAACAGGCCCCACCTGTGTGTGTGTGTGGGGGGGCTGCTCCTGGGAGGAATGTGGGTCCCCAAAGTGCAACACTAGCCAGGGGACCCCCAGCAAGAAGAGGTCACAACAATGGAACATCCCCAGGTTGTCCTTTGCCAGACTGCAGGCTGGGGAGGCAGCCAGCAAGGGGCACCTCCTGGCTCACCTCTGAGTTAAGTGGCCTTGGCCTTCCCCAACACCAACCCTAAGCCTGTTTCCTCATCTGTCCAACACTGGGGAGAAATGACCAGGACAGCAGACAGATGACATCTCCCAAGCCGGCAGAGGGAGTACCTCATCAGCTCCCACAACCACTGTAAGGACAGGCAGGGTCATCCTGACTGAGAGCCCAGTGCAAGTGATGGGCAGCTGGGTCCTGACCCCCATAGGCTGCTACGTGCTACACCTTTGTCAAGAGAGGCGCAAGCCCCCTCACGCCCACGTGGGAGATCCGGACAAAGCGAGCCCTGTGCCCACACCTCGGCCATCAACTGTGCTGGGCCCAAGGCCCACACCGAGGCCCCGGGCCTCCAGGTGCCAGCAGGACGACCAAGGGATGGGTACAGACCAAGGCCAGGCTGGGAGGCTGTGCAAGGGGACGTGGTGGAGAGCTGACCGCGCCAGAATGATCCGGTGGAAACGGAAGGCAGCGGGCGGGAGGGAAAGCCTGGGCCCCGCAGTCCGGGGTGTGGTTCCCGGGAGGCACCAGAACTGCTCTGAGAAAGCGGAGGGCAGAGCTGGAGGCCACACCCTGCCCTAAGGAAAGAGGGGTTACCTTGCTTTAGCGACGACCTCTCGTCAACCTCCTCCGTGAGGAAACTCTAGGAAACAAGGAAACATGAGCCTGGAGCTGTGGTGCCAGCCGGCGGGGACCAGGCTGCGGAGGCCCGGGGAGGGCGCAGGGCGCACTGCAGCCGCCAGTCCTGGACACGCGTACTGGACGCTTCACACGCAGCCCCTCTGCCAGCGCCCACCCACAGATGAGGAAACTAAGGCCGAGGCAAGTCACAGCCGGGCCGCGGCCACTGAGTGAGGGGGTGGCAGGGCAGGCCAGGTCTGGAGGCCAACAGGCAAGCAGATCCCAGGTGGGCAGGGCTGAGGCGAGTGGGCCAGGGCGGGCCCTCACCTCTGGGGAGCTGCTCAGCACCAGCCCGGCCCCGCTGGGTAGTGGAGGAGCGTCCGAGTTCTGGGAGAGCTTCTCCTCGTCCTCTTCGTGAATGGGGGATGATGGGGACCTCAGGGTGCTAGGGGCAGAGAAAAGGGGGTGAGAGAGAAGTGGGTGAGAAATGCTAAGCCCAGCAAAGCCAGCGCCGTGTGGGAGCGAGTTTGCAGATGTGCGCTGGGGCCGTGGGCGGATGCACGAGGCGGGAGGCACAGCGGAATGCAGCAGGCTGCCCGCCAGCCCCTGCCAGCCCCTCGGAGGCTGTGCGCCTGGGCCCTGGCGGAGGCCTGGGCAGGCTCTTTATCTGCAGGAAAAGACAACTGTGATGGCACATCCCTGGGGTGGGGCGGCTGGGCGTGGGAGCAGCAGGAGATGCCCATGTTTCTTTCTGTATCTTTGAAGTGGTTCTGCCATGTGTCTAGGTCTCAGGGGCCACAGCTGGTTTTATAGAACCTGTGCCTTCTTTACACTTTTCTGTGGAAAATCAGCACATGTGTGAGGAAAGGTTCAGCGAGGCAGGGCTGGCGGCCTGAGTCTAGCAAGTGTCCAGGGAGTCGCAATGTGGACCCTGGGCTGGAAGGTTCCGAGTAAGCGATGACGCTCCTGCTCCTTCCACACAAGCAAGGTGGAGGATGTGCCCCTGCCTCACCGCCCTGGGTTTCTGTCGCCCTCACTGGCCGCACAGCAGGGTGTGCCCATGTGACCAACCCCCCTGAAAGTCCCAGACCCCAAAACTCAAATGGTTCTCCTGGGCCGAGACAGCGCACTTGCCCCTGCGGTGTGCTGCTCCTGCCTGGGGGGGGGGGGGGGGGCACGGGCACCTCCGGCCTCCACAGATGCATTTTCTCCTGCTGCCTCTGCTCCGATCAACCTTCCCCGTGAGCCTGACCCGCCACTGGCCTTGTGAGTCTTTCTAGTGAATCACGAAACGAAACACATTATAAAGTTATTTACAACTACAAATAAACCTGCTCTGTGCTTCTTCTCTACTAGCGTACTTCTCCCTGCCCTGGCCGCGAAGCAGACGTGGCTCCGACACCCCAGAGGGAATGCTGGCTGGACTCACCTGTCAGGGGATCTGCTCCTGGACTTGCCCTTCTGGGGACTGCTTTCCATGACTCGATCCAGCCCCGCGAGTGGACAGCTGGCCTGGGACAGGCTGTCCGAGACACCCGAGTAGGTGATCTCTTCATAGAGGGGAGCCGAGGGAAGGGTCGGGGAGACGGCCCGAAGGCCGTTGAGCGCCTCCAGCAGGGAGATGGGCTCATAGCCGGGCGGGATGCTGTCTGAGCTCTGAGGGGACAAGAGTGGGTGAGGGGTGGGTGGTCAGGCTCCCTGCCCACGGCCCAGGACTTATGCCCCAGGGATGTTCTACTCCCAAGAACCTGCTTTCTGACCATTTCCTGTCCACTCCACCTTCCAGGGACTTAAATCCTCCCTCCTTCAGAGGACACCAAGAACCACGCAGCACCAGACATCCTGCCAGGGCTCCCTTGCCATCAGCAACAGCCTTGAGCATCCAAATGCCCCACTTGAAGCCCAGGACGGAGGTGGAGAGGGCATCTGGAAGAGACACCCCCTCCTGAGTCTCAGACAGCCCTTGCCCAGCTCTGTGCTCCTGCCTGGCGGGGCGGAGTGAGGGTTAGTGAGAGAGGAGCGGGTGGAGCAAAGCCATGCCAGAGTTGAGAGAAACCAGCGGGAACCACGTGTGTTCTAGACCAGAGAGGACCTGGCCCCCAGGGAGCTCTGCCCGACACCACAGACATCTGCCCAGCACGAGATCCTCAGGGGACCTGGGGCAGGCGGGCATCAAAGGGGTGACGTGTGCTCCGGGTGATTCTAATGGGCCCCTGGTTCAGAACCTCTGTTTCCCCTTGCCGGGAGTGAGGCACATCAACAGGCTGAGTCTTGCTTTCAAGTGAAAGGTGAAGGGAGAAGAGAGATGCCCAGGTGCAGGGGCATGTCACTGCTGAGCCCCCGCAGGGCGGGGCAGCCACCTGTCCTCACGCACGTTAGAAAAGGTAAAGGGCAAATGCTCTGAAGTACTCCCTACATGAAATCCCCACCTGCCCATTGGTGGTTGTGTTTTCAAATATGTTTTTTATTTATTTTTTTAGAGAGAGCAGAAGGGAGAGGGAGAGCAAAAAACATCGATGAGAGAGAACCATCGATCGGCTGCCTCCTGCACGCCCCCTACTGGGGATTGAGCCCAACACGTGGGCATGTGCCCTGACCGGGAATTGAACCATCACCATCGATCTCTCAGTGCATGGGACGATGCCCAACTAACTGAGCCACACCGGCCAGGGCACACCTACCCATCTGATCGGCTGGAAGAGAGGCTGCCTTTCAGGGAGGTGGCAAAAAAATTCTGGGAGCACAGGGGAAGCAAGGAGCCAGGGCGGGGACCTCTGCCCTCAGCGAGCACCTCCCAGGTCTCGTCACCTGAGCCAGGGTGCTCTGCATCTGCTCCCAATCTACCTTCAATTTAAAGGTAAATAATTACTCTGAACCCTCTCACCACCCTCAAAAGTGAAAACACCTCTCTGTAGGTTGACTCCCCAGTGACTTCCACCTCTACTTTACCAGAGGCCCAGCCCAGCTGCCACACGCTGTCTGGCCCCAGCCCGCTCCCTGAGATGCAGGGAAAATGCAAGAAGACCAAGTCCTTGGCCCAAAGAGCTAAAACCCAGGGGGCAGAGGGCAGGCGGTGCAGGATGATAAGCAAGCGCCAGGCGTGCTGTTTGCAAAATCTAGCAGCCACATTAGTTCCACCTCCCACATCATTCCACTGCCAGCAAGAAAAAAAAGGGAAACGAGGGCACTGGGGACCACGGGCAGAAGCAGAGCTGGCGGGAAGGGGCGGCCTGAGGCCGGTATGTTGCCCGGCAGCGGGGACCCGAGAGACTGGCTTTTTGCCGACAGACCTTGAGCTTTGCTTGTTCCACAAAACTCTTCTGAGCAGGGAAGCTGGGACTGGGGAGAATGGATTTGACAGATTAAATTAACCGAACACATCAGCCTGGGGTGAAAATGACTTCCCGTACTTATCATTGGCTTAATAATCAGGGTGAGGGGCAGAGACGTGGCCACAGGGCCAAACACACTTACAGTTTCCCTTTTAGGTTTCTTGCTGGCCAGTGAGGCAGGGTGCGACTTTGATTTTTTAAAGGGACACTGTCAAGATAAAAATCATATGTTTTACAACTACCACCCTCCATACTGCCCTGGAGCTGGCTGGCTGGGGTCTGTCTGGCCTGCTGACTTCTAGGAGTGCCATCAGCCATCACGGCGCAGACTTAACGTACACGTGAACTGTGGGGGCCCTGCCAAAGGCAGATGTGGCTGCAGGGGCCTGGCGGGCGGAGCCTGACAACTATGCAGCTTCTAGGAGCTGTGCTTGCAGAGCCCGCCCCCACCCTCAGTGCCCACCCCTTCTGGGTCGCCTGGGTCGCCTGGGTCGCAGGTCCTGGGCAGGGGGTGTGAGAGTGCGTGGGGCCGGATGGGGAAGGGACCTGGGCCCCAGGCACCCATGAGGCTTGGCCAGGCCTCTTAAACTTATCACCAACTTCTGAGTCCTAATGGTGGCTGGGTAGAAAAATCAGCCCCAAATCACCCCACTCTGATGATCTTAACAAACTCACTGGAGAAGATGCCTAGTTTGGGCTCTCTCCGGTACTATGTGGAAGGGGCTCGTACAGGAAACAGGGCAGATGGTCACAGCCCTCTAGAGAGGAAGGCACTAGGGTTGCCATCCAAGCCCAGACTACCCTGCACTGTGGGCAGCATCTCAGCTCTCAGGACAAAAGGGACAAACAGAAACTGGGAGAGGAACACACAAGTGACAATAAAAACCCACCACCTGAGTAGCTGCCCCTCGGTGGAAGAGTCAGAGACCTCCCTTCCCGGGAGCAAATCACACCTAAGGGCTGTTCTCTTCCCCGAAACTCGCTGCTGGAGAAAGTGTGCAGTGTCCGTAACCAAGTCCAACGTCTAACATGTGGTGGGGCTACTTCCGGAGTCATAAGCCCTGGTGCTAACAGGGCCCAGCAGGAGAAACAGACAGTATGGCTGCCCCAGGAGAAATGGGGGTGATGGGAACTCGCCCCAAGACCACACCCTCAGATTCTGAAAGCTAAGTCATAACTCTGAGTTTTAAGGGAAATGTCCAGATTTTTAAACATTAACCCAATTTTCCGAAACATTATGTGGGCCGAACACATCACACCTGCTGGCCCAGCATAGAAGCCCATCTTATGGGTGTGCCAGTCCAGAGAGTGTGGGTCCCAGAGAGATGGGGACCTCTAAGAATCACTGGGTCCTCACCCTGGCCAGTTATGCTCAGTGGTTAGAGTGTCAGCCTTCGGAATGAAGGGTCTCGGGTTCAATTCCTGTCAAGGGCACGTACCTGGTTTGCAGGTTTGATCCCCGGCCAGGGGCATTTGGGAGGTAACCAATGGATATGTCTCTCTCACATTGATGTTTTTTCTCTCTCTCCCTCCCTTCCACTCTGTCTAAAAATCAATGGAAAAATATCCTCAGGTAAGGATTAATGAAAACAAAAAAAGAATCACTGAGTCCAAACAATCTCAGTTGAGAGCCGAGAAAATGGACTCACAGCTGACAACACTCATGGCCAGCAGGGACCTGCGAGTCTGAGACCGGGCCTGCCTAACATCTGCTCCCTGGTCCTCCCCCATCTGTCTTCCAGTCTCTCCTTCCTACCCCACCCCCATCTCTGTCTGTGTCTCTCTCTCTCCACATCTCTTTCTGTCTGTCCATCTCTTAAGCATCTCCCTTTCACTCTTATCCCTACCATGTGTCTGTTTCTGTGTCTCTGCTCCTCCGTAACTGTCTCTTGCCCTGCCTGTGTCTCTCCACACCTCTCCGCATTTGTGTCTCTCCATTTCTCTCTGTCTCTGCCCATCTGTCTCTGTCTCTCCGGCTCTGTTTCTGCCTGTACATATCTGTCTCTCCATCCAAGTCTCTTCATGTCTCTGCTCATCTGTCCCCGAAGCCAGAGTGTAACACCCCTCGTCTGCCTGCAGGAAGGTCCACCTCATCGTTTCTCAGGAGCAAGGGCAGCAGATAGCTGCTGAGGTGCCCTCCTGGTGCCCAGGCTAAAGAGGCAGAGAACGCACAGAGGGCGTGTCCCAGGCACCTCTGAAGGAGAGCGCCCTTCCCAAGCAGAGTGCCCCTGGCTGTCTGGCTCGGTGGGGCGATGGTAACAGCTCTGTGAGGGGCACCTGCCATTGCCGGCCATCCTGGCTGCCTGGACCACCCGCTCCCCTCAGGACCACCTGTGGAGCCACGCTGGGTGGAGGACAGAGGCCCAGAGAGCCGCAGATGGAGGTGCTGGCCAGACAGTCTGGGTCCTGGCTGGGTCCTTAGCTGCTCCAAGGGCAGGGCCCAGGTGTCCCCCTCTAGCCACCTGACCAACCCAACCCCACCGGGAGCCAGACACTGTCTTAATATGAAGGCGGACCCTGGAAGTATCTGGATGCCTGGCGGGCCCTGCACAGTGGGCAGGGGCTTCCTCCAGACCCCTCCTCTCTCCACCCCTACACCCCTAACGCAGGAAGGAGGAGGCTCTTACAGAGTGCTCATCGTGGTCCATGCTCTGGGCCAGAACGGGGCTGAAGGAGACGGGGGACAGGGCTCCTGGCTTCTTCCTCACTGCCCGGATCTGCAAAAGGGCCCGAAAAGCTGTGGCAGAAGAGAGGGGCTGATGTTAGGCAAAGAGCAGCTCGTTCCAACACCACTGAAATCCTCCAAGCTCCAGGGACACTAACCACCCACCCACCCGCAGAGACCCTGGGACAATCCACGTCTCCAATTCAGGCAGAACAGAGTTATAGCAAAATGTCCCCACGAGGAAGACAGAGAGGTCAGGATGGCGCTGCCCCTGCTCGAATGGAGCTTGTAGGGGTGGCAGGCAGGACGCAGCCAGCCTCTCACCTGCCGCACCCCAGACTGCACACCAGATGGTGAACATGGCTGCCGGCTACACCTGCGAGCCCGCTGAGAGCACACGGTGAGCTCTGGCCACCTCTTCCTGGAAGCTACAATGACCAACAGGCAGGCAGACATGTATGTGCACATTTGTGACGGCGCAATGTCTACACTGGTGATCAAGGAGACTTGACTTGGGGCGGTGAACACACAGTGCAGCGAACAGATGATGTGTTGTGCAGCTGCGCACCTGAAACCCCTATAATTTCGTTAACCAGTGTCAGCCCAATAAATTCAATAAAAAGACACAAATGTTTCTGTCCAGTTCTAATGTCACTACAAACACCTGCCCTGGAGCACCCTTCGAGGCCGTTCCGAAAGTCAAGTTTTCCTGGAGGCAGATTTTGAGATGCGACCCTTTCACTCGCCCGCAGAGTGCTGTGGGTGCCACCCCTACGTTAAGCACCGGTTCCGGTTTGCAGCGAACCGGCGGGAGGCCGATGGCCTCTGCCATCATCAGCGTCCCCAGCGGCGCTGCCGCAGGCCCACTCACGCAGCCGGCAGATGGGGCAGTTGCTGGCCTGGTAGCGCAGCGTGTCGGCGCAGGAGTTGCACAGGCACAGGTGGCGGCAGGGCAGGATCAGCGTGTCCCGAAGGTCTGACAGGCACACCACACACTCATTGCTGTTGTCGCTATTCTCCTCGTCCGAAGGCTGCAGGGACAACAAAGGTCTGAGGGTCAGCGGCCTTCCGAGAGCCAGAGTTTGGGGGCCAGCTAAGGGGCAGGGAGGGGCCTTTCTGCTCCTGGCTGCCCCATCAGCCACCCCCTCTCCCCCTGGGGGATGTTGTGGCAAAGGGAAGTCCGAGACAGTGGAGGAAGGTCACCACAGAGTAGACGCCTCAGCAGACCTGCCCGAGTCACGCTCCATGGGCACCAGGCTCAGACCTAGCCAAGCCCACCCCACAGCAAAGAGGAGAATCTGTAACCCTGCCCAACGTACTCCCCAAATCAAGGAACTCAGGCCTATTGCTCAGAAACAAAGAAAAAAATGTGGAAAAGACGTAACACTGTGGAACACATCTTCCAAAAGGTACTCCGTTTATTTGGTTCCAAGAAACAAAAAAATTAGACAAGTCTAATTTGTTTGAAATATTTTCATCAAGTAATGGTAGCTTCTGGGGGAAAAAAGCTGGATCTAGGGGCAGTAACATTCTAGAACAGGGATCAGAAAGCTATGGCCTGCTCTGTTTCTGTAAATAAAATTTTACTGAAATACAGCCTCGCCCCGTGGCTTCCATACCGCCTGTGGCTGCTTTGGAGCTACACGAGCAGTGCTGAATAGATCCAACAGACACACACACAGCCAGTAAAGTCGACCATCGGCCCTCTACTGAGTCAGCCGACCTCTAGTGTGAACTGGGCAGAGCACTCGTCTAAGGCTCGGGCCTGGTCAAGCTGCCCTGTCCTGCTTCTGGCCAGTTCCACTTGGCCTGTGGGACTTCTGGAGACTTATTTTATTTTATTTTTTTATTATTTTATTTTATTTATTTATTTTATTTTATTTGTATTATTATTAATTTTTTAATCCTCACCCAAGGATATTTTTCTATTTATCTTCAGACAGAGTGGGAGGAGGAGAGAGAGACAGAAACGTTAATGTGAGAGAGACACATTGGTTGCCTCCTGCAGGGCCGGGGACCAAACTGCAATCAAGGTACATGCCCTTGACCAGAATCGAACCTGAGACTCTGGTCTGCAGGCCGATGCTCTACCGCTGAGCCAAACCAGCCAGGGCCCAGTGCCAGTGTACTTTTAAAAACAGTGACAGAGCCCTGGCCGGTTTTGCTCAGTGGTTAGAATGTCGGCCCACAGACCAGAGAGTCCGGGTTCAGTTCCTGCTAAGGGCACGTACCTCGGTTGCAGTTTGTCCCCGGCACTGGTTGGGGTCGTGTGGGTGGCAACCAGTCGATGTGTCTCTCTCACATCGATGTTTCTCTCTTCCTCCCTCTCTCTCTCCTGCTCTATCTGAAGATAATTGCAAAAGTGTCCTCAGGCGAAGATTAAAAACAACAACAGTGACAGAGGCACTGGTTGCTTCTCTGCTACTCTTCCCGGCTGCACCAGACACCAGTCTGTCAGCCACCACGCTCCTGTCACAGCTTCCTAATGGAGCACCCCTCTCTCCACGTAACCACAGGAACTCGAGGCTGGGGCAGAGCAGGCTGGCAGGGCGCAGCGAGGCTCAAGAGCTGGGTGTGACAACAGGAAGGCCAACGCAGCACCAGCTAAGCCCAACGGTGGTAACAAGCCAGTGAATTTGCTAGAAAAAGGACAAAATGACTCTGTTAACAGTTGGCTGTTAACTCTTTTTAAAACTTAAGGAAAAATGATGGAATCTGGGGTCCCAGGGCCTCCAGGAGAAGGAGTAGAAGGGGACTGGCTCATCTACCATCAACCTGCGTCGTCCTGGCCAGGGCTGAGGGACCCCAGGCAAGTCACTCCCATGAGCCTGCTTCCATGCAAGTGGAAGGAAAGCCGGGCAGTGGGGCCTGGACTCATGCTCACCACAAGCACATACCTTGGTCTCCTGGTTGTTCTTGTTCTCAATGCCATAGATCTCCTGTAGCAGGTAGCTGACCCGGTCTACCTGGAGAGCAGAGAGACATCTGAGCACTTGCCAGTCCCACTCAAGGGGTCCCCTGCACCCACTGGCCTAATACCACCTCCCAGATGCTGGGCTTGGGTCCTAGGAGCTGGAACAGTCGGGAATTCTGGCCAGCCCCAAACCCAGGGAGTGCGTCCAGTGCCAAGAGAGGGGCAAGGAGAACCTACTACCTGCTCAGCCCAACTAGTAGCATGGGCAGCAAGGCTGGGGCCCAAGTGGTCCTGTCCACCAGAGAGGGCCTGAAGCCAAGCTCCACTCAGGCCTGGCAACTATACCCTCTGCACCCCTTACTGCCCCAACCTGGAAAGAAGAACCTTGGTCCCACAAGCATGACCAGGTTCAGGCCTCACGCTGGCCATGTTCAAATGTGTCTGAGCTCCTGTTTCCTGCAGTTCCATGGGCCACAAACACCCGTCCTGAGAGCCATAGTCCTGCCAGTCAGCTGTCCCGAGACAAGTCCCCTGACCATCACTAGGGTCTCTGGCCCTTCTGCAACCTTCAGGGGCTACATCTGCCAGAGTTCTCCCTCTTTTAAAAAGCCAACCAAGCCCTGGCTGGTTTGGCTCAGCGGTTGGAGCGTCAGCCCGTGGACCAGAGTCCTGGGTTCAGTTCTTGCTGGGGGCGCATACCTTGGCTGCAATTTGTCCCCGGCCCCGGTTGGGATGGTGTGGGTGGCAGCCAGTCGGTGTGTCTCTCTCACATTGATGTTTCTCTCTCTCTCTCTTCCCCCCTCTCTCCCTCCCGCTCTATCTGAAGATAAATGCAAAAAAAACCCAACCAACACCACTCCTGGGTTGTGGCTTACATACTTGAGCAGCTATATACAAGGACAACCAAACCACAGATTTGCAAACAGGCCCCCACCATGGCCATTGTTAAAATCAGTCTCAATATCAAGATCCAACATGGCAGAGTTCAGGACACCTCATTCTCTAAATTTTCACAGTGTGGAGGACACCAGAAATAATTCATCCTGGAATTACTGACTGAAAAGCTGTACTTCTCTACAGCTCCCATTTGTTCCAAACATTCCATCTTTCCTCTCAAATATTAAGTACATTCGTTTTTGCCTGGTATTATCCATAATTTGTAAGGAGTAGAAGGAGGGAAGAATGCAGTCTTAGTTTCCTTCCTTCCTCTGTCCATTCATTCATATTCATTCATTCTTTCGTTCGTTCACTCATATTCATTCACTTGTTCGTTCGTTCATTCATTCGTTCACATTCATTCATTCACATTCATTCATTCATTCATATCCATTCATTCATTCAGCAAACAGTTACTGAAAGCCTACTATGTTCATGCTGGACAAGACTCAAGGCTGTAACAGTCAATGCCGTTGTATGCAGTGGGTATGCAGTACACACACACACCTCATGGCCCCGACCCTGGCTTCCCAGAGCCCAAAGCAATTACACACAAGTCAACAGGTCTGCCACCAGCTACCTCAACAGCCACCATGGTGGCAGGGAGAACAATCCACGGAGATTACTGGATTGGGGGTAGCATGTGTCTTTTAAATCACAAGGGCTCATGACATTTCTTTGACAGACTTACAATTTGCTTCTGCTTTAATGGTTTCACCGAGAAGCTACCGTCGACATGCTGCAGGGACAAAAACACAGAGGTTAACCCGGTACGCTGGCACTGCCCAGCCAGCTGAAGGCCCTTCCTCGATCATTCCACATCCAAGGCTGGTAAAAGGAGGGACCACGTGAAGACTAACGAGCCAGGACAGACTCTCAGATGTGGCCCTGTCCTGGCCGCGACACTACCCAAAGAACCTTCTCCAGACACCACCTCCTAGGCCCACCCGACCTCCACAACCAGACTCTCCCCACGGAGCTCTCAAGCACACTCAAGTTTACTATTAGCCAAGTTCTGATGATGGACAAGAACCTCCCAATTGGCAAGAAGCAGCACCTGGATGGCAAGAACTAGATACCAGTTCTGGCCCTCGAAGGGCTTGATCTAGTCACAGACACAGCACAAGAACATGCACACAGGAAAACCCAAGGGCCTAAAAACTGTGGCAACAAAATAGAGCGAACATGTTCAGTGGTATCTGGGGAGACGTACTACTCAGAGACGACAAGGTTAATTGAGGTATAAGATCTAAGATCTTGCAACACCAAGACTAGCACGTGGCACTTCCTGGTAAGGCTGATGGGTTTCTACGCCAATTTCTAGTATGTTGGACTCCAAAAATAATGCAGTTTCTAACTGGGCCCTAAACTGGAAGCACAGAATGAAATGTTTGCCAGCGATGGCTCAAGTGCTCGGCCGGAGGAGCAGGTGGGTAAACAGTCTCTTCCAACAGGCCGGGCTCAGGGCGCACAACTGACCATCCCAGAACTGGAGAGGCAGAGGGCCCATCACTGCCCGGGGCCCCTGGCATCACCACAGCCCCAGGAGGCCAGGGAGAGCACTGGACAAACAAGCCACAAAGGTCTCGGGCCTGGCTATATTGACTCCTGGGGCTGGGAATGACCCAGATCACAGGAATGGGCCAGGCTCGGCCCTGAGGGCTCTCGGGGCTGCAGACACACACCCGGCTGAAGAAGCTGGGGGTCAGCAGGATGCTCAGGAGTGGTGGGAATTCCAGAACAAGCAGTCAGCCTAGTTTCCTCGTGTGGTCCTCGATCCTCATCCACGTAGGCCACAGGCTGATGCTGAAAACACTATACGACTGCAAAGTGCCAACCCATGTCAGAGAGCACTGGGGGTGGGAGGGCGTCACGTGCAACGTTTTCAAACACAGGACACACCCCACTACCTCCATAAAGGTCTCGGTGAGCAGGGACCCTGTCCCAACACAGCAGGGCACTCGCTTGCTGTGTGGATGGACACACAGAACTGCCTGGCCCCAGGTCCAGTAGTGACAGGCGAGTGGGACTGTCTCTAGACCCAGCAATGTCCTGATGCGAAGACAGTGGTGAGGCAGACCGTCCTCACCACCAAAGCCACACCTGACATAAAATATGAACACCTGGGCAGCCTGGGGACTCAGGTCGATGTGGAAAGAAGGGGAAAACACCTAAGTTCAAATACATATAACACTAGCTAAAGGTACTATTAAATGAACCTTTCTCCATAAATGGCCTCTTTACATGCGGGACATCCCTAGCTGGGCCCCCTGGGTGTTCCACGTCCCCCACCACGCACAGAGGGTCTAGGACGAGGCTGTGCAGGTGGCACCCTCGTCCTCCCCCAGCATTCACTGAGCACCTACTGCGTGCTGAGGATACGACAACCAGGGGCCATTTCACCCTCATGGACACCAAGGAAGTGAGTACAAATGTCTGCCCGGCTGTCAGGAAGGCCCCAGTGGGGAGGGAGGTCCACCCGGCCCCAAGAGTCCAGGGGGGTGCAGCCTTCCGGAGGTGAGGCAGGACCAGCTGCAAACATTCAGGGAGCAGGCGGGGACTGACACTCAGGATCCTGAGTCTGACGGGAAAGGCCTTGGCCCTCGGAGCTAGTGGTCCTGGACGAGCCCTTCAAATCCCTGAGGAAAGCTGGTCTGACCAGACCCCTCCATGTGGGCATCCTGCCACCCTGTGTTGGCAGGTTATAGGAACTTCTAGAGGGCTGGCCTCCCTACAACATGCCCTCACCACACATCACATGCCCTTTGAAAAGCCTCCTGGTGGTGACACTGGACTTCAAGGCCCGGCTTCCGGAGATGCATCATCTCCCTGGAGCCTGGGATGACGGGAACTTCCCACCACCTGCCTGGGCCTCAGGCAGTAGGCCCACTTGGCCTGGCATGACACTGAGTTCAGACGTCTGGTCTGAAAACACCATCTCTCTACCCACAGCTCCCAGGTCAAGGGGCAGGATGACACTTACCTTTTCAAAGGCAGCCAGTAGCACGTGGGCATGGCCGGTCATCTCCACGACTGCCCAGGGCGGGAGGGGGGGGAGTGGGGGAGAGAGAGAGCGCGCACTCAGAGCACTGACCTGCCCCACCCGCCTCTTCCTCCTTCCTCTTAGGTCTTTCCGGGGCTCTCGGCTGCAGGTGCAGAGCCCTGGGCAGGCCTGCCTTCCTCTGCCTGGGGGCCCCTGCCTCCCTCTGGCTCACACCTCACCCCTCCTCCGAAGTGACCACTCTTCCCCGCAGAGGCTGACTCCCCTCACACCCCGCCGTCTCACTGAACAGCAGGGACGGTCCGGGAGGGGCAGACTCGGCAGTGGGCTGGGGGCCGCCGACCTGGCAGAGCTCCAGCACTCACACCCTGGGCTGGGGGCCTGCAGCCCGCAGTGCAAGGAAGACCCGCACGACGGGCTGGATCAGCGGGACCCGAGGGCTTGTCTAGCTCTCTGCCACTCTCAGCCAACGGTCTCCACCATGCCGCTGTGGGGCGGCCACCAGAGTCAGAGGCCAGTCTAGCCGACGTTACCGCAGCGACAGCGAGGCTCTGGCATAGGGCCTTGCCCTGGGGGTGGGGGACAGGCTGGCCAGGAATCCCTGAGCTGCAGTGAGGCCCCACAGCCCCAGGGGGGGAAGCACCAAGGGGGCCCCAGAGAGGAGATGGAGAGCTGGCTGCTTGAGCCCCACAGCCCTGAACCTGCCAAGAAGACTCCCACATCCTTCATCACTTCGGGGTGAACTCCTCCCTGCTGACAGGGCAGGAAGGCCTCGGGAAGAGGCTCTTCCCTCGGGGTCCACGCTCTGGAAGGGAAAACGGAAGAGGAATGGCTTCTCACCATCTCCTTCATCCACCACAGCCTGGATGACCACTGGAAACACTCCCCGGTCCAGGTCAAAGTTCAGCTGAGAATAAAAGGAGGTGAGAACAAAAGGAGGTGAGCCGGTCAGACTGCTCTGGAGGCAGAAGGTGCAGGGAGGACGGGGTGGGAGCGGCGCTCTCGAGGACAGGGCATCGAGGAAGGCAGAGGCCTGGCTGTGCCTTTTTTTTTTTTTTTTGGTGGTAAAACAGATAAAATGATTAAAATGTCAAATCTGTGTTGCATTCAGTGGCATTAGGTACATTAGTGAGGTCATGCAACCATCAGCACCTTCCATGTCCTAGACGCTTTCATCATCCCAAAGAGGAACTCCTGTCCCCATTAAGCAGTTACTCCCATCCCTCCCTCAGCCTGTGACCGCAACGCAATCAGACGCTATTTGTCTTTTGTGTCTGGCTTCTCTCACTCAGCATGTTTTCTAGGTCCACTCATGAGATAGGTTGTCAAGTCTTCCTTCCTTTTCAAGGCTGTTACATTCCACCACATGGCTAGACTGGTGACCTCTCAGTGGACACTTGGGTTGTTACCCCTTTTGGCTGCCAGGCCCAGTGCTGCGCGCTGTTGGACAAGCATCGGTTTGGGCACGTCCTCCATTCTCCCGGGCACACACAAGGCGTGGAAATGCTGGGTCACCTGCGTGTTCAACCTTATGAAGAAAGGTTCCCGGCGTGGCCCCGGCCCAAGATGGAAGGAAAGCAAAGGAGACCATGCGCAGGTCACTTTCCCTTCTCCTCCAGCTGCTCTCAGGCTGAAAGCCGCCTTCCTCTCCACACACGCCCACCTGGGTGTGGCCTCCAGATCTGCTCACCCGGGGGCTGTAGGTCAGGTCACACCAAGCCCACAGGGCAGAGGCAGCCAGCTGAGGACATCCAGACCTCCAGGGGAGGCCTGGAAGGTGCCGGTGGGTCCCAGGGGCCAGTGCTGGGACAAGGTCACTGAGAATTTCCATGCTGGTGTAGCTCCCTGACCCAAGCCCCAGTTTCCCAGCTAAACAAGGGATAAAAGCTGTGTCTAATGCACAGGCTCTGAGCATGGTGCCTGGGAGAGCACACAGTGAGCACCAGCCATTCGAAGCTGTGTTCAGGCAGCGGGAGCCAAGGAGGGCCTCACAGAAAGACACAGGGCTTGGGCCCCAGGAACAAAGGACTTTGTGGGGATGTGTGCAGGGCAGCTACATGCGGGGAGGTGGGGAACGTGTCCAGGCCCACCCAGGACCCAGCCAGGCCTCAGGATCCCCACAGCTTCAGGGTGGAAGGGTTGCACCAAGGAAACCTGGATTTATGGGAAGGATGGGAGGGAAGGAGGGATCCCCTGTCTGTCCTCTCACCTTGCTCTGATATGACCCTGGGGGGAGGTGGTCACCCAACACGAGTTATATGTCCGGGGGACAGGGGTCCTTCTGCAAGCTTGTTCCTGACCTTCCCACCCTGAGTCAGGTCTTGGGAGCAATACTGCCAATAACCATCCCAGTTACCCTGGTGATGATGACACTGGGTATGACACACAGGTGCTGCCCTTTGGGGTCTGTGATCAAGCCCAGGAAGAGGTTGTTCAGGGACAAGCCGGATGGAGGGCAGAGTGCAGCCCACATGCTCCTGGCCAGCTGTGGGAATACAATCCTTGGTGCTGATATGGGCCACTCAGTGCTGTGAGGAGCCACTGAGTGATGTGCATTGTCTTTCTCCCTTGCACACTAGGCTGAGTGCTGCCTCCGTGTACCTGACTGTCCTGTTTGGCTGGTGCCGAACTAACAGTGGCCTGGAGAGGTGTGTGCAGTGGCTATACCACCGCAGGCAGGGACTCAGGCCCTTCTCTCCTCCTGTCTGTCCCCCGGCAGATGAGGCTGATGATGGACAGCCCGAGCTAAGTAAGCACTCTCTACGAACCCCTAATGGACATCCTAGAGAGGAATGCTTCTACCTCCAGGTGGCAGATGAGAAACCCAGGCTTGCAGAGGTAGCATAACTTGCCCAATGCTTCATGGAGAGAGTGACAGAACCAGGCTCACTTCCAGTCACCTCACTCAGTGAACTCTGCCAGCAAAAGACCTACACTGGTGAGCCCAGTGCTGGGCCAGGGGACAGAGATGGAGATGAGGAGGGCACCACGACCTGGGCCCTGCGCTGTTCTTGGGTGTCCTGACAGGATAAGCCCCCACACATGGAGCCGCCACCCCACACTGGCCTGCTGCTTACCTCACTGCATCCGTAGCTGGCACCCTCCCACCCACATCACATGGGAGGCCCCCTGGAGGCCCAGAGGAGGAACCCAAGGAATGTGGGGACCTGGGTAGCAAGGACCGTCTCCCCCCAAATTCCTGCTCCCTTGCCATGGCTGGTTTGGCTCAGTGGTTGGAGCGTCAGCCTGTGGACCAGAGAGTCCTGGGTTCGGTTCCTGCTAGGGGCACGTACCAAAAAAAAAAAAAAAAAATTCCTGCTCCACACAAGTCACGCACCAGAACTAAACAAGCTGGAAAGGACAGAGGCTTCCACCCACCCCAGAGAGGCTGAGGTAGATGTTTATTTTTGCTACAAGGAGAGAAACTTTCTTAGAGAAAAGCAACACCCTAAGTCAGGAAAAAGAGCCAGGCAGCTGATGCCAGCATGAGTCACTACAGGCTTCCCGGCTCACGCTTTGCTCTTTCCCTTCAGGGCCCTGCTGGGGCCCATCGCTCCAGCACCCTCGGGCTCTTCCAGCACAGAGAAGCCCACCAGGCTAGATGGATAGCAGGAAACAGGGAAGAGGCAAAGGGCAGAGGAAGAAAGGGGCAGGGCTGAGACTGAAATAAATGGAACCCCTCGAGGGGGCTGGCAGGGAAACTAGCAAAGAAGCCACTCCAGCTTTGAGACGGTCTGTAAGTTCTGACCTGGAAAGACATCCACAATATGATTCGATAAAAAATTAGAATTAGCCCTGGCCAGTGTAGCTCAGTGGATTGAGGATCATCCCATGGACCGGAAGTCCCGGTTCCATTCCCAGTCAGGGCACATACCTGGGTTGCGGGCTTGATCCCCAGTGGGGAGCGTTCAGGGGGCAGCCAATCGATGTTTCTCTCTTTTATACGATTTTTTTTTTTTTTATCCTCACCCGAGGACATTGTTTTGCATTTATTTTCAGATAGAGCAGGAGGTGGGGGAGAGAAACGTTGATGTGAGAGAGACACATCAACTGGTTGCCACCCACATGACCCCAACCAGGGCCGGGGACAAACTGCAACTGAGGTACGTGCCCTTAACAGGAACCGAACCCGGGACTCTCTGGTCTGCGGGCCGACACTCTAACTGCTGCGCAAAACTGGCCAGGGCTCTCATCAATGTTTCTATCTGTCTCTCCCTAAAAAAATCAATAAAAACATATTTTTAAAAAAATTAAAATTATACATGTGTAAGGGCAGGTGGGGAAATCTCCATACCTTATCTCTTAATTTTGCTGTGAACCTAAAACTACTCGACTGAAAAAAATTAAATTTAAATTAAATTCAAAAGCAAGTTTATAGCTAAGACAAATTCAAACATGCATCCAAAGAAAAACCTGTATACAAAAACCATTATTCATAATAACCAATAACCAAAAGAACACACGATGCTAAGTGAAAGAAGCCAGATACAACATGTCAAATAGTGTACGATTCTGTTTATATAAAATGCCCATTACAGGCAAGTCCAAAGAGACAAAATGTAGATGAGCCCGGCCAGTGTGGCTCAGTGTCACCCCATGGATTGAGAGGTCCCAGTTCAATTCCCTGTCAGGAGGGCACATGCCCAGGTTGCGGGCTTGATCCCCAGTAGGGGGCGTGCAGGAGGCAGCTGATCAATGTTTCTCTCTCAAATCAATGTTTCTATCTCTCTCTCTAAAAAAAAAATCATAAAACCTATATATATTTTTTTTATCCTCACCCGAGGACATTTTTCCATTTTTTGTTCAGACAGAGTGGGAGGGAGAGAGAGGAAGAGAGAGAGAGAGAGAGAGAGAGAAACATCGACGTGAAAGGGACACATCAAGTGGTCGCCACCCGCACGACCAAACAGGGCCGGGAACAAACTGCAACCGAGGTACATGCCCTTAGCGGGAACCGAACCCGGGTCTCTGTGGACCGCAGGCCAACGCTCTAACCACTGAGCCAAACCGGCCAGGGCGAAAATCATAAAACATATTTAAAAAGGAAAGTAGATGAGTGCTTCCAGGGGCGGGGGTGGGGACAGAGGTTCACTGTAAATGGGCACGAGGGACCCTGTAAGGAGGATGGAAACCGAATTCTCCGAAACTGGAACAGTGATGGTTGTGATCATAGATTTACTAAAATCATTGAATTAAACAGTGGATGGGTGAGTTTTATAGTATGTAAATTATACCTTGATAAACTGGTAAAAAAAAAACAATGGAACAAAATAATTCAGAAGTGTATAGAGTGTGAACACTCATGTTTCTCAGTATCTGTGAGGGACTGGGTCCAGGAACCCCGAGGACACCAAATCTTCAGATGCTTAAGTCCCTTTGATAAAATGGGGTAGAATTTGCATATAACCTACATGCATTCTCCCTAATACTTTTAATCATCCCCAGATTACTTTCAATACCTAGTACAATGTAAATGCTATGCAAATAGTTATCCTGTGTTGTTTAGGGAATAATGACAAGAAAATAAAGTCTGTACATTTTCAGACACAACCATCCATCGTTTGTATAACTACACAGTACACATCAGCAACAACATAACATTAAAAAAATTTTTTTCCCATCCGTGTTGAATCTGTGAATGCAGAATCCACAGAAACAGGGCCGACTATACATGTCTAGTGTGTGTATTATATACCTCTCTTCCTTACACCACAACCCTCTGCAGAAATAACCACTGTCTTCAGCTTGATGAGCATCTTTCCTGGTTTTTCCTTAAGGATTATATACACATACATTATACCTGCAGATCTGGTCTTGTGCATTTTCGTGGTTGCCACATACACGAGATTATACTGCATTTGTCTGCAACTTGCTCTTCTCCAAGCCCAGAAGGGGCTTTCCACATCAGCAGGCACAGGATACACAGATCTCTCATGTGCTTTAAGGCTGCATGGCATCCCATAATAGACGTGAACTAGGGTGCCCATATTACACATGTGTGTGGTTCCTGTAACATCAGTGAACTAAGCAATCCCCTGGTGATGGACGTGTAGGTTGTTTCCCACTTTTACTATTACAAACAGAGCTGCAATGAACACCCTTCACATCCTGTGAATTACTGTCCATAGCCGTGGAACCACGAGGTGGGAAGGGTGCAGCCTCATGGCCCCAACAGCCACACCACAGCTAGCTACTACAGCCTCCGCTGCTGCTGTCCTGCCTCCATCGTCCAGTCCAGCCAGCATTTGGACCGCACCACACTCCACAGTCCAGCACATACCCGAATAAGCACACACACCTTGGTCAGCAGCCACTCCTGATGCTTATCAACCATGTGAGGAATCTGAGCAAACAGGCCCGACTGCGCTTACCCCCCAAAGGGGAGGGGATTCGGGCAAGGGGCCAGGAGAAAGGGGGGATCCAGCCACGACGTTACCTCATCATCCTTCCACTCTGAGAAGTCGATCTTGAAGGAGGGCAGGGAGAATTGCTGGCTCACCCCCCTCTTATAGTGGACGGTCTCGGACTGCAGGGCAGGGCTTTTGGGGCTGTACCTGAAGAGGCAGCCAAAAGAAAGGATGGTGAGACTCTGCCAGGAGCAACTGCACTGCTGCATCCCATCCTCGGGGCGATCCTCACCACACAGGACCTCTGAGGCAGGGGCTGCAGCCACTGGTCTTTGGGGACCTAGCAGAAACCCAACTTGCAGGTCCCACCCTGCAAGTCCCAGACCTTCCCTGGTGGGGCAGGAAGCCAGCCTATGTGGCCATGTGGCCCGCACACCCAGAGGGCTTCCTAGGACTTATTGTGCTCACTACCAGCTCTGCCCGGGTCCAGCCTGGTTATTAGTCTTCCAGAGCCCACGCCTACCGGATAACCTGGCTGCCTGTCCAGATACGGCTATGTCTTTCCATTTGGTTTTTACGGTTTGTTGACTTTATTGAACAAACATGGTACAAAAATGTACACAGTACCAAGTGCCCCACCCTGTACCCTTGTGTTTGCTTCCAGCCACCTGCTTCCCTGCCCATCCACAACCAATATCAGTCCTGGGAAAGTCGAGGCGTAGTCACAGCTGTCTCTTCTTTACTATCCCCTACACTCTGCCCTTTACTACTCCTGCACCTCGAGCTGTCCCATGGCCACCATACACAGAGGTGCTATGTAATCTGAACACCACGTTGGTTCCACTGCAGTTTTACTCTGATCCAATCAGGCCCTTACTGGTGGACACCAGATGGTCTCCAGTACCTTGCTTTTCCAAACAATGCTTCTAGGACCCTCTTCTGCCTACATCTTACCCACACATGCAATCACATCCCCAACATAAATTCCCAGAAAAAAATGGCTAGGTCAAAAGAGTAAACATGTTTTCAATTCTGATAAACTCGGGCTTCTCCCCATTCAAGAATCTAACACACACCCTGGCCAGCATGCTTCGTGGTTAGAGCATCAACCTGTGCACCAGAGTCTCAGGTTTGATTCCTGTTCAAGGGCACATACCTGGGTTGCAGGTTTGATCCCCAGCCCTAGTTGGGGCACGTACAGGAGGCAATCAATCAATGTGTCTCTCTCACATCGATGTTTATCTTTCTCCCTCTTTCCCCTTCCCCCTCCCTTCCACTCTCTAAAAATCAATGGAGCCCGCCGGTGTGGCTCAGTGGGTGAGCATCGACCCATGCACCCAGAGGTCACCAGTTGGATTCCCGGTCAGGGCACATGCCCAGGTTGTGGGTCCAATCTCCAGTGGGGTTATGCAGGAGGCGGCAGATTGATGTTCTCTCTCATCAATGTTTCCATCTCTCTCTCCCACTCCCTTCCTCTCTCTCTAAAAATCAATAAAGAAAAAATAAAAAAATAAACATCAATGGAAAAAATACCCAATACACAACCCTTGCCCACCTCCCTCCACCCCACCCCCCACCTGCTTTTCCTTGGGCTTCTCTGTCTGTCTGTCTCTAGGACAAAGGATACTCTCAAAGGCCTTGGCACGTCTGGCCTGAGAAATAGGTTGCTCATGTGCAAAAAGACTCAGAGCCAAGACTCTCAACCACCCCAGATCAAATCTGGCCTCCATGTGGTTTTCTCCCACAGGACAGAGATGGGTGCATTCCTGCCCATTCCATCTGGGTCTGGCCCCACAGACTGGAGGGCAGGCTGGCCGTGGTCATGCTGAAGCTGCAGATTTCAAACTTTTGGGGCCCAAAAGATGCTTATATCAAATAAAACCTCTGAAAGTTCAAATATTTAATTCACACAGACGCAGAACTGCGGGGGCCCTGCCCTGCCACCCCAGGCCCGTCACGGGCCACAGGGACTCACACAGCCATCCCATTCAGAAATTCCTCCACCGCCTGGCAGTAGATGGTGATGGCTACCCGGGCATCGGCATCGAAGGTGAACTCCAGGCTGTAGAGGACTCGGGGCTTCTCGCTGTCCTCAGTGGGGCTGTTGGCACCATCTTTGTACCTGCCAGGCAGGCAGAAGGACAGGCGGTAGGTCAGGGGCATGCTTGCCAGAGCGAGCCCACCCTGCATAGCACACACCATACCTCAAGGGGCCCGAGTTGGCTCCCACCTTTCTAGAAATGCAGAGGGCTGCTCCCTGTTTGGACAAGAGGGCCCAACAACACAGGGTTCTCCCCTTGTCTCCTATCTGCAGAAAGGGAGACAAGTTCTCTTGGTCTAGGGACAGGCCCAAAGCCCTGGTCTAAATCGGTTTCTCAACCCTGACAGCTGGAGCTGTGTCATTCTTGGTTGTGGGGGTATCCTGTGTACTGTGGGGTATTTAACAGTCTCCCTGGTCTCTGCCCACCAGATACCAGGAACACCACCTTCTACAGCTGTAACAACCAAAAATGTCTAGACAGCCCAACGTCACTGGGCTACAGTTACCTGCTGGAGAATCCCTAGTTTAAAGAATCTGGCAAAATCAAGGGTTACCTTACGAGCCGGAGCGAGTCTTTTCGGATGTTCACCAGGCTCCTCAGTGTCTTCACTGGCTCATGCGGAGCAGGGGTGACATAAGGAAACTAGGAGGGAAAAACCCAAAGCAATCCCACATGAGTCCCTAGCCTGGCAGGGGACAGAAAACAGGGATAATCCAAGCACCCACCAGCTGCTCCAGGGCCCTCATGCCAACCACTAGATGACATTATCCTCATTCACATTAAAGTAAACTGCAGGCAACATGGCCGGCACATGGGAGAGCCAGACCAGAGCACCCTGAAGGAGTCTGACCATGTGGCCATGGTCCCCCTATTCCAGGAAGGGGTTTCAGCGAATGTGACCTGGCCTGAGGGATCTGGGGGGGAGCAATTACTGTTGAGGCTCTCAGGCCTCGCTCCCAGAGGTGGGACCCGATGTCCGCCAATGCCCTAAACAAGGCAGGCTTTCCATTCAAGGCTGATGGGCAACCGGGATCCGGTAGGAACGGGTGCACACGTGCACACACACAGCTGTGAAACTGGCGGCATCTGGAAAACGTGGACGCATCAGTGTCAGTCTCTTGCTTGTGAGAGCGCAGTGGAGTTGTACAAGACGCCCTCACCGGGGATAACCGGGTAAAGGGCATATAGGATCTCTTCGCTATTCCCTACACCTGCAGGTGAATCTGGGGGGTCTTGAAGTAAAAGTTAAAAAATAATAACAGATTTACAGGAGGGCTGTTGAGCCAGGCTCTGTGTCGAAGCTAAGGCTTCACAGATGTGGAAGGTAAGGTTCTGTTTTCACTCTCGTGGGCTTGAGAGGGTGGCGGAGGCCAGCACTCTGGGTCCCAGCCCCTGGCCTCCCATCCGTTAAAGGATCCATTGAAGATTTTATGTCAACCAGCTGCCCTGCAGAACCCTGGTCCAGACAATCCCCCCACCCTAGGCAAGGGAGGCCCCGGGACTCAACATCCTCAGGGGATGGAGTCCAGTGTCTCCTGAGAGAGGGGGCCTCCGCCTGGCCCCTCACTTGCACTCGGGACTGAATTCTCACTCAGTGACCCCCTCAAGAGCCCTCTCCTATACCTCTCTATCTTTTTAGTCTCCATTTGTCAACTGTTCTCTTCTTTACTGTCTGCAGCCCCCCCAGGGAACAGAGAAGGATCTGTCCTCGGTTTGGGGTGACTCAGTGCTCGCACGAGGACTTGCAGCTGGGACGCGGATGACTGAAGGCAGGGCCTCGCCCCACCGCCCGCGCCCGGCCGAGACCCACCTGGACTGGGCGATTGCCCAGGAAGTTCAGATCCATATTTTCTCCAAAGAGGTAACCTTCAGGGTGGGGGGTATCGAACTTCTCACCTCCCATGAAAAAGTGTGAAGCAAAGTAGTTTCCTAGTTTAAAAAAAACAAAACAAAAATCAGCTGTAGATTAAGGCTGGACACAATCCAGTGGGAGCACGTGATGGCCAGAGGTTCAGCCTGGAGAAAAGTCCATGAGGAGAGAAGTCATCACGGGCTACCCCTCCCACTCTCACCCAGACTCAGGCCTCAGCCCTCCACCCCGCCCGCCCCACCTCTGCACCCACTCCAACCCTCTTCCCCCTCCAGGACCTCTCCTCCCTGCTCAGGGACTCATCCAGCACCCAGCTCCAACATCACTTCCTTCTCGAGCAGGTTGAGTTGTGTTCCCCACAAGGATATGTTTCAGTCCTAACCCCCGGTACCTGTGCACGTGACCTTATTCAAAAACAGGGTCTTTGCAAACGGAAACAAGTTAAGAGGAGGTCAAATTCAGGGACCAGTCTTCATAAGAGAAAGAGGGAGATCTGGACACACAGACACACACAGAGGGAAGGAGGACATGTGAAGACATAGGCAGAGACTGCGGCGATGTCGTTACAGGCCAAGGAACGACCAGAGCCACCAATAAGGAAAAAGCAAGGAAGGATCCTCCCCTAGAGCCTTCAGAAGGAACCAACCCCGTCGACACCTTGCTCTTGGACTTCTGGCCTCCACAGCTGTAAGAGCACATGAAGTTGTTTTAAGTCACCTGGTTTGTGGTACTTTGTTACAACAGCCCTGGCAACTTAATACACATTCCCCGACACCAGACTAAGTCAGCTCCCCAGCCCCAAATCTAAGCTGAGTCTGAGTTATTTCATCCATCTCTGACTCCTCCCGTGAGTCCTGAGGCTGGAACTCGTCTGGAGGTAAGGCCCAGGAAAAGGCAGAATCAAGCACAGAGCCAGGCTGTCCCTACAAGGCCTTCCAGGTGGGAGACAGGTCCCTGGCCCTGAATCCCCCGCTCCAGCCTCCTCCTGGGACCTTCAAGTCCAACTATGTTATATCCCACTAGTTCCCAGAGTTTCCTCTCCACAGGCAGAAAATGGGTGAGGTAGGCCTCCCCCACGAAGGCCCCCAGGGTTCTCACCATCTGATATTCTCACCTCCTGGGCAGACTCTTCCTACACTGAATAGGGCTGAGCTGTATAACCAGTAGGATACTGTGGAAAGATGGAGCGGGACTGCCCAGGCTCAGGGAAGCAGCCTCCATGTCGTGAAGACTCTACCAACCCTACAGACAGGTCTACACGGTGAGGAACCGAGACCTCCGGCCACCAGCTGTCAACAACTTGCCAGCCCTGTGAGAAAGCCACCTGGGAAGCAGATCCTGCAGCCAGCAGACAGCTTGACTGCAACCTCACGGGAGACTCTGGGCCAAAATCACCAGCTAAGCCGCTCCAAATTTTGAACCCGCAGAAACTATAATAAGCCTCTATTGTTATAAGCGGCTTTCCTCCTTTCTCCTCTCTGAGCTTCTGATTCTAACATGCTCCCGTGGCTGCCAGCCTGGTCAAAGCCACCAGCATCTCCTCCTGGATTACTGTAATCCATTCCACCAGTCTCCCTACTCGCACTTAGCCCTGAAGTCGATTTCCTACATCTCACTGCTCAGAAATTTCTGATGACCACCCAAGCACACTAGAGTAAGTCCCAAACTCCTCCCATGGCCTGCAAGGTCCTATACAATGGCAGACCCTGCCAAACCCATTCACACCCCAGGGCCCTTGCACTTACTGTTTCCTCTGCTTATGAAGTTCTATCTCAAGAGCTCTGTTTGATCCTTTACCTCATGTTTCCTTCTCAGCAAGGCCTTTTCTGATCATTCCTTTTTTAAAAATTTTATTTTTCCTTTATTGATTTTACAGAGAGAGGAACTGAGAGGGAGAGAGAGAGAGAAACATCGATGAGAGAACATCGATTGGCTGCCTCCTGCACGCCCCCCACTGGGGATTGGGCCCACAACCTGGGCATGTGTTCTGACCAGGAATCTAATCAGCGACCTCCTGGTGCGTGGGTCAACACTCAAACACTGAACCACACCAGCCGGACTGATCATTCCTTTTAAATTTACAACCTCTACCCCTCCATCTCGCTTGCTAACCTACCTCCCCCATTCCCATTTTCTGCTTTATTCTCCAGAGCATGTTTCACGACCTGAGGTACTATACACAGGAGGCTCCCACATCTTAGCACCGTTTTAAGTTTTAATAACTTCAGAGATATAAATGCTACAAAATAAAACCTCTAGATTAAGAGGCAATGGACGAGTATTCCTTTTTTTTTACTTCAACTGTATTTTATACATTTTCTTCAATTAATCTGTATTACTTTAAAACAGGAAAAATTATTTTTTTAAAACTGAATACACGAAACAAGGATGTGCATTACAACAGTGGTTGTAATATCACAAAACTGGAACCATGTTCTGGAAAAACATGAATTGTACACTTTAAAAGGATGACTTTAATAGTATGTGAATTTTACCTCAATGAAGCTGTTATTAGGAACTGGAGGAACCTGATCAAGTTGTCACCTTGTAAATCATCCACAATTTTTTTTCGTATTAGATCTTTATGTGATCTTTATATTTGTTGGCAAACAATTTGGAATTAGATGCTATTGCTCTATCAAACCCCTGTTAATTCCTGTCTATTAATTTATGTGGCCCGGCTGGTGTGGCTCAGTGGTTGAGTGTCAACCCATGCACCAAGAGGTCGCCAGTTCGATTCCTGGTCAGGGCACATGCCCAGGTTGTGGGTCCAATCCCCAGTGGGGGGGCATGCAGGAGGCAGGTGCCTCTCAGCACAAAGGAGTTGCAAAGCAAACACAACTCACAAAGAGGAGCTTGGGAACACCTCATAGAGCAGCCCCACGGCTCAGACGTGGAACACATGCACTTGGAGAAGAATGAACCAGATGAGGGAAGGAAGCGCCAGGTCTAAGACGCGGCAGGAGAAGCATGAAAGGACAAGAGTATGGAAAGGCTAACGGTGAATTCTGAATGGAGGGTATTCTATATTTTCCTACATGTGTTTCAGATGCTCATAGATTTCTTAGAGAGGAAGGGAGAAGGAGAGAGAGAGAGAGAGAAACATCAATAGGTTGTCTCCTGCACACCCTACACTGGGGTTCAAGCCCGCAACCCAGGCATGTGCCCTGACTGAGGACCCCTCAGTCCATGGGACAATGCTCAACCACTGAGCCGGGCTGCTCACATTTTTTAAAAAGGAACTTTTAGAGAAGAAATGTATGCATCATTTCTAGTAGCAACTCCCAAGTGTGCGTGTATGTATGCATGTGTGTGCGTGCATGTATAAATGTACCATGCATAGTGTACATACAGGTGTATGTGTGTTGTGCTTGCGGGTGCATGTATGTGTATATGGCATGTGTATGCTGTGTGCACATTGTGTGTCTCTGTGTGTGTACACACTTTTGGACCAAATAGAGCAAGCACAGCTAATAGGAGGGAGAACGGGAAATGAGAAAAGGTGACCGGGGAGAAACAGAAAAAAGGCATAATAAAGGTGAGAAGAGAATAAAGGTGACCAGCTCTTCCTCCATCCCCCGAGGCAGTGCCCTGGCTGGGTTTTCTCCTGGAACCCATCAAAGGGGGACAGATCCTGCCTCCACTTTCTTTTTTTTAATCCTCACCTGAGGACATGCTTAGAGAGAAAGGGAGAAAGAGAGAGAGAGAAACATCGATGTGAGAAAAACACTGGTCAGTTGCCTTCCCTAGGGATCAAACCCGCAATCCAGGTACGTGTCCTGACCAGGAATCTAACCAGCAACCTCTGGTGCAGGGGACTGGTGCTCAACCAACTGAGCCACTCCAGCCAGGCCCTGCCCCCACTTTCTATGTGGGAAACTGTGCTCAGAAGTTACCAAGGTGGTGAGAAACATCTGTAACAAAAATAAATTAATTAAAAAAAAAAAAAGAAGTCACCAAGGTGATGATGGTGGAGCCGGGCTCAAACCTGCTGACTCCAAGGTCACCGAGTCTCAGCCCCACACCGGTGCCTCCCCTCCTACAGGACGAGGATGGCGATGGCGATCATTGGTCAGTGGTGTCATCTCTGGTCACAAAGGGAGGCTGTTCACACACAATGAACCACGTGCAAAGGCCTCCCGGATCAGAAAATCCTTCTGTGGCCACACTCGGAGGGCCTGCCAGAGGCCATGACTTCAGCCGAGAGCCTCAGCAATATGGCGCACTCCAGGACACCATGGCCTGAGCCTCAGTGGGCCACCCTCGAACAGGACAGCTAAACAAAGTCATGCCCCTGGCCCCTCCTTCCTGTCACCAGTAGTGGGGCACTGAAGTTCAGATGGTTCACCTCCTCTCTGACCAGGGGGTTCAGACTCTGCCCCACTTAAGGGTGTCCATTTGGCATGGATAACAAAGGTGAACAGCCACTGACACAAAGACTAAGAGTGCCTCCCCGGGAGGTTACCAGCATTCCCATACATGGCCCCGTTTTCCTTTAGACACCAGGTGCAGAAGGACACACATCTCATCATATTCTAGAGATGACAGAAATCAAAGCCACAAGGCCACCAGTTAGTGGCTGTCTCGGTGACAGCCAGTGGAGGGTGGACAGGGATTGTCCCTTTGGGCCACAGAGCAAGCCAAATAGACTTCTGGATTTCCCTTTTGTTTTTTGTCTTTTTTTTTAATCCTCACCCAAGGATATTTTTCCATTTATCTTCAGATAGAGTGGGAGGGAGAAAGAGAAGAAGAGAAAGAAAGAGAGAGAGAGAGAGAAACATTGAAGTGAGAGAGACACATCGATTGGTTGCCTCCCCCACAACCCCAACCAGGGCTGGGAATGAACCGCAACCGAGGTATGTATGTGCCCTCGGCTGGAATTAAATCCAGGACTCTTTAGTCCATAGGCCGGCGCTCTAACCGCTGAACCAAACTGGCCAGGGCTTCCCTTTTGTTTTGTCAGTTCCACTTTCAAATGTGTGTGTTGTACAAGTGCGCAATGACCGTCATTTACAACAGAAAAAATGAAAACATTCTAAATTACCTAAATGAACCAACC